TCTCTATAGTGTAGCTGGAGAAAATATGAATAAGTAGTTTAATGAATTACCATATTTCTGTTTGAAATGTTCGTAAAATGTTTTATCATTTTTCTTTTGTGTTACATGGCGCTTTATTACATAGACTTTATTGTAATTAGAGGCAATTTCACTATTAGGCGTGAAATATGCCCGAGTTCTCCCAATATAGGTTGACCTTGGGAGACTCTATATTTGAGCGAGAACGAAGGCATATTTCACGTCACAGTGACATAACTGATGTATTACATACATTTATTCCGATGGCAACTTTGTATCAATGACATCACACGTCTTTGTGCGAGAAAAATTTGATTGGAATGAAACATGATGTATTGATATTGTCATGGTTATTAAAGAAATCAAATGCCAAAACGAGGTAAGCGGGCTATATCGGGCAATATCAGTGGATACAGCCCACTAACTTTCCGATTGATTTCCATACAAATGATTCGCAATAGCCCAGTCAATAATGGCTCGATAGTTCGCGATCATATATATTCTTAGATTTTTGGCACATAGACTAATATGGACATTCTAGAAATTTTGATCCGCATTGCCAAGCGCGGATCGCACTCCTTCTTGGTGAAAATCCAAGATGGCCGCCAAAATTGCCGACAATTATATAATATTCATTTGATAATTTTTTTCATTCCTTTTTTTCAATAAAATGTGGTTAATTAGTATTTTTCAACATCAATTTATAATATTTCTACCCTGAAAAATATTTAAATTATCTAAAAAGATGTTCATTCCCCCCATTTTTAAGATTTCGTCCAAATTTTCGATAACTCATTAAAATATGTACATTTCATATATACTGTAGCACTGTACCTATCATATCTCCATCCTTTTTTCATCGGAATATATTAGGTTTGTATGTTTTAGTAGAAACTGATTCCTTTCCAAACAATATTAAGATAAACACATAATGAAGAATGTCTCCCATAGCGCTACCTATTGGTGAAATTGCTCAAAATCAAAACTGTGTTTTATAATATATTGAACTGTTGAAGGAAGCGTGTAATAGTTTGGAGAGCCAAGATTTGATCTGTATTATGTACCATGCATAATAAAAAACTATTCTATAGTATTATTTTACAGTAGAATGCCAACTCTAAGATGTCAACCATATAAATTTGGGGGGGGTAAATAGGGGGTATCTTGCATCTTATATAGGCCTAGTATTACCATATTTAAACCCTTACTTTAGTTATTCTAATGAATACTCTCCATTGCAGGCACACAACGATGTACATGCTAGAGTAGCCTTCAAGCTGGTACATGGTACATCTTGATGGGAAACCCTGTTTCTGACAACCACACTTTACTAATGGTTGACTAGCATCAGCCATCTGCTTTAATGTAGTCCTGTATGGCTTCTGAGTGTTGTCTCTTGGCTCTGTTCTCCAGCCCCAGTTCTTTGGAGATGGAATAATACCCGGGGAATGATAGGACTTGGTTTGTTAATCTGACCCCAGATATGCACACCTTGGTACAATGCTCCCTTGCAGTGTTGCATTAAGGCGTCAGCTGTTGGAGGAATGTGGTCAATAATGAAGTAGTCTTCTGTAAAAATGTATTCTTTCTTGCAGTGTTGATTGAGGTATCATTGCTGGATTTATCATACAGCAACATAACATTAATAAAGGATCATCTATTAGACTGAGGAGTGCATTCATCAGTTGTGAAAATGAGTTTCATCTGTCCCATGCAGCATGCTATAATTCTGCCCCTGCTTCCATGAAATCCAGGTGTAGCTTGTCAATTAGTGGAATAATGGCAGACATCATAGACTTTTTGAGGCCCAATGGAATTCGCCATTTCATGTGCTGCCAAGTACCTGAACTGTCTTCCCTTGTCAAATCCAACTCATATTGGTTCATTCAGAAAAAATGTGTTGATTGTGTGCAAGGTTATTTGTCTTTGGTGGATTGTTTTTGTGGATTGACACATGACATCCTGATCAAAGGTTGCGAGAAGTCTTTTTTGTTCATGAGTAATTATATTGCTCACATTTGCAGTAAGGATTTGAAACAGTTCTCTCTTGTTTTACTCCAAGCACAAACAATCTTGCCAGTTTCTAGGTAAGGAATTTTCAGGATAAATATGCCTCCTTTTACCGTTTCCTCTCTTATTTCTTATACCAGACTCTAAACTGTTACATGTAGTTTCATAACTGTCCAAAACAATATCTAGATGGTATGATTTCGTTCATGTCATGTGCCTTGTTGTTTTAGTCGGTTCAGTTTCCCTTAATGAATTCACCAAGCACTGATTGATGTGTTGCATTAAATTGGTTCATGTCATGGATAAAACTGGTAGCCACCTTGACTAGTTTGTGTGATTGAGTATAAAAAGGCATGGCAACAACTCAGAAAGGGTATCTTTGTATAGGCTGAAGTTGCCCTCTCAAAAGTTTAAGATCCATTACCATCGACCAGAACTTAAATTGGGAAGAGCCATTCTGCTGGGACTGTTTTTTCACCCAGTCATCCAACTCAAACTGAGGTTATTCATCAAGATCACAACACAAACCATGTGTCTCACAGGCTTTTTTGTCAAGAATATAAAGACTACAGGCAGAAATATGATGTGCTCTGCAAGTTAGTGCGAGTTGGTTAACTTTGATAAAGGAATCAGCTGTACCAGATGTGGCTATGCCAGCTTCAGAGAGGGATGTTATCCATCCAGGGTTCTCTCATAGATTGCCCAAGATGTGAAATCCTCCCATCTCAGTGTGTATTCCACCAAGTATCCTTATCAGTTTTGTTTTTTCTCCCATTTCTTACCATTGTCCACTATTACTTCTTGAACAGTGCAAAGAGGGGCTGTTCGGCAGCAAGTACAGGTGTTTGGTCTGGGTTGATATAATTTGTTGACTTTATACACGTCAACATGAGAGACAATGAATATTAGACTTTAAACTGACTTCAATATAACTAAAATGAAGAAAATTGTAATACACTTCTGTTATACTTCAGAATGCAAAAACACTCAGAAAATCAAGATGGGTGACATGCCTCAGTATATACCCATAAACCTTATCCCCACTTACATACCCCCTCCCCCTTCATATAACTCTCATTTCTACTTTCTACAACTTACATGTTGTTGAATCTAGAAACACTAACATTTTTATTCCAGATAACAGTTACTTAAGAATAAGCAAATTGGGTCAGCATGAATAAAATAATAATAATTATTAATTTATGTTTCAGTTTAATGCATATACCTATAGGTGAGGCTGCACAACACTCTTCTTTATTGGTTATAATGAAATATTTTGACAGATATATGTTGAATGTTTTCACTAAGCATTGATAAAATATAAACTTGTCAAATTTTATTGAAAAGAAGAAGTGAATAAGGGAATTGTTTATTATTTTGACGTTAATTTTGGTATAATTTTATCAAAAGGTGGCGCTGTAAAAGCAATTTCTTATATTTATACTTAATAAAAAACTGTTTGGTGGGAATATTATTAAATAATAACCGAAGACACTAATTTATCACATTTTATTGAAATAAAAGCAGAAAAAAATTATCAAAAAAACAATCTTATTGGACAATTATTTTGGCGGCCATCTTGAATTTTAACCTCGAAGGAGTGAGAATCGTGCTTGGCAATGCGGATTGAGATCTTTAAATATCCATATTAGTCTGTGTGCCGAAAATCTAACATTTTCATTACAGATAACAGTTATTTAAGAATAAACAAATTGGGTCAGCATGAATAAAATAATAATCATTAATTTATGTTTCAGAGCAGTACAATGCATATATACCTATAGGTGGGGCTGCCCAACACTCTTCTTTATTGATTATAATGAAATATTTTGACGGATATATGTTGACTATTATCAGTAAGCCTTGATAAAATATAAACTTGTCAAATTTTATTGAAAAGAAGTAGTGAATAAGGTAAATGTTTGTTATTTTGACGTCAATTTTGGTATAATTTTATCAAAAGATGGCGCTATTAAAGCAATTTCTTATGTTTATACTTAATAAAAAATTCATTTGGTAGGAATATTATTAGATAATACCTGAAGACACTAATTTATCACATTTTATTGAAATAAAGGCAGTAAAAAAAATTATCAAAAAAATATACATATTTGACGATAATTTTGGCGGCCATCTTGAATTTTCACCATGAAGGAGTGCGATTCACGCTTGGCAATGCGGATCAAAATTTTTAGAATGTCCATATTAGTCTGTGTGCCGAAAATCTAAGAATATATATGATCGCGAACTATCACCATGTTAGAAACCCATTAGTGATTTGACTACAAGGTGTTTAATACTATTTGTTATAGTTTTAATAGCTTCCTGTCTGTTATGCTATATGATACACAAGAACTGCTTAGGCTTCCCCATATTGGAATGTTATACTGTTTTAGTAGATGGATTGTAGGAGAATCCCAGGAATAGTTATGTTGACCTGACCTTGTGTAACGTGATATAGCAATCACAGACAGGAAAACCTTAACGCCTCATGTGCTTCAAAATCAGCTGCATCTGTTATTTATGAGACAAACAGCATAACAAGCAAGTTATCAATACATTGTTCTATAACGAGTTATAAGTTCATTGTTCTGTAACAAGCAAGATATCAGTTCATTGTTCAATGAATTAATCTTTTATAGGACGATTTACATGATACCATCTTTAGTTCAAGGAAAGCTGCCAGTTGTCTGTTGTATATTTTTAACCGAGTATACCCCATGAACAGATGAACGGCTGGTGGAAGGCTGAATGAATAGTGGCATTTGGGAAAGTTTTTGTATTTTTCAGTTAAGTGTAAAATATTAGTCTAGCTACAAGCCTTTGTGTCCCCCTGCTACACATCTCCCATAAACTGTATGAGAAGTCTTCATACCTGTGCAGTCACGTAGTGGGGGGGGGGGTCATAGGGGCTTGTAGCTAGACTAGTAAAATATAAATACATGTACATTATAAACCTATCTGTAATTGCAGGTGACCTGAGTGACCTGCCAGCAAAATGAATGTCATGAGGAAGCTGATAGGTCAAGGTCATCGGCCTGGTGCAGATCTGAACCAGGGTAGCCCTGATAACTCACTTGGGCTGATGCACCTACGGAAGTTATTTGCAGAGTTCTGGAACCCCAAGTCAGGAGGTGTTGGAGGCAGTCAGGCAGATAAGGAAGACAAGCTGTACAATATGTTGCCATTGTTCTGTAGGGTAAGATACTTGTCGTGTAAAAATACTTGTCGTGTCTAACACATGTCATGTCTAGTATTCGTTTTGTTATGTCACCACAACGAGTGGTGACATATTGTTATAGACTCCAACTTTTTGTGGACAGTGTTTGGTGTTCAGGGGTTGGTGTTTGGCATCTGTAACAATTGCAGATGATGACATTTTGCATGTTAACACCAAGTATGCATGTTAACACCAGATTCTATTTTGTGATTCTTGATAAAGTAGATTGCAAATATTGTATCTTTTTTCTGATTTTGGCCTTGAAAAATTCTTCTAAAATTTTGGAGTAGATCACAATTATGGTATTGTTTTTCCGATTTTTGTCTTAGGAAATTAAAAATGGCTGCCTTGCAGGAATTCACAATTCTAAGATCTAAATATTTCATTTCTAACCAAAGTAATGAATATTACTGATTGGAATTTTGGTAATTAATATATTGTTCGTTGGGATTTGCTACTCTGCAGAGTTGCCATTTCTAGGTCCTTGCTCATTTCAATCTGTTTTGGAGTTTGAAACATGACTGTCTGCAATTTTTCTAGGTCACCATTCACCAACATAAGTAGTGACATATTGTTAAGTCTTCAACATTTGTAGACGGTGTTCATCGTTCTGCAATTGGTGTTTGGCAGTCAGTGTTCAGCATCTGTAACAAATGGCAGGTGGTGACTTTTTGCACGTTGATGCCTTGTAATTAATGAATCAGTTTTTGTATTTCAGGTGTTTGGTGCTGCACCCTCTAGTGACCTAACAGAGAAGTTCAGTGATGTTCTGCAGTTTTGCGGTCATGTATCAAAACTGATGGTGAATGAAATACGACGTAGGGCCTCGAACCAATCAACGGGTGAGTGTATTCATAGATTTATCTGCCAGGGTTCAGTAATAGAAAAAATAGTAGAAAAAATGACTTACCTACTAAGCATTATGTCAAAATTGTCAATTATGTACACAGATACATTCTATTCACTGAACTAACCACAGCTCTTTAGTGGCCTTGGTCATTCAACCAATCACTGAATCAATGGGTTAATGTAACTAATGTCAGAGTAACTTTATTTTAAATGAGCAGAATAATGTTTTCTGCTTACTGCAGAGCTGTAAGAATGATATTTTTGGAATAGACAATGTGTTCATCTGGGTATGATATATGTGTATATATACGTGTCAGAACAGCAGTTCTATAGAGCTTTGAAACAGAGGAAGATTTGAAACAGGAGGAAGAAGCAAGTAAACTATATTATTACTCATCTTGCACTGTACACTGAATGGACATTAGCAAGCCACATTGTTCTTCCACTATCACAAATTGTTTTACAATTTTACAAGATTTTAACAACTTCAAGTGTAACGTTCATGTCCATGTATGGCACTTCAAAAAACCATTAATATTAAGAGGATAGGCTCTTGTGAAGGGTACATGCATGCACTGGGACCTCATATCTGAAAGTTATATTAAGTAGGCTGATAAGTGATAACCTTCTTACAGTTTTCCTATTTTCGATAAACTGTCTATTTCCTGAAGCACTGGTAACCTTAATGTAAATAGACATGTTAACCAGATCCTGTTGTCCTTCCATGTATAACTGGCTGTAGGTTGATGTATCAAGAGTATTTTGGTATAACTAGGGGGAAGTAAATTTTATATACCCGCAGCCCAATACTGAAGATGGGAGAAGATATAATTTATCATCTCAGATATATATTTTCTATCGTACATCTTCCAGAGATATGATATAAGGAATATCAAACTAATTATGAAACATATCCTGGTTGTTGGTTATTTAAGTATATCCTCAGGGAGATAAAAAATATGTACCTAATTATTGAACTGGAAAACCAATTGCCAAATATGTGATATATTTTCTCTCTACTGTATGTTAAGATGAACAAAAACTCACTGTGGTAGCTAGTGGGAGGATATGGCTGAATTCTGACCAATTTTACCTTATCTATCTGGTTTATTATTTTCAACGATATTGTGATTTCTTTCAGCCGCATTTTTTAACACCCTGTATCTAATCTGAAGAACGATGTAGCTTACAAATTGAATTTCTGTTTGCAACTTTATGTCCTATTCATACCCTGCCATGTTTCAGATGCCGCTAGTTACAGCATTGTAAAGTTCCTTGAGATTGAGTCTACAGAGGAATCCAGCAATGGATGGATGTTACTCAGCACGTTAAACCTATTATCTACTGGAGCGCCATCTTTAATAGACTGTATGACGGCTGCGTCATTACCATCAACCCTCGTGAAGTGTCTCTATTTGTTCTTTGATCTACCAGATGTTGAGAATATCGACCAAGTTGACCCTGTCTCTGATTTTACTCGCCACGAGAGACGTGTGTTACTCCAAAAAGTTTTTGTCCAGGTATTTAGATCCTCAACAATTGAGTGAGAAAACTGTTATAATGTATATATTAATGGTTTTCTCCATCCTTTCGCTCATCTGTCTGGAGCCTGTTGCATTAAGGAATTGACATTTGTGAAACACTGTTCTTGTCTTTTACAATATTACAATAGTGAAACCTGTAAAGTGGAACACTTCCAGAAGTGAGACACCTCTGTTAGTGGAACACTTTTCAGAGTCCTGAGATCAACTGACTTAATGTTAAATGGACCTTTATAAGTGGAACATTTTTTAGAGGTACCAAATGTGTTCCACTGAGACAGGTTTTACTGTACAATTAAAAGCCAAGAATTGTCATATTATATGCGAAAAACAGAAAACTAGAGTCATGTACAGTATGATAAATTTATTTGTCTGATTAAGTACATATTTTACAGGTTTTCAAGTGTTTATATATCTACATGTACTGTTTCAGTTGTTGGTTCGATTATGCAGCCATGTGTCTCCAGCAGAGGAGCTTGCGAGGAAAGATGATCTGACGCTCCTGTTCAGTGCAATAACCAGTTGGTGCCCTGCCCACAATGTGCCCTGGAGGAAGAGTTCTTCTGAAGTGTTGATGACACTTTCTAGACATGGACTTACTCCTAATGTCGTGCAATATATTCACAGTAAGTAACATTGGGCAATGTTTGTTTTTTTTGATATTTTTTGTCTCTTGAATTCTGTTCAATTATGTCTAAAGTTTGTTTCATTTTTCATTAAATAAAATACAGTTACATTTTATGTGTTTAGGCTTCATAGATTATGAAGTTCTTTCATTTAAAATATTATTTCTTAACTTATCCGCTGGCTGAAAATAACATTGTTGTTACTCACATATTGCTTATGTTCAATATGTATTTTCATTCATGTGGATTATTGCCTCTTCATGGATCTAAAACTTTTCGTTAACAAACAGAAAAAAGATTACATTTTGTGTTTCATTTCAGATAAAGGCTGTGTGGCTCTATGTATAGACAACATGCAGCGTGTACAGGAACTCTCTCCACTGGAGCTCGTTGAAATGTTCGTCACAGTTTTCTGTTTCCTCAAAGATTCCAGTGAAGTGTCCCAGATTTTAGTCGATGATTTCCGCTCCTGCCAAGGCTACATCTACCTCTCAGATTTTCTACTCAGGTACATTTTACACATGCCTAAAATATTTGAGCGACTTTGTGTTTTGATTGCCTCAGGGAACATTTAGGGCCATGAGAATTAGTTGTATATAATGGTGCCTGGTTAATGATTTTAGAAGTTTGTATTCAATTTGACATATACTTTTGTATTTGTAGAGTAAAAGAAAAAAGTTTTGTCGCTGGGTTCTTTTTATCGCACTTTGAAAAAGTGTTTAAAGATATTTCCTACGTGACAAACATATAATTGGCCTTATTGTTTCAAAATAGGATATATATCTCACACTTTTTATTATTGATATTTACATCAAGATAACATCTGAATAATAGAAATTTACTTACAACTTTGTACAATATAATGTGTTATATTTTCAGAATGGAGAATGACCTCTCAGAGGAGGCAAAACAAGCTTTGAGAAATCTAGTTCTTCTGGTGGGATCATTGACAACATGTGGCTTTATAGAAATCAAACCTAGTAGTGCCAGTACAGGCTCACTCTTCCAGATGCCTGGTTTCTCTCTGCCTACCCCTGCAGGCAAAGGTAGAAGTCTTACACCCCAGTCACATTTGATCTACCTCAACCGGATGGTGCTTCCCAAAATCTAGAGAAATATGCAGCATAAATTATGGAGATCATCAGAATAATGTAGATTTTCTTTATCGATTTTGTGGAGCTACTGCCGCCATAGAGCAAATGTGACTGAGGCTTTATGTGTTGAACTGTCATTATTGTTTTACATACATACCCTGACATTGTCATCCTAATTTAATGGCCATATGTTAAATATACCTTTAATGTATGGACTTCTGTTCACTGATCATTTGACTTGCACAATATTATACTATAACTGTGCACAATATTATACTATAACTGTGCACAATATTAAACTATAACTGTGCACAATATTAAACTATAACTGTGCACAATATTAAACTATAACTGTGCACAATATTATACTATAACTGTGCACAATATTATACTATAACTGTGCACAATATTAAACTATAACTGTGCACAATATTAAACTATAACTGTGCACAATATTATACTATAACTGTGCACAATATTGATTATTGGTGCCTGAAAATGAAACATTTTATTTTTTAGGTGTTAGTGTACGCAATCTCCAGGCATTCCAAGTTCTGCAAACAGTCTTTTTAAAGGTAAGCTGAATTATGAAGTAAACATATGATTTGTAAATACTTATGTACTTATCAAGTAATAATATGTTTTATCTGACTCACATTTCAGTCAAACACTAGTCATTTATGCAACATAATCCTTGATGTAACTTATATATATTTCAGTCAAATACCAGTCACTTATGCAGCATAATCCTAGATGTAATAAGCAGTATTTACCACCAAGACAATGCTAATTATTTCATCCTGGAATCACAATGTACCATAGCTCAGATCTCAGAAAGGATACACAATAAACCACCAGATATACAGGTACTAAGTTTGTTTCTTTTACTTTCTTTCTTTAGTTAGTTTCTTTTAGTCTTTACTTGTAACATTTCTAAGTAATGCAATTACAAAATATGCTGCCAAATACCGGTGTCATTAAAGGCTAGTAGTACTATAGAGAAGTTCTACTTGAAATATATCACCATCCCATACATTTGGGCAACAGTCATTGTTCTTTGAGTACATTGTGAATCGCCCTTCTGTCTGTCTGGCCCTCAACAATTTGTAGACAATAATATCATAAGTGATTACGAGAAAGATTTTGCGTACATATACATTATTGGTTACTATATATCATATCTGGGGTTTCACTAGAATTTCTCAACAGGCTAAATAAATGAAAACAACGGGGAAAATTAATAGAAATCATAAATTTAACATGGAAAACAACAGGCGATTTTGTGAAAACAACCGGTGAAAACTGCCTGTTGCCTGCTGCCTGCTGCTAATGAAACTCCTGCATATGATCCTTTTCAGTGAGATTTTTACTGGATTATATGTATTGCAAGTTACGTTTATTTTATTTCAGGGGAAGTTCTTTGAGATCGTTGAGTTCATTGTGTTCAACTTGAACTTTGTTCCTTGCAAGGAGTTCATCAGCCTCAGTCTCCTCCTAAAGACTCACAAGTAAGAAAAAAGAAAAAGATAATAAGAATTGCTACTTTCTTGTTATGTCTCAACCACAAGTGGTGGCATATTGTTATATAGTCTCAAACTTTTTTTCGGACGGTGTTCAGCATTCGGCATTTGGCATCTGTAATAAATTGTATTTAGTTTTAGCACTTCTATGATTTTTTCTGAGGTGTTGGAATATTTTTGAAATTTAGAATTTTGTGAAGGAAACAGAGTGAGTATGACTACTTACTTTGGAAAAAATGTTCAGGTCTCTAAAACACTACTGACAGTATGGTCATTCTTATGTGAAAGAAAACAGGATTCCAGATCATATAGGACAAGCTACCGCAAGCAATTCTGGGTTGCCATCTTTTATTGATTTCATAAAATTGCCAAAGCGAAATAAAAACCTTTACCAATATAAATACGTGGAGATAATTACTTATTGAATACTCCACTTTCCATAGATGAAGCCCTACCACATGTTTTATTTCTGTGCTTTTGATTTACTCTACAATGTTTATTTCAGTTCCCTGACGTGCAGTATTCTGTGTATGAAATGTCTACTGAAGATTTTAAGATTCCATGTGATATACAAAGATGTTTACCGGGAGGTAGGATTGCTGGAGGTCATGGTGACATGTCTTAATAGATACGCCTCACTTCTTAAAGATCCAGATTCAGACGAAGGTATGTACTTTATACATATATATTGAATCAGCCAAATACCTTGATGTACTATGTATTTAATCAAAAGGATCATAAATGGAATGCTTCATTTCTCTTCAGGTAACTCCCTTCTATAGTACCCCACACATAATTTTGTTAATAATTAGTACATTTTTGTTTCTTTTTTATAGTGTTGGAAATATGTTCAAGTGTGCTAGATTTCATGAAGATATATTTGTAGGAAAGTACTTCCATTGTCAGTTAAAGTTGGTGACAAAATTATGAGTTGGGTACTATAATAAGCCATTTCCTGAATATATTGTGATAAATAAAATTTAAGTCAAAAGTTGATCCTCTTTCAATGTTTTACTATACATAAACATTGTACTGTTTTTAAAAGGTCCCTTGAAGGGGTTCTGGCACATATTTCCTAAATCTTAAATAATTGTTTTTCTGCAAACCAGCATATACTGGAGGGAAATGTAGATCTGCGTTTGTTTTTCCAGGTGCAAAGCTGTCACAGATTCCAGAGTCAGAGCAAGAGCTTGGCAGCCTAACAATGGAGGCACTCTCAATTCTCCTCAACAGTAACAATGCTAATGCAAGTAAGTCACTTGTTGTTAACTTAAAGGGTTAATAGCTTTAATTATCATTCTTAATAACCCTACATTAATTCATATTGATATGTGTAAATTAAAAAATCAATAGACTTTGACATAATGAAGAATTATATCCATTTGGCTTTAATCGAGTATTAATCCTTCTCATTAGGTGAGGGTTTGGAGGAATGTAGAATATCTAATGATACTGTAGCATACCACCATGTATGTAAGGAAATTATTGAAAAATATAATGCTTTAGTTTCTCTTCTAAATGGCATTGTCTTGATCTAATCCTTCAAAAGTGAAGCACATGTTTATTTTTGAAATTATAATTTTGATATATAGACTGATATGCCCTCTTATGGGCATCCAGTGCCCACCAACAATGTATGTTGCATTAAAAAGTAAATAATAGATAGAAAAAGAATATAAAAAGCATGAATACATTGATTCTAGCCAGTCAAAAATATTCTAGGCCCCTAATTACCCAGGCGCATTAACCTGGCAGTATGCATTTGTTACGTTTTCATTTGTGTTTCATGTTTCAGTTGTATTCCGGGAATGTGGTGGAGCACGCTGTGTACACAACATGGTGCCATATATAGTGTGTCGTCATCAAGTCCTCAACATCGTCCAACAATTGATCCTTGCTACAGGGGGTGATGATGATATGGGTACATTACTGGGTCTCATGCACACGGCACCATCCCTGGCACTGCAGCTAAAGACTCACATCCTCAAAGTAACCATGTCATTTCATTAGTAGATGTAGCCATATAGTTGCTCTAGTAGAAGGAACCTTGTCTATAAGAGACCTGCATTACTATACATGGTCAAACGGACACATTGATAATGGATATAGAATACTAGACTGCTTTAGACATTTTTATACTGTTTTGCTACTATAACTCTTTGATAATCTTATCATATAATGGATATTATGCTAGATATTGTAATTGATACAGTTTATGCTCATCACATTTTCATACTGTTATTCCAGTCCCTATTAAATGTGCTACGTGAGAGCCACAGGAGTCGTACAGTGTTCCGCAAGGTTGGTGGTTTTGTGTACGTCATGTCTGTGTTGGTTTCCATGGAGGGTTGTCTTGCCAACCCACCTCGTTCACCCTGGGAGAAAGGTATGCATATCCATCTATATGATTTGTATAAGTTTAAATAGAATGCTATTGGACTATTATATCTTGCAGTGGAAAGAAGCTTTACATCTTGTGATTATATCTGTCTAATAGACCTCTCAAATTGTTGAACCTAGAGTCCAGTGAATTAACATATTGACCTCAAAAGTCTTTCTTCAGAACTCTAACATAATCTTGTATACTTTGTGTTATAGCTGAGTCCAGTGAGCTCATTGCCCTACTGAAGGCTGTCTTCAGAACTCTAACATAATCTTGTATACTTTGTGTTATAGCTGAGTCCAGTGAGCTCATTGCCCTACTGAAGGCTGTCTTCAGAACTCTAACATAATCTTGTATACTTTGTGTTATAGCTGAGTCCAGTGAGCTCATTGTCCTACTGAAGGCTGTCTTCAGAACTCTAACATAATCTTGTATACTTTGTGTTATAGCTGAGTCCAGTGAGCTCATTGCCCTACTGAAGGCTGTCTTCAGAACTCTAACATAATCTTGTATACTTTGTGTTATAGCTGAGTCCAGTGAGCTCATTGCCCTACTGAAGGCTGTCTTCAGAACTCTAACATAATCTTGTATACTTTGTGTTATAGCTGAATCCAGTGAGCTCATTGCCCTACTGAAGGCTGTCTTCAGAACTCTGACAGTAGCCATGAGATATGAACCTGCAAATGCAAAGTTTTTCCGAACTGATGTAAGTAACGGCATCTTTTTCTTGTATCCCGTAGTTCTGCAGTTTATTGTGTTATCATGTCTGCAATGCGGTGATGCATGTGGTCCATAAATTTCAATTCAAACATGACCGTGCTCTAATTGAATTTCTCAACCAATCAGAATGCAGCATAGCCAATATAGAACGTTCTCTAATTCTCCATAGATGCACGACCGTGCTCTATCCAATCATCCGGGAATCTACGTATTGTATTTGCATTGTGACGTCACACCTGGGAATGGCGAAAATAACAGCGAGCTCGAGTTTGGTGTATCTCATGTAGCTCCAATCCCCAATTCTCTGAACAATGTTTTCATTTTTTATATGTTTGAATCGGAATAAATAATGATAGGCCATTCAATATGGTGAAATTCAGCACTCGTTGGACAGAATGTCAGTACAAATGCACTCACCTTCGGTTCGTGCTTTGTACGACATTCTGTCCAACTCGTGCTGAATTTCACCATATTGAATGGCCTATCATTATTTATTCCTTAAATCAGCCACCTTATATTTTAGTATCAGACATGCATTAGTTTGAATACACTTCATCCAGACTGTATATCTTTGTACTCCCTTTTCAAATTTGGTTCTTAACAAACAAAAAATGTAGTAGAATAAAATTTTGAAATAAGCAACCAATCGCATGGTATATACCTTTAAATGACAGAGTACATAGGGTAATACAGACCCATTCCCTTCATTCACTTACTAGTGCTAGGAAAGTAATACACACTGTATGGACCCTCTAATAACATCATTAGGAATAGGCTATGTAAAGATATACCTGATCATGTTCCTAGGTGAGGTATGCCAGTCTGACAGAAGCTGTGAGATTGCTTGGTTGTTTCTCCAGTGAGGTGGACATCCAGCCAACTACTTCCACCTTAAAAACTAGCGAAGATCATCCTTTTGATGAATTCTTCTGCAATCTCAAACCACACAGGTAATTCATCACAAATTCATTAGTAATTTATCAGAAATCCATCAGTAATTATTATCCCACTGAACGAAGTTCGAGGGGGATACAGGAAAGCCGTCCATTCGTCCGTCCATCCATTCATCCATCCGTCCGTCCATCAGTTCATCCGTCTGTCCGGGCAATAACTCAAATACCAGTTGGCAGATTTGATTCAAATTTTATAGGCTTATGCCTTATGAGAGTAGGACCTCTGCTTGAGAAGGAATTTTCAATATGGCCTCTCAATTCAAAATGGCAGCCATTTTTGTAAAAAATATAATAGTGGTCAACCAATTTGTTTCAAATTTTATATGCTGTTGCCTAGGGACAAAGGAGCCTTGCCTTGCTCAAGAAGTGATTTTCAAGATGGCCACTGAATTCCAAAATGGCCGCCATTTTTTGTAAAAAAACATAATCTTTGATAACTAAAATACCAGTCAACGGATTTGGTTCAAATACTATATGCTGATGCAGAGAGAAAGGAAGTCGCTTTAGAAGGCATTTTCAAGATGGCCACTGAATTTCAAAATGGCTGCCTTTCGTAAAAATCATAATCATTGGTAACTCAAATACCAGTGGATGGATTTGGTTCCAATTTTATGTGCTGATGTCCAGCAAAGAAGGAGATCTGCTTCAGAAGAAATTTCAAAGGCGTCAGCTAATTTCAAAATGGCCGCCATTTCTCATAAAAAAGGTAATGTTTGATAACTCAAATACCAGTGCACAGATTTAGTTCAAGTTTTATATACTGGTGCCTAGAGATAAAGAAGCTCTGCTCAAGAATAAATTTTTAAGATGGTTGCTATTTACCAAAATCTCTGCCATTTTTCATTAAAAGTGTAATCTTTGATAACTCAAGTACCAGTTAACAAAATTGATATGCTGATCCCCAGGGACATAGTACCTCTGCTCAAGAAGAAATTTCAAAATGGACACCAGGTTTCATAAAAAAAACTAATAATCTCAAATACCAATATTTGGTTCAAATTTTATAGGCTTATGCCTTATGGGTGTAGGACCTTGTATATGGTCGCTATTTCTCAAAACATGTTTTGTTTGGTGGAATTTGCTACTCCGTGGAGTTACTGTTTTTCTAGTTCATATCTTGCTTACACATTGGCTTTGTAAATTAAGTAAAGATCTTTAAATCCTTTTCTTACCTGTCTTACCTTCTTACCTGTACTTTGTCATGTACTTTAGACCCTTATATACTGATGTACAGTATATTTCATGGTTTATCATGTCTCATTGCCTTCCAGACTGAAGGAGGAGGTGCCTAAAACACTTATCCATGCCTGCATGATGGTCCGTTACCTCTATGACATGGCCTTGGATGCATTCGACAAGTAAGTATACAGTTTTTAATGACTTTTCTCACAGATCATTCTGAATACAGAACATACTACATTTATTCATATTTTTGATCAATGTGGGGTTTTAGGGAGTAGCCATAACTGTTATACATTTTAATTATTTGGACTGAGGTTGTTGGGACCAAATAAATTTACATGTACTTGTAGTCTCAATATGACATCATATCGTCAAGAGATTGTAGTTTTAGTTCAGGGAGATAAACACAAATAATTCCAATATTTAAACCACCTGGTGACTGATAATCACATGTTTCTATATTCTCAAGGATAATCTTCCTTGATTTGCTTAAATGCAACAATGCGAGACATGATGTTATTGTTGAGATTGAACATAAATTATTGATTCCCAATTTAAATTTTAGATTTATATCAACTTTATTGTTCATCATGAAAGGACGATATGCACATATGTCTTGCATATAAATACAATAAAATAAATCTGTTGTTATTAACTTAGTTTCCAACCCTCAAGTAATTTGGTTCATATTGAGCAATTCCCAGATATAGAAGAATGTACATATAGTACTAGTCTATTAATTGAAAGTCAGAAAGTCAGTTCATACACATTAACATGTAATAAGTTGAAAAATGGCCTTCCACAGAAAGTCAGTTCATACACATTAACAATTTAACATGTAATAAGTTGAAAAAATGGACTTTCACAGAAAGTCAGTTCATACACATTAACATGTAATAAGTTGAAAAATGGCCATCCACACCCAAGCTATTTTGTCCCACCCATTGCGAGAAGGCGCTTTGCAGTCTCATTTGGTTCTTCTGGGCACTGGTGTTCGAACGCATTGTATTTGCTGTAGGGGCTCGCAATGTCTCTTGCAATACACTTGGCAGAATTCTTATCACAAATACAGAGACGATAGTTAGGTGTCCAACTCTTATCTGGAAAAATAGAGGAACTTACATTATCTCAAGGAAAACCAGCAAATTAATTCAATATTTGCATATTTGTTTAAGATTTATTACAAACAATATATTAAATGGAACATAAAACATTGATATCTGTTATCTTATAGATGTTTTTCTTGTTAAATATTATTTATGTTTCCAAAATGTTTCAATTATTCATTTTGAGTAGTACCATATAAGAAATATATCTATCTGATGTATATTTTGTGTTTTTTTGGCACAACCCCCAGGGTATGCGTTTGTGGGGGTTGGGAAAACAAACATTTTCCATTAATTATTTTTTAGGTATAACTATATTATACTCAAATGGAAGGAAATTTAAAGTAGATTGCAGATATTACATCATTTTTCTGATTCAGGCCTCAAAAAAATTTAATTCCCAATTCCCACCTAATGTTGGATTTCGCAATGATTTTCTAATCTCTTCAAAGTATGGCTATATTACACTCAAATCGAACAAAATTTAGAGAAGATCACAATTATGGTATTGGTTTTCTGAATAGTGAATTGTGCCTCAGAAAATTCAAAATGGTTGCCTAAAGCAGGAATTTGTTAACGATCTAAATCGTCGCCCAAATGCTTGAATTGGTGGAGATTCTGATATATCTTTTTATTATCTGCAAATCAAGGGTAGAGTAGTTTGTAAATATTATATTGTGACATAAACAGATCTATAAATTTTTGTTCGTTGGGATTTGCTACTCCGCCGTGGAGTCGCTGTTTTCTAGTTTGAAGAGTTTTTGTTGATTGTATTAACATTGAATGTCTCTGTATATGATGGAACAATTAAAGCTTATTAATAACCAGAGAATCAGATGCTTAAATATAAGAAGTTACCTCTACATGTGCATGTATGTCTGCCATAGTCACATGTTATGCGATATTTGGATGGTAACTTCTTGTATTGTCGTATAATACTCTGGTAACACCTCTGCTGTGCTTCACAACACCTGTGTTGCAATAGAACAAGTACAATAGAGAATAACATGCTCTAACTAGCACCTGTGTTGCAATAGAACAAGTACAATAGAGAATAACATGCTCTAACTAGCACCTGTGTTGCAATAGAGCAAGTACAATAGAGAATAACATGCTCTAACTAGCCACTGGGAGCCAGTATAGTAAACTTCACAAGACTTAGTTTAGCAGCCTTGTGAAACCTGATAGCCAAGGCTGATACAGCAGAGAGCCTCATTCTGAGTTGTTGCTTAGTGATACCTTCTGCTTCAAAATGGCCTCCCTTGTAATGTTTTTAGACATTCTTTAACAGTCTATCATATACCACCAGATTGATAAATTCAGATTGAAATTAAATATGTTGCAAGGGTAATATCTAAACATCACTTTAGTAGAGATAGAGATGTATCATTGATGATCTCTAGGGATTTCTGTGGTCTTACTCTCAGCCACTCTCTTTGAAGATTTGAAACTCTCTTAATGACCATTAACATTAATCTATTATAATGAAAAATCTGGTTCTGGCACTACTCTCAAACATCTTCATTAGTGTTGTTCAAAGTGTCTCCTATGCAGGTCAAAAGATTTTCAAGCGGTGCCAGAATCAGATTTTGAGAAAAATGTGTTTAAAATCATACTATCACTGGACTATCACTCTCACATAATCCATACTTGAAACCAAAGTTTCATTTCCCTAACACAAACGGAAGGTAACAAATCTTGCTGAAATACTGAAAAAATGATTGGAAACATTTTTAGACCTGTGGAAACAAAATTTGCTGAAATAAAGGAGAGTATAAATCAAAATAAGTGAAAGTCAAAATTATGTAATGGAATAATAACTCTGATGAAATATTATATGGCGAGTCAACCTGAGACAGTAGGTGATAAACTTCTTAAAAAAAATACTTTCTCCAAGAACCTGTAATATGTAAGTTAAGACTTTTCATATTCATAAAAGACATAGTCAGGGCTTAATGATTTTGCACTGAAACAGCATACGTTTACATTTATCATTTCTCTCAAAAACAACCTAAGGTAACACCATTAATATTAAATGCATACTGATTAATTTGAAGTCAAGAAAAGTGCATGTTATAAAATAATGACTAAATAATTAAATCATAAAGTAACAATATATCACATTATATTACTACTCCAGATAATGCAAGAAATTGTTGGGAAATGTATGTTGGCCATTTAAAGTGCATAAGTGAACTGACCAGTGTAACCTAATACCAGTTGCATTCATGGCTATTAAGCATAAGTTGTCTGTGGCAGTTTAATGTTAATGGGATCTCCACTAGCACCACCAGTGGTTATCTGTATCACTACAACTAAATCTACAGTTCTGGCTCCCAGTGTAGCACCTGTGTTGCAATAGAACAAGTACAATAGAGAATAACATGCTCTAACTAGCACCTGTGTTGCAATAGAACAAGTACAATAGAGAATAACATGCTCTAACTAGCACCTGTGTTGCAATAGAACAAGTACAATAGAGAATAACATGCTCTAACTAGCACCTGTGTTGCAATAGGACAAGTACAATAGAGAATAACATGCTCTAACTAGCACCTGTGTTGCAATAGAACAAGTACAATAGAGAATAACATGCTCTAACTAGCACCTGTGTTGCAATAGAGCAAGTACAATAGAGAATAACATGCTCTAACTAGCACCTGTGTTGCAATAGAACAAGTACAATAGAGAATAACATGCTCTAACTAGCACCTGTGTTGCAATAGAACAAGTACAATAGAGAATAACATGCTCTAACTAGCACCTGTGTTGCAATAGAACAAGTACAATAGAGAATAACATGCTCTAACTAGCACCTGTGTTGCAATAGAACAAGTACAATAGAGAATAACATGCTCTAACTAGCACCTGTGTTGCAATAGAACAAGTACAATAGAGAATAACATGCTCTAACTAGCATGTCAGCATTTTAAACATCCAGTGTTTCCAGCATACATTATGAGCATATATCTTGTATTAGCAGCATGTCCATATTGTTAGCATTCTATATTCCCATTGTGCATTCTGTATAACCGTATCAAAAGCCATGACTGGCAGTGTACTAAGAAATCAAGTTAATTTCTAACTTACATGTTAACACGGTATGCACTCCCCTCTGAAACCCTGCTACAAAAGCAACCATAATCATGGACTGTTTTGCATGGCTCATGTGTATATGTGCGGAATATTTTACACCTGATGAGGTCTCTAAAGTTCTTTCTCTGGCTGCTCTGCTGTGGCGCCGGTTCTGCAGATCTGAATCTGCCCTCACAACACTCTATGTATGATACGAAACATAAGATGTTATTACACAAAATAAGATGTTAACACACAATCTTGTCTAAAAGGCCAAGTCGAACATATAAAAATATGCATAAAAAACATATATAATTGCGATATTAAAGATCACATTTCACATGTTCTTACCTAAAAGTATTATAATCACAATAGCTGATAATATTCCACGAGTTGCTTGCTTCATGTTGAACTTTCTCATAAGTTTAACACAAAGATTCACTGTGAGCGCTAAGACTGGTTGGATGATCTGAAGTTTATTATAGTCAATCAGGATGGTAATAAATCAATACTGCTATTCAGAAAGGGGATCCTATCATAACTGATGAAAATTGTATTTGAACAAAAAGTTGTTGAAAAATTTTGACTTTCAACTCCATGTATATTTTGGAGTTGACCACTGAGGTTAAAAAGCATATAAGGCTACAAATGTTATACAAAATATTTTCTTATATTAAGACAAGTGGAAGATTGAAAAATGATTGATATATTATTTTAAATAATTATGGTTCTACAAAAAATTGTACTAAGATCGGTATTTTGGTGCTTTTTAATTGTTTGACCATTCTCATATTTTATTGAGCCTGGAGTCTAAGTGAACACAGTTTGGAAGCAAATAAACATGCAATATCCCTATTTTAATTCTTTTCAGCAGCTGGATGGCCAATTTCTTTAAATGATTTTATGACTAGAGACGACATAATGTTATAGATGAATGTGAAAATCAATGCTATGATTAAGAGGACGAGATAGTTGACTACATAATTATCTCATCCAGAAATCCCTTCTGAATACTATATTGTAATGTTTCAATTGACATAAACATATCCCTTACATCTTATTTTTTGCTCACACAGTGAGCCTATGGGATCGACCAGGCATCCGTCCGTCCGTTGGTCTGTCCGTTGGTCCGTCCTTATTTGATAGAAAGTTATATTGCTCAATTACGCCAGAATGTAACATTTTGATAAGCTTCTTTAGAAAATTTTAAATCGTTGAATCATGATGTGGTGTCTTTTAAGAGCTCAATCAATAAATATTTTTTGATCAGTCAGAGAGGAAGATATGAATTATGTGTATGTCAGACATAGACGGATAAAATAGAAATCTATCTCTACCTGAAGATAGGGTATTGGTATGATTGGTGGTAATTCCCTCCCTTGGTTGGATTTGGTATGATTGGTAGTAATTCCCTCTCTTGGTAGGATTTGGTATGATTGGTAGTAATTCCCTCTCTTGGTAGGATCACGGACTTTAAGATCCGTGGTAAGATTTGGTATGATGAGAGGTAATTTCCTCTCATGGTAGGATTTGGTATGATGGGTAGTAATTCCCTCTCTTGGTAGGATTTGGTGTGATGGGAGGTCATTTCCTCTCTTGGTAGGATTTAGTATGATGGGAAGTAATTCCTTCTCTTCGTAGGATTTGGTATGATGGGTAGTAATTCCCTCTCTTGGTAGGGTTTGGTATGATGGGAAGTAATTCCCTCTCTTGGTAGGATTTGGTATGATGGATAATAATTCCCTCTCTTGGTAGGATTTGGTATGATGGGTAGAAATTCCCTCTCTTCGTAGGATTTGGTATGATGGCTAGTAATTCCCTCTTTTGGTAAGATTTGGTATGATGGGAGGTAATTTCCTCTCTAGGTAGGATTTGGTATGATGGGTAGTAATTCCCTCTCTTCGTAGGATTTGGTATGATGGGTAGTAATTCCCTCTCTTCCTAGGATTTGGTATGATGGGGGGTAATTTCCTCTCTAGGTAGGATTTGGTATGATGGGTAGTAATTCCCTCTCTTCGTAGGATTTGGTATGATGGGTAGTAATTCCCTCTCTTCGTAGGATTTGGTATGATGGGAGGTAATTTCCTCTCTTGGTAGGATTTGGTATGATGGGTAGTAATTCCCTCTCTTGGTAGGATTTGGTATGATGGGTAGTAATTCCCTCTTTTGGTAGGATTTGGTATGATGGGATGGAATTTCCTCTCTTGGTAGGATTTGGTATGATGGGAAGTAATGCCCTCTCTTGGTAACATTATGGATACTGCCAATGATTCACTCACTCTTTATTTTCATAAGAAACGCCCATGTAATACCCTGTCCTAGTAAAAAATCTTCATCAACGACTTATTTTCATATTTACAGATCATACCCTGTGACAACAAATGACTCCCCATCAACTGTAAAGAGGGCGCTATCATCCGATCTCGATAAATTAACCGGTCAAAATTCCCCAATGATAAAACGAGCGAGTACTGGCAGTATTTTCATGACACTGACCCAAGGATCAAGTGAACCAATCATTGTGCATGCTGGGGCTGTGGTGTCCATGTTGCATCTGCTACCTGCGATATCCTGTGAAGAAAACCCACAAGTAAGTTTGTATACATACAAAGACCTCTGTCAATTCGATACCAGAAGTCTTTCATTAAAACTATTGAAACCCTTTACTCCCTTTAACTCTAAAACCAGAAAGGGAGGTTGCCGAGGGTCTCAATACAAGACCTCAATTTGTTGCAAAATCAAAAATGTAATTTACATAAGTAAATACTATAGTCGATAAATTAGCATATACTGTATTCATAGTCTTGTGCTCTGTTATATGTCTTCAGTTGGAGCTAGACTTACAATACCAGGTGTCTGAGATCATGAAGTCTTTGGTTAGATGTGACAGGAACCAGCAGGTGATGTGTGAGGCGGGGCTCTCCCATGAGATTCTCTCTCACTGTAACATTGCCCTGGCAGATGAGTCACACATTCTACACCCACAGTTGCAGTATATATTTGAGAGACTTGCCTCACAGTCCCTCACGCCAAAGGATTTGAGGTAAAGTACAGATCTCGTTAATGAATACAAAAATCCTGAACAATAGTTACTTCTCTAAGAAATGTTTATCAGTAAAGTTTGGACTGTAATTTTGGTTGTTTGTGAGAACTAAGATGGGCCTATTGGGATTAAGATGTGAATAATGAGAATTAAGGTGGGAATAAAGAGAATCAAGCTGGGGATAGTGGGAATTCAGTTGGGAATAATGAGAATTAAGGTGGGAATAGTGAGAATTCAAGTGGACCTAATGCAAATTAAGGATGGAGAAAATATCTTAATTTTGATGATTTTCGAAATTGCAAATGCTAGTAATTCTGAACTTTGGACAATGTTGTGAGATATACACATGTAAATTTGATCTATACATGTACATTTATATATATATTATAACATAATATAATAAATGGACAGTTATATTGATATGATTTCAGGGACTTCATGAGACTTGGGGCACCCTTGAACTCAAATGCCACAGATGACAACTTTACTGAAGCAGAACAAAACAACGATCAAACCACAGACAATTCAAACAATCAAGTTAAAGTGTACGGAGGCCCTGTACCCTTGACTCGAGTTAAATGTTTAGTTTCCATGACAACACCTCGAGATATACGTCTTCATGGTGCCTCAATCACGCCATCTTTTGTTGAGTTTGATATGAGTGCAGAAGGGTTTGGTTGCCTATATTTACCTAGTATTGCACCCCAAGGACCACCAGCACCATCTGTTGTAGGGGTTGCTGTGGTAACAGGAGGTGACACAACAGTGATAGGAGGCGTGGGCACAGGTCGGTACAATACATAATTGATCATCCTGCTGAACTAACTTCAATTAGAGATATAAACAAACCTCTGCTCTAGAAGGATTTTTTTAAGATGGCTACTCAATTCATATTGGACACCACATTTTCATATTGATTTTGAGAAAAATACATGAAACTTTAGACTTTTTTAGACTTTAGTCTATTCCTATGGTGACCAATTATCTAGCCTTAACCTTGGACTCCAAATCATTAAATATACAAATGTTTGACTTTGTAGGAGAGAGGCTGTTCCCACCCCAGTCAGGGCTGACTTTCTCATCGTGGATATGCATAGACAAGTTCTGCACTGGCTCAGAGGGACACCCAGTACGCCTTTTAACTCTAGTCAGGAATATCCAGGGCAGAGAGGACAACCTGATCTGTCTCAGTGTGATGTTGGCTCACAGGGATCGTGCCATGCTAGTCTCAACCCAGGAGGTCCACATGCCTATACAAGGTAAATCATTAATGGCAGCCAGGACTTGTATAGATGGCAGTTTCCTCTAGTGGTTTGTTTTTCACACCTGTCCCGTTGGTTGATGTGTAAATATCGTTGTACTGAAGCTTCATTTATTAAATAAATCAAGTTAATTTCACCTTTCACATTTATTTACTGACATGCTTTAAGTTTCAGTATCATAAGGATTTGAATATTTTCATTAAAATTTATCTTTGGAGATTTTTGAACCAATTTACATGTTAAAGTATTCAATTAGACCCACTGAATTCTTCGTCATCTATTGATAGTCCTTAAGAACATTGCTTAGTTTTAGTCATTTTGAAGCTAATGCTTGTTGGCCTTTCATTTCTTGATCCCTGTTTCTGAACTATGTACATGTATTTACCTATCAGGTGGTGCTGACTTTGAAGCAGAGCCAATTCTGAATGAAAGTATGGTTAGATTCTGGTGTCCTGAGCTGACCCAAGAGGGCCAGTGGCACCATGTGTGTCTCGTGTTCCACAAAGCAGGCATCATGAAGAACAGCAGTGTTAGTCTCATGGTAGATGGCGCTCTGGTTAGCACTCAGAAGGTAGGTGTCCATTTGAGACCATTTGCCCCTAATACTTTTTACATATTGTACATATTTTGGATTGTAAATTAGATCATTATTCTGTGAAGAAATGTACTTAGTACATGAACATGTTGGGTCACCAGCTATAGAAAGTTTGATTTGTTCTTTTCTAGCTTCACTACATATCTGCCAGTCTGGGAGGTGGAGGAACTGCATCCCCCCAGGCTGTCACCTCAGTATTCGCCTACATAGGTACCCCACCCCAGCTACGTAAACCGTCCAAGGTGGTGTGGCGCCAGGGACCATGTCATCTCTTGGAAGATGTGATGACTCCTAGTATGGTAGAGACTGTTTATAAACTGGGGCCTAACTATGTTGGAAGCTTCCAAGCACCTGCCCTCGGTAAGCAATTTATACCATTTATCACTATTTAAATAAATATGGTTATACATGTATACGAGGGGTGATCCAAAAGTCTTGGACGCCACGCTCTAACTTTGCTATTTTCCAATATGATTACATGAAACTTTCAGATAATAAAGATCCACATCTTAACAACATTGTGTATAAGTTTCAACAGAAAATATTATATTTTAGCTGCTTTTCTAAATATTTTTTCATACCGGGTCCCTGCCACCCGGAACGGTATTTAAATATAGCAAATCACGTCACACCTGTTATAATATGGCAAATACTTTAGGTGCAGATGCACAACCTAACACCAGTCATGATATGAGAGAATTTGCGATTTTCAATCTGAGTGTCATCTGCCATCATTATCTTCACATATTACGACCTACTTTTCAACATATTTTCCACGAATTTGAACACATTTTTCATACAGCTCTACCAATGAATGGAAGACATTTATGAAACCGACTTTGCTTATGTGATACAAATGCTGCTAGAGTGCCACACTAAACCTCATCCAACGAGTAAAAAGACATTTTCTTTCAACCCTCCCTTCAACTTGGAGAAAAGGAAGAAAATCACACGGAGCCATATCTAGACTGTATCATGCATATGGTAGCTGCTCAAGGTCAATATAAGGGAGAATATCTCGTAGTATTCTTTGTTTCACTTTGATTTCTTTCATGTTCTGCATTTCAGCAGTCATCTTGCAGCAAAAATGATACCAGAATGAGGGTTGCTTGTCTGATGTTATTTTCTTAGAATTTGACATATACGGCCAATGTCATATGTGATATTATAATTAAAACACACTTAATTGGTTGCCTAGTAACAAAATAAGTAAACTAACATGGTTTAACATTCAAAATTCAAAGAAAGATAGTGGTCAAAACTTGCGAAACAAGTGAAATGGCGGCAACATTTAAGGCTGAAAGTTGCCATGTGCGAATACCGTTCCGGGTGGCAGGGTCCCTATATTAAAAACTATCTAGAAAACTACATTAAATATATCATTTCTCCATGAAATTACTACACAAAGTAGTTTGGTTATTGGTCTTTATTATTAGAAAGTTTAAAGTAAGCTTTATCAAAAAGCAACAAAATTAGAGCAGGGCGTCCAAGACTTTTGGATCACCCCTCGTATAAAACTTCAGTAAAACCTGTCTGAGTGGAACACTTTTGGTACCTCCAAAAAGTGTTCCACTTTGGAAGTGTTTAACTTGTAGATGTTCATTGAACATAAATTTGTTGAACTTGGGAGGTGTTCCATTTTACAGGTTTCACTGTACTTCATATAAAAATGTCATGAAAAGTCCTTTGTCAGAAATAGAATAACTCCTGATTGGTTTACACTGTAAGTGTCTATTGTGTGCTTGTCTATAAGATTGTTGTTTCCACAGGTAAGGAGGTGACTGGCGCCCTGGTTTCCGAGGAAAAGGTGATATTTGGCTTCTATGCACATGCCATGTCACAGATGACCATTGCAAAGATACGCAAGATCTACAACAAATTTGACAGCAAGTCCATCGCCAAACAGGTATTTCTTATTTGTCTCTCGGATATTGATTGTTTAAATGAAATTCTACAAGCATATCAGTTCACAGAAATTGATTTTTCAAAACAGATACACTACAGTATAATTTTCATTTTTTGGATAATATCTATTACTAACATACAGGACATACATAGGAAAAATAAACCTTTGTAAATATAATATATAAACCCATACTGGTAGATAAATACAATTATGTGTTTCATGAATGATTTAAGCCTCAAAAATGTTACCCTGTCTTAAAATGTCTGGCAAATTTTATGATTGGTTTCAGCTTGTAATGTCCACACATGAAAATGCCACACCCATTCGGATTCTCCACAACTCTGCGGGTCATCTAAGTGGCCCAGCGAGGTCACTCGGTGCAATTATTATGGGTTACCTTGGAGTGAGAACATTCTGCCCCAAACCTGTTGCCCGTAATCTTCTGAATATAGGAGGCACTTCAGCATTGTTGGGTCTTATTGCCATGGCAACGGATGTAGAGGGACTATATGCAGCTGTGAAGTCATTAGTTTGTGTTGTAAGGAGTAATAAGGCAGCCATTAGAGAAATGGACCGAATGAAAGGATATCAGGTAGAATATAATTCTTGATTGCAATCTCTGTACTATAGTCTGAAATACCCTTTTGAATCAATCAAACCTAAGAAAAAGCAATCAAAGACCCACAGTGCAATATAACATAGGTACACAAAAAGTGATTTGGACTGTAATTCCACTTTCAAAGAATCATGCTATGTGTAATTAATGCTTCAAATCGATTACCTTGGCCAGTGACAAAATGAGCATATGTTTGAACTGTACATGTATATTTGACACTTTCAGGTTTTGGGGATGTTATTGAAGAAAAAACGCCATCTATTGAACAGTCATATTCTCCACCTTACATTCTCTCTGATCGGCACAGTGGATAGTGGCCGTGAAAGCACCGTCATTCCAAACAAACATGCCTTTGAAGATCTACTATGTGACCTTGAGATCTGGCGGGAAGCCCCTGGTGACCTACAGCGCTCTCTATATGAACATTTCTTCGAATTGCTCACTGAATCAAGGTACATATATGTTTGTATATGTAAAACTATAAAATGTTTTACAATTATGATGAAAGGTGTACATGTTTATCGATTTTTCACTAGAATCTGATGTAAATAAATTTTTGTATCTGCTGGAAAGTAATGAATATATATGGGTTTTATTCTTAGGGACAATGTGATCCATAGCAGAGTAGAGTATAATGTGGTATTGACTAAAGGAGTAGAGTGATTGAGGATGATATCATAATATCTGATGGTTTCAGTTTATCCATACAGTGTTTTATTATTATAATTATATGTTCCTACATTACAGTGAGCTTTCCAGTAACCTACTGTTGATGAATGAGGTTGGGTTAGTGTCCAAGCTGCTCCATGTCTTCAAGGATAATAACCTATCATTAGCCAGTCAGCAGACCATAGCAAGTGTACTTACTGTACTGCTTAGGGGCGCAAAACAGACAGAAGGTTTACTAAGGTATAAAAGCTGTTTCACCAGGGGCTAGTAGCTCCATGTTATTGAAAGATTCGTACTTTATTCATATTTTATTGTCAGATAAAGATCAGATCAACCCTATTGCTCCTTAGTTGTCAGATTTCATAGATTGGTCGAAGGGCTCTGTGTATATGTTATGTAGATTAACATCTGTTTTGTTATGTTATGTAGGTTTGGTCAGTTCATGACCTATACACTCCCCACTATGTCAGTCAGTGAGCAAAATGCTAATGTTACTCCTCATGATGGACTAGAACATGTCACTGAGAACACAGGACTCGTGTCTGCTTACAACATACGCATTCGCAACCTCATGTTGGAAATTGTCATCAAGTTACTGATAAATCAAAATGGCACATTAAACTTACAGTAAGTTGGCTTTTTATTATTTTTATTTTTGCTTTCCGAAGTTTGGACCTGGAAAACTGATAAGTCTGTGGAACTTTGAATTATAAAGCTTAAGTGTCTGAACTTTGAATATAGAACTGAAATACTAACATCTTTTGTCAAACATAGAAAACTTAGAAGCCAAAGATAGAAAACTTAGAAACTCCAAGTATGTTACTATGTATGAAATTTAGATATTCTTAACTACAGATGTGGACTTCCCTACACCATCAGTCTAATTCGTATAATTCACATTGCAGGTTTGCAGATGATTTACAGCGAGTGCTAGGATTCGATTGGCTGTTATTATTCCTACAAGGTCACCTGCACAGATCAACAGTTGTTTTGAGCATGCGACTGTTGGTGACCATGTTGTCTCACAGTACCAGCCTACAGAGGTTTAGAGAGGGCACACATGGGGGAGGTTGGCTAAATGATACAGAGGCAGTTTTGAAGAGCTCCTATGGTATCGTAGTAGGTATGTAATCAACAGAATATTTACACTTTACACTTGGGACTGTAATAACTAACATGCATGGTACCATTGGTATGTATACCCCACATTTAAAGTCTAATATAATGTGACATTTACTTACACTAATATAATGTGACCCTTACGTACACTCATATAATGTGACCCTTACGCATATGATACAAGTATTATGTTACAGGTTTCAACATGAGTTCCAGTAACAACAAAAGTCAACAGAATCATGAGATTAATCAAGATACTAGTCATATCCCAGGGTTCACCTCTCTACAATGGCTGCTCCCAAAGCACTCGGACATCCATGAGTTGTACTTCCTGTTGATGGCACTGTTGTTAGGGCAACCAGTGAAACGGTTACCAGAGTGTGAACAGGTTAGTTGTTTCCTAAGATGACAGTGCATTTCTATAGCGAGATAAAAAGAGGAAAATCAGAGTGTATAAAATCCAAGTTTCAGTATTTTTTCTTCATACATATTTTTGTTAAAATGTACAAACGTACAATCTCCTGTGTCTTTCCAAATGTTACCTGCAATTTACTTTATATTTATTGATTGAATATTTTAAGAATATGACAGTATGTGACGTTATAGCCAATCATTATAAGGTTATCAGTATTTGCTTTTGGATATAATCTTACTACAGTCTGATAGTCCAGTAAGCTTATAGTTGCTTTTGTACTTTTAGTTTGACTTGGATTCTGTGTGGACGTTTATATTTGGTGTTCCTGCGAGCCAATCAGGAGCCAAGAAAGCCAACAATCGAGCAGAGCTTTGTCCCGAGGCAGCATTTGTGATCTTGTCTATGATCAGATATATGTTGAATCAGGTACTGTCTTACGGTAAACTAAATCAAACAACATCAATGTTATGAAAGGGAGATACATTTGGATGATTACGTGGACCATCTTTAACATTAAAATAGAGTTAATGTATAATCCTGGGTGTTTGCACTTAGTAATAAAACCAAGTAAAATTAATGAATTCCAAGATCAAACTCCTTTTCTCTTTTAACCCCCCTCCACCTGCCCCACAAGACCTTATACCATTATACAAACACACATCGTATAATATGTACCGGAAATTTTGTCTAAAAGTTACACTCTCTGGATTATTTTATATTTTTATAGTCTCCAACTTTGTGGATGATGTTTGTATCTGCAACAATTTCTTACAACTTCCAATAACTACCCAGGTGGTGACATTTTCTCATGTTAATTCCCTGTTTAATCTATTTAATTTATTTATTATTATTAATTTATTAATTAATTTAATTTATTTCAGCCTGAATCTCTAGAGGGGGAAGGTACATGGTTACATGAGTACCCAATCACCCTGATGCAATTCCTTCTATTCCTCTACCACAACCAGGCTGACTTCATCCCCCTTTGTATGAGTGAAGAGTTCCTATGTGGCCTCGTAGCCACCCTGTTTCCCTATAGACTCAGCTCTGTATCAAGCAGCGAGGTCTCCTCACCTGTAGATGAGTTCAAGGTTAGTGAATGCTCTATCAACTTGCTACACTACCCTATGATCATTACAGTACACTTGAATGTGAAATACTCATAAAGTTGATCTGTTATTAGCATAAGGCTGTTTAGGGTGTATCCAACTATACAATCATAGCGTAAGATGTATATTTTCAAACATCTTCTGGTTAGTTTAGAATACCCATAACTAGTAATTTCGATGATCCTGACTGACATTTCAAGTCGCAAAATAAAAATATGACTAAACTACAAATATCCCATTTATTTTTCAGCCATACCCTGGTAGTGAAGATATGGTCTTAATAGAGTCCTCCCCTCAGAGCACTGTCAATACAGAAACAAAACTTACCAGTCATCCAGCTAAGAAGTTTGTGCTGGATTTCATGAGGATGATTGTGGTGGACAGTCTGTCACTGCCATCTAGCAGCAAGACTATTCCAGTCATTGATAATTTGTTAGATGTAAGTTAGATGGGATACATGGTATTTGGCTAGAGAACTTGAAAGCTAGAAGTCTAAGTTGGGGGCTCTAGGAATCTGCTGTTGATTAAATAGCAATATATCCAGGGTCCAAGGAATTCTTAAAATGTCAATTTTTATTCATGATAATGTTAAAGTTGTTTGAGAGTTCAGTTTGTGTTCAATTTATACCTTCCAGGCATCCCCAGAGCACAGTACTCCTGGTCAACAGAGAGAGTTACAGACAGAGGTGCTTAAAGGCCTGATGGACCATCTCCTTGCAGCCGATGCTCTCCTGGGGGAGCAAGCAGCTCTCCCTATAGCCATTGGGGGTAGCTATGGCAACATGGCATCAAACGTGTTTTATTTCGCTAGTAGGGTTGTTGACAAACTCTGGCAAGGTACAGAAATTTATAATTACTTTTGTGCATGTATTTTGCCATAATGAAATTAAAAGTTCACATTTAGTAACTGGTATTAAAGGCTTAAAGAGGAACAGACACAACATGTATTTTAGCTTTGTGTTTTTGATATGGTCAAATACATGTATTGATGCTTTTCAGGTTCATATGTTAGAGACTCAAAAGAGGTGTTTGAATTCATTAGTAATCTCATAGCTCAAGCCAAACGTAAAGGTAAGTTTGTTCATTTACTTGAATCAACTGCTAGTAATAAGTGAAATGCTTTGGGTAAGTTAATGGGCAACCAGACTTTGAGAAGTGTTTCACTTACATAGGTGTTCCTTTTTACAGGTTTTACAGTTTATATGCAAGGATCTCTATCCAGCATCAAATTAGTCAGGTTTTGCATACACCCACTTGAGAATTGTGGAATGGTCTACACCAACTTTTAAGAGGATTTGAAATATTATGAAAAATTTGGATCAGTTTGAACAATTTTTATCAGAATAGACAAAATTATAAAGGATTTCATCCATTGTATTGTAAACCTTTTTATACACAAAGCTTTCAAAACACCAATGCTAAAACATTTTTCACTTGTGTTTCAGCCTCTGGCCTGTCTCTAGACCCAATCTACAAGAGCTTAAATCGCTGCCTCCTATATAGACTGTCCCGCCCTCTATATGCTGTATCCTCCCAGATGACAATCCTGGACTCCCTACACAAGATCACATGCAACAGGACACTGGTGTTCGGACCTGGCAATTATGACCAGGAATTCTTGGGATGCCTCAGTTACCTCCTTCTTACCCTAACAGAGGATGTCAATGGTTCAGCGTAAGTTATAAAAATGTCACTTCGTATTCTTGTAGCCTTTTTATGGTGTGTTCATATACTTGGGATGTCGGTGTTCAATGTCTGTAAAAAATGGTGGGTGGTGACATTTTTCATGTTAATGCTTTGTATTACATAAAATCATATTTCACTTTTGACAATAAAGTTGGTCAAAAGTGTTTTACATAACAATACACACCTATGTTTCAAGTTGGAGCTAAAACAAATATAGTTTAACTTTTGTTTTCATGAGGAGGGTTGGGTGGTCAGAGAGTCAAGACTATGCTCTTTTGTTTCAGTAATGGTGAGAAGATAGATGAACAGACAAACACAAAGTGGCACATAATGCCTGATGACCCCCAAAACAACACTGACCTACTCAACAGGTACCATTGTAGACTCATTAGTAATTACATACTCAACTCATTACATACTCAGCATAATGAACTAAATACATATTACGCTCTTTTTCTCTTTCATTTCTATTTCAAGCAACATATTTTATAGCCAGAAAATGATGAAAATACAATATTATATTAATGAAAGAGAGATTCTCATGAAGACTAGACTATAAGCAACAGTAAAATTACTCCCCATATAATTAAGATTCACAGTTTACAGTTATGATGACAATGTTTCCCATTCTTCATGAATTATGCTGTAAGGTGTTGGATGGCCACCTTATTGGCTTTCACATGCAGTAAAGTTTTATTTTTGATCGTTTTAATCTTCAGAAGTTCAGATAAGCTGGGGCAAGAAGGACTACAGCTGGTGGCCAATGCAGCAAAACGTGTCTGGGAAGAGTTGTATGTCTGTAAAAAACCTGTAAGTTATAAAATACTAAGGCTGTTTTGAATCGGATTGGCTAAAGATATTTTAAGGCCGGCCCCTTTTCTTTTCCTAAAGTTATGGTGTTGAAAATCTATAAATCAACATTTAACTGGAAGAAAATAAAATGTACCTGTATATGTACATGCATATCTATGACATCAAAAACAATGATGTCATGAAAGAGCTAATTTATGACATCTTAGTAATTTCAATTCTGAATTCTCAGAAAAACACTCCTCATATGCAAACCCTATCACAAATAGCTTTTCATATTAGAATCCTTACAAGGGTCTTGATTTATTACGAATATATATGTCATAGATTACATTTTGCCTATTGCCAAAAACTTCAGTGGCTTCAGTCTTTAAACAACGGTCATAAAAATCAGCTGTCATTTCACAGTCCACCTCTTCATGGACCTGATATGATTTTTCAATGTTCCAGACATTAGAGGAAATCTTCAAAGTGACCTTGAACCCCAGTCTTGCTGACCCAACTGCCAAGGTTACGACCCCTGAACTGCACAATGTTCGACCAATGATATCTGAAGGTGCATCCAGGATGTGGTTGGCTTATGTTGACTGGGAGAGAACCAAATCAGTAACTGAAGCCCAGAAACTACAAAACCAGTTGCAGTCGGTAAGTGTGACATCTGAATACTTGTAATTAGAAGAAAAATGGGACAATTAGTGGGCCAAGTAAAAAATTACATAAACTATGAAATTCCACACAGTAAACAGTTATGGAAGCTGAAAATCCCCACAAGGCATTCAGTCTGTTTTAAGACAAAAAATAATCCTTGAGGATATTTTCAGAAACTTGCAAAGATGTCAAGTGGTGTATTGAGATTGGCTGGAAAGAAGACAAAGAGAGAAACTCCCTACAAGAATTGTATTACCACACCAGCTGAGATGAACATGTGGACTTGGACTCATGTGGCTATAGTCAGGGACTTAGTAGAGCTACATTATAAACAGTATTTACAGGTACAGTTCAATACATTGTTCTTTCAGATAAAATGTCTGAGATCCAATATTCATCCACATGGTACATTCAACCAACTCAAATTGTACATCCAACCAAACATGCATTAACTTATTATGGTGGTGTCACATTGTTATTGTCTCCAACTTTTTTGTGACGGTGGTCGGCATTCAGCATGTGTAACAAATAGCAGGTGGTAACATTGAGATTTTGCATGTTAATGCCTTGTAATATATTATTTTTCAGGCACAGAGCCACATGCAAAAGATTCTTTATGAGGAGTGGCATCAGACAGAGACTGCTCTCCTACGTGAGAGAGGTCTCTGGGGGCCCTCCACCGGCTCTTCCCTAGAGAAATGGATGTTAGATATGACAGAAGGGCCATGCAGAATGCTCAAAAAAATGATGCGAAATGACTTTTTCTATATTCATTACCCATATTACCCAGAAGGCATGGAGAATGTTAGTCGGAAATACAAAATGGCGGTTAGCTATGATAGTGAGAAGTACTACAAAAGATTTCAGTCTAAGAGTCTTATAGGAGAAGATATTGGACCACAAGCTATTACAAAACAGCCACAGTTGATGCAGGAGGAGTCAGTGGAAAAGGAAGAGGAATGTAAGTTGTATTGTTACAGTAAAATATCACTCAATTTTGTAATGTATTCATGTACTATATCACTCAATTGTTTCTTGTATTAGTGTAATATATCACTCAATTGTGTATTGTATTCATGTGATATATCACTCAATTGGATATTGTATTAATGTAATATATCACTCAATTGTGTATTGTAGTGTCATTAACCACCAGCAACCTACTAAAGAGACAAGGCACTGCTGCTAGCACTGATGCCGCTGATGATGACAATGATGTAACTGACATATCAACTGAACCCAACATAAGTGAAGGACCAAACCCTGATAACCAAACTGTACTAAGACTCTTGGAAGAAGATGAAAAGGTAAATTGATCTCAAAATGACTTCAATGCTCAAAAAATGATGCAAAATGACTAAAAAATGATGCAAAATGACTTCAATACTCAGAAAATGATGCAAAATGACTTCAATACTCAGAAAATGATTCAAAATGACTTTAGTAATAGTCATATTCATTGACTATTTTGATTTTGATGAAAAGTCATTAATCAAATGTAATACTCTATTCATCATATTGAAGTCATAACATTTGGTTTTGCAGATTACACATATGTTCCGATGTGCAAGAATACAAGGTCTAGATACAAGTGAAGGACTACTTCTTTTTGGGAGAGAACATTTCTATGTGTTAGACGGTTACACATTACTGAAAACGAAAGAAATAACGGACATTGATAACATTCCAGCAGACAAACACGAACCAATCATTCCTAAGACAACTATGTGTGTCACCACAACGATGAAGCGCATGTAAGTCTGTATATGAAACTATAACTGTCAAGGTTACCCTGTTTACTTGATTACATACCATATGGCATGTATGGGTGAAACGTTTTGGTGGAGAGCCAATTTTCAAAATGGTGACCATTTCAGTGATAATTTTACAGTATTTTATTAGAAATTAGAAATTTGATAAGTAATTTCGGTTTTCCTGCAAACATAATTATAATGATGCTGATTTTGTCTTAAATCCAATTTCCCAAAATATGGTGGCCATTTTAAAGAAATGCTGGCCAATTTTACCTGTTATTTCAAGCTTTTACGCTTCAAAAGCAGTGAAGAGACTTTGTTGCTCTTGTGTATGTATGAAAGTTAGACCTAGATGCCTGAAACTCTGGAAAAGCTTGGGCTTTAACTGAGTTTATCTCATCTGTTACTTCTTCCATGCTTGATGAATATTATTTATTTATCATTAGCGCAGCAAAATAAATCTGAATGACAAATGTTTCCTTTGTGTCAATACAGGTGCAGTAAATTTACCTATGAAGATATAAAAGAGATCCATAAACGACGCTATTTGCTTCAACCAATCGCATTAGAGGTGTTTTCATCAGACGGCCGCAACTTCCTATTGGCATTTCCACGAAAATTAAGGAACAAAATATATGCCAAGTAAGCATTAATGATGTGCTCTATTTTGAATTGTAATGGGATTTTTATAACTGAATATACTGCATTACTCAGCCATATACTAAATATACTGTGTACTAAACTATTTTAAGTGATTATAATGTTCATTTGAACATCAATATGTAATGGTGAATATAAAGGAGGGTTTATGCAGATTTGTATTTAAATTAAATAAGGCTTAATTCTATGTTGTTTTCCTTTGTAACAAATAACAAATTGGTAAAATAACAAGAAAATCACGTTCATAGATCTACAAGGTCAATGAAAGGAATCATGTTTTAGATTCATGGCAGTGGCGACATCTATCACCGATAATGCACAACAGTCAGTATCAGGCCAGAAGCAGAATGCAAAAGTTGAACCCGGGACTGGCCTGATTAGTAGCTTAATGGGAGAGAAGTCTGTCACACAGCGTTGGGAGGTAAGGATCATGTGACTAAGAGATAAGGGCAAAATCTGCTTAATTATTCCCCCAACCAATGAAAGTGTTCTTTCGCCACTGATTGACATTTGCCTTAAAGTACTTTAATATGTTACCTCAAAGCATGTAAAAAGATTGGGTCAAAGTGCTTTACTGTCAAAATTTGCCTTAAAATCCTCTTTTCTTAAAAGTTCTGAAATCATGTTTTTATTAGTTGATGACCAGTTGATCCAACACATATTTAATATTAACATTTCAGAGAGGTGAGATCAGTAATTTCCAGTACATCATGGCTCTAAATACATTAGCTGGACGTTCATATAATGACCTAATGCAGTACCCTGTCTTCCCATGGATAGTTGCAGACTATGACTCACAGGTAAATAAAGTACATGAGAGTAGATTGAACAGATCTGACACTAAAGAAATGTTAAAGGAGGAAACGTGCAGATATTGGCCAGACATTTTCAGAAGTACAAAACAAAATGTCAATCCTATCTTTTCTTGTGTCTTATTCATGTCTTGAAATATCTCATCAAGAAATAGTCAGTTTGCTACACTGATACCATTGAAGATGTTTTGTTCGTTATTGGTTAATACCCTTACAGAGGTAGGTAGAGACTATGTTGAGAAATAAAAATAAAAATATGATGTAATAAGAGATGTGGGTCCCATTCAATTCATAGGTTTGCGTGTCCTATTCATGTCATGGATAATTCATTACCGATCCCATTTAAGATTTTTGTTGGTTAATGCCCCAACATAGGGAGAGACTTTGTAGAGAAAGAAAAAAATGTTTGAAAATTGTACATAAATGTAAACATTTCAGGACCTTGACTTGTCAGATCCTGCTACATTCAGGGATCTATCTAAACCAATGGGAGTTCAGACGGAGAAACGATTGGGGCAGTTTCAGAAACGCTACAGAGATTGGGATGATCCTGCAGGTCAGTTTCAACAAAATTTGAAATCAAATTCTTTTCAAGTTATTTAATATCCATGAATATGCAAAAACAATGCCAATATAGTGCCAACAACAACTTAGCTATTTAATGGCAGTAGTGTTAATGGGTTCTTCTTTAAGCATATACAATATCAGTTCTTAAATCGTCTCGCATAAAGCTAATGACTAGACAGATGCTGTGAGCATATTCTTGCCAGGATGGAATCTTTCGCACAATAGCAAATGCATTATATCCATGTATTTTTGTTGAAGGTGAGACCCCACCCTACCACTATGGTACCCACTACTCCAGTGCAATGATAGTCGCATCATATCTTGTCAGAATGGAACCCTTCACACAACATTTCCTCAGGCTTCAGGTACATTTATACTCATTTATTAAACTGGCCCAACTTGAAAATCAGTATCAAACCAATGTTTCTTGGAAAATTGGAGGAAAATTTGAGTGTCAAAAATTTTTAGGCTGGATGACCAGATCATTTTTTCCTTATAAATGAGAGTTTATATTGGAAAGAAAATGGGTGCACCCAGATGTTTCTATAATGCACCATTTTCCATTTAAGGGGTTGATCCATAAAATGAATATTGCGTTGAGATTTTGACATTTGGCCCCTAAACACTTTCAAATAATATTGTATATCCATGATAAAACAAAACTTATTACTGTTTACTCAATGTCTTTATAATTTGTTTGTTTACTTACTTAGGGAGGTCACTTTGATCTAGCTGACCGCATGTTTCACAGTGTGCGGGAAGGATGGCTAAGTGCATCCAAACATAATATGGCAGATGTCAAGGAACTTATTCCTGAATTCTTCTATCTGCCAGAATTCCTCAGGAATGCCAATAAATTTGATTTAGGTAAGGTTCCATTATAAGTCTGTTGTCTCGTCAATAATTACCCCCAAGTGATCAGAAAATTGAAGATTGGGTTTTAGAAAAGACAAGGTATGGTATGGCAGGTGATTTTATAGCATGGCAAGTAATGGTGAGAAATACTCTATCGACAATCACTTGCCTTACCAAGTCACCATACATATGATTCTTTAGAATTAAATCTTGTGGCAGAAATTTTATTGAAAACTGGCTAATCTCTGAACTAACGTTCATTTTATGTCCAAATGATTAATTTACACCATTGATCATGGCTCCTACGTTTGCCTGTTGTGCCTTTTTGTAATAAACAATAGCTAAATGCTTATCAATCCTCATGTTCTTGGTAGGTTCTAAACAGAGTGGAGTTGTTCTGGATAATGTCATCTTACCAACTTGGGCAAAAGGAGATGCTCGGGAGTTCATCAGAGCTCATAGAGAGGTGGGTTACACACATATTATTCTATAGTTACTGTGATATAATCAATTGCATGTATATAATCTACTAAATACTGAAATACATTGTATAGTTATCATAATTTGGGGGAAAAGATTACAGATATTCGTAAGATATCATGTCAAAATAAAAACAGTATTTTTGTAATCAGTAAAAATATCATATTTTGGCAAATTTTCACAAAACCATCAAATGCAACTCTGACTGTGAAATAAGGTGCCATACTTGTATCTGATGATGTAACTGAGGATGTAAAATGAAGCTGGCAGTAATAATGGCCAATCATAACTTTGAAACATTTGACAAGCAAAAAAAAGTCCAGACCATTTGATTTGCTCATCATGATATGATTTTTATCCAGGATTGGAAATGATATCTGTTTAAATCTTATTAGTTTATAAAGCATTTCCATTGAGCATTTCATACTTTTATTTGTCCCCAGGCACTCGAGTGTGACTATGTGAGTGCTCATCTACATGAGTGGATAGACCTGATATTTGGAGCCAAGCAACAGGGGCCTGCAGCATATGAAGCCATGAATGTCTTCCACCACTTGTTTTATGAGGGAAATGTTGATATATACAGTATAGACGATCCATTGAAGAAGAATGCTACCATCGGCTTCATCAACAACTTCGGGCAGATACCAAAACAGGTATATCTTTAGAATTAGTTTCTCAAAAATAACATAGTATGCAGGAATGTTTATGAATTTTTTGTTTTTGACATCTGTTACCACAGCAACAAATACTTATTGTGATTTTCAAGTTGAGGGTTATTTCATTTTGGGATTTTATTTGGGTTCCTGTTTTTGTCTCCAGGGTTCCTACTTTCAGTAGTTTTAGATGGAAAAAATCTGAATATTTATGAGTCTAAGCCAATATAAAACCACTTTTTGGCCGATTCTCAATTTCATAGATTAGCATTTAGGTAAAACACTTAAAATAAAACAAAAAAGTATGTTTGTATCGTACTTGCACTGATCTACTTTATAATCCAACAAGTACAATTATTTACAGTATATGATCCAGTTAGAAAAGTAAAAAAAATTGTCAATGAGTGTCTTTATGATAGGATAGGGTATCGTCCTTTTAACCATCCTCATAATATTAGCTGGTTCAGTGTTCATGAATCAAAGTAAAAAAGTCCACAAAAATCATATTTTAAATTGTGAATTTGTGAATAACGTAAATACATTAGATGCTTAGTCCAGACTCTAAGTTTACAGACATTCCTCGAAAATCAGTTAGTTTGTTAGAATGTTGGAGAGGAATTGTTTTAAATAAGCCCAGATATGTGATATAAGTAATGATTTCCTATCAGTGAATGTCCTCTCTGTCTTCCTACATTTCACAGTCCCCTTATGCCTCGCCTCCGCAACATGCTGCAATTTAATATTATCATATTAGGAACAAGATTATTGAAGGGAATGTTGGCCGAATGCATGTTTGAGTCAGTGTACTAAATTGTTATGTTGAAAGATATAAATGTAATCAAAAGTCATTACAGAAAATGTTCAGAAACAAATGGGAAAGATAAGTATTTTAAGAATATTTAGTATGAGGTTTTCTAATATTTGGTTAAGATGAAGTGACTTATAACATGATGGAAGAAGGATTATCATGAGGCTTTTGATGAGTTGAAGATCGATTTTGATGATGAAGTATTGAAAATTATGGGCATGTTTTAAGTTGTTACCTCCAGGGCTGGGTGGTGAGGGTCTCTCCTGTTCACTCTCTACAGCCCATAGGAAGAAATTCAATGGCAGTTTCACAATCCATTCAAACAAATCTATGGCACACTGTAGAGGTATTGCACAACATGGACAGCAACATTTGACTACAAAAAAATATTATGAAAAATTTATGAAGATATTTTGAGTATAATATATTAAATATAAAAATATATACTAAATATAAAAATTGAATAGCACTAATTATGCATACAACATATTCCAAAATGCACATATTCCTATAAAATGATTTACTTACTATTGGTATATGAAGTAAAGATAGCTCTGCCATGAATGAAATGGAAAATTGATATATTGATGACCATTGCAAGCTAACCATTAATCATCTTAACCCACCCCCTCCCTCTGTACTTACATGGGAGCAAGATGAGCCATATCAGTCCAAAGAAAATAGACATTATAAGTAGGATAGGTAGACATACACAGTACACGACCACCTTAAAACACTTTCCGATACATGAGCCTTCTTCACAGCACATCTTGACACTTTTACAATTGTCGAGTCTCTGCTAGAATATAAAGTTTATAGTACATTTACATATGTGCTATTCTATAAGAATAGATTAAAAAGCCCTGGGCTTCAAATGACCCATAATTAGCCTACCATTATCACATCTTATTTGGTATATACTATGTTCTACACTATATGCTATATTTGAGATTTTCACCGAGCCAAATGTAAGAGTTCTTTTGCAGTATTCTTAAAGCAGTTTCTTTTTTTGTTTTTGTTAATGAAAATTATGTGAGCACTGAAAATATATGTGTTGAAGAACAAAAAGATTTCCAAACCCCATAATAACGGAATATGAGCTTGTTATAGATATAATTACTTACTGAATTTCTTGCTGTAAATATCAAAGTATCCACTCAGTAGTCCTACTAAAATCAAAATGATAAACTGTTTGCCTCCCTGACTTAGTGTAGGTTACTATACTCTATACACCCAATCTTTCATGGTACCGGCAATACAGTTTTGATAATCTATGTAAAGGTTACATGTGGGTTTATCTATGATGGATTTATGACATATTATTCTTACCAATTTTGATATGGTAAAAAATTTGTTTAAACGGAGCTGATTTGGAATCATAATGTGAAATGTACATAGAAGGATAGATTATAACGAAATTGAGTGAATTTTTCTTGTCATGCCTATTTTCGAACAAAATTCTAAGAGTCCTAATTTTGGGGTTTCTGAAAAGGTGGTTCTAATGTATTGGATATTTTTGTATCTTCAATCACTTCCATATTTGATGGAATATCTCAAAACCTTCATTAGGAATCAAATGTGACATGGACAGATAACTCAAAAAGCTTGTTTCTAACATTTTATACTGTCTATCCTTAGCTGTCCCTTTAAGGCTTTGAGTATTGATGTGATGCATAAAATTATTTGATGAATTCTGGATCCTCCATTTATTGCATATCTATATTCTAAAGTACCAAAAGTTAATAATTAATTGACGAAGTATAATTAATTATAATATTTCATATTACGCCTTTATAGGACAAGATAAAGTTAACTTTACTTTGGCATATCAGCAATAATCAGCTCAGAGATGAAATAATTAAATAGAATTATTTAGAATATAAAACACACTTTAATCAATCAGTTCATGAGTCATAATACACATTTGTTAAATTATTTTGAATTCCTCTTTCAAAAATGTAGCTTTACTCTAAGCACATACATAATCTGTGGTTCAAATTAATTGATCATTCATTTCTCTATAATGATTTTGAGGGTGAATATTTTAATGTCGGCTGATTAGACATTACTTCAAATTATTCATTCAACCAAACTTCAATTTTTTCTCTCATCAAAGAGATGAATTGAAATTTCCATCAAAATCAAGGCACGAATATTGATGCTATCAAAATGATATGGACTTTGTGCCCCACTTTAATTCAAATTTCACATAATTTTTGACTAAACTTACATATTTAATCCAACAAATAGTAAATAACAAATTCACCACAAGTCGTGACATATTGTTATAGTCTCCAACTTTTTGTGGATGGTGTTTAGCATTTGGGAACTGGTGTTCAGAGTTTGGTGTCTGTAATAAATGTCTGGTGGTGACATTTTGCATGTTAATGCATTGTATAGAACTTCCTCTAATTTCTTAAATCCCTAAGTTACTTGTTGTTGCAGTTGTTCAAGAAACCTCATCCACAAAAGAAGCTAAATATACGACTACTGGAGCCTGTATCAATGCCAAATGTTGTCAACACCTCAGCAGATAAACTGTTTTTCCACAATTTGGACATCCTAAAGCCTGCAATGCAACCAGTCAAAGGTACGAGTATGATGCAAGTGAACACTTGTGAATGTGTTTTGGGATAATATTCCCTGTTTGTGTGCTATTCATTCACATTTTCTTCAACTTCTTCATTCAACCAAACTTCAACTTTTGTGAGGATATGTATGTCACTTTATCTGCAATTTATTGGGTGTTGTCAAGAGTCAGTATAATCCACCTGCAGGATGTGTTCAGAAATAAAGCATATGAATTGCATGCAGGTACAAGCATCCCCCTTCACTATTTTATGAAGTTATATTTCATATGGATTTGAATGTGTTATAGAACTGAAGGGTGCTGTTGGTCAGATCTGGCATAATGATCGCAATGTACTAGCCGTGGAGCAACACAAAGTCCTCATTCCACCCTCCGGGAGCAAGTTCCTTGCCTGGGGCTTCTCAGATCTCAGCCTTAGGATTGGTTCTTATGATTCAGAAAAGGTAGATGTAGTCTTGTTTCAAGCCCTTGTATTAATCTGTGTAAATCCATTTATTTTACTACTAGTATACAAGAGAACGTATTGATTTCATGCAAATGCAATACATGTATATGAGAAGTTGTTTATGTTAGGCAGGTGCAATATATGAGAAATTGTTTATTTTAGGCAAGTGAAATATATGAGAAACTGTTTATTTTAGGCAGGTGCAATATATGAGAAATTGTTTATTTTAGGCAAGTGCAATATGAGAAATTGTTTATTTTAGGCAAGTGCAATATATGCAAAATTGTTTATTTTAGGCAAGTGCAATATATGAGAAATTGTTTATTTTAGGCAGGTGCAATATATGAGAAATTGTTTATTTTAGGCAAGTGCAATATATGAGAAATTGTTCATTTTAGGCAAGTGTGCAATATATGAGAACTTGTTCATTTCAGGCAAGTGCAATATATGAGAACTTGTTTATTTTAGGCAAGTGCAATATATGAGAATTTAGACCAGGGAGATATCATGTGTGCTTCCTGTCCCAATGGGAAGACAATAGTCACAGGTGGAACTAGCACAGTAAGTAATTACATAGCTAACATTATTCTTTATCTTATCTTAGTGATCTTGTTATCTTGGTTTTAGGTTCCAACGTGATATAGTAAAGCCCATTGACATTGTTATTCTGTCCTGATTCATCCATCTGAAGGTGCTATTCATCGCTCAAATATTACAGAAGATTTAAAATGGAAATAAATTTAGCTTTAAATGTTCAATATGTTCCGATAGTATATGAATACCTGAAAAAGACTACATGAAAAATTTGACATGCTTTCACCTACTTTAAGGATGTATGTGTCTGGCAAATGGGTACAGGAAAGCACAAGAAGCAGTTACAACTGAAGCAGGCCCTCTATGGCCACACAGAGCCTGTCACATGTATCTCTGCGTCACAGTCTTACAATATCATAGTTAGTGGCTCACGGGACAGGACGTGTATTGTTTGGGATATGACAAGGCTGATCTTTGTGAGACAGCTTAGAGGGCATGCTGCGCCGGTTGCAGCTGTCGCAATCAACGATTTAACAGTAAGCCAGAGATTACAATTACAATTATTTTCAGACTTTATTTTATTCAATTGTCAATTGGAAATACTTTAATCTGAAATAACCTGCTTTTCATTTGTGTTTCCTCATTGGTAATAGATTAAATATCAAGTAACGAGTATCAAAATGTTCCATTTAGGGAGACATAGCAACATGTGCAGGAACATATGTTCATGTATGGAGCATCAATGGTGATGAGATAGCCAGTGTGAATGCAGCAACAGGGACAAACCAGCAGATCCTGTGTGTGGCCTTTTCTCAGATGATGGAGTGGGATGTCCGCAATGTTGTCATGACTGGGGGCAGTGATGGAGTGGTCAGAGTGAGTATTCTTATTACTGTCTCATGTTTCACACTAAATCCTTCATAGTTTTCATTTAGTGACTGCTAGGAATGAAGCTGTAAAAGAACCATTTTTTCAAAAATGTTTCAGAAAGTCTATTTTATTGACAAGGTTGTTTCGTTAACAAAATATGAATGAAGGTTTTGAGGCAACCCCTAGGTTATTCTTGGATTAAAGACTTCATATTAATAATATGTATATTCCTTACTTAGTGAGGTATTTTCCTTTATCCAGTCAATGTTTATATTCATCTGAGCAAAATACAACATTTGTATGTATTATTTTAAAGGGCTTCATTCATTGAGTATCTGTCTACAGCTGTTTGAAAGTTATATTGTCCATCACTATGTGTAAATGAAGTCTCCACCAAGTATAAGTATTACAATTTTTAGCCACTGTATCATTGCATTGTAGATGTGGAGCATAGAATTTGTTCAAGTGCCAGATGAAACTAAGACCAAGAAGAAAGATGCAATGGATGGTAAAGATTCTGATAAAGCTGCAGTCATTGAAAGGTATACATACTGTTATGTGGCTGGAATATGTGTGCTGCCCATGAGGCCCAAAGCCTGCCTGCTGATCATTTCAATTCTTTCATAGCCCACACTTGTATTTCATCGATATTAAGGGTTAAGTCTGTAAGGGTTAAATCTGTAAATATATCCATGTTCTGTCGTATTGTGCTTCTTTTTCTGTTTAATTTATTTCATCACAATCAAGAAGTGGTTGTTATAACTACCATTGTTTTGTGACTGAAGTTTTGCATAAGTGTCTGTTACAAACCATTACACTCTAGGAACTTTTTACAACAACATATTAACCTAACTATTTGGTGACATTTTGTTGTGTTAATGCATTGTTAGATGTTTCTGTATTTCATTATATTAATTCTTTTATCATGACAATTTGTGGAAAGATGAATTAAAAAACTTCATATAGGCTTATGCTTAATATTGATTACAGGCTGGCACAGTTCAAGTCCCCAGGTCCTATACGTCAATATAGCGAGACACAAGATGGTGAATCTGTTCTCAGTGAGACAAATACAGAGGACACTGTCAGAGTAAGAGATCCCCTAGTAGCATCACGTCTCCATGCTCTCAACTCCTCTAGTATGCAGACAATGGGGGACGTGATGTCTCTTGATGATGAGACCAGTAGACTATCAGATACTGGTATAGAGAGTGGAATGGATGCCTTAACTGAATTAGAAACATATATGACCAAAACAACTAGCCAATCAGCTTTGAAGGAGTTAGAGGTGAAAGTTGAAAATGGTGATGATCCAGAAGGTCCAAAGTCTCCATCTTCAGATTTTGTAATTTTGAGTGATAGTGAGGTTAAAAACATTCCTAAATCCGTTGATGATGTCATACAGAAATATTCTCCCAAACGACGCCAGGACACTCTGAGAGAAGGTAATTTTTAGTCTTTCATTGCTAAAATTTATTGTGATATTCTAAATCAGTTATTGACCATTGACAAGTTATTATCCATCAAAAGGATGATTATGAAATGTTTTTGAAATTTTCAAACCTTTGAAACCTTAGCTGAACACCCTTGTGATACAAACTATGACTTGAGTTGTTTTCAATTGACCTAGGAAATTGATATGTTTTGAAGATTTTTTAAAAATGATTTTGTTCATCCATTAATTGATTGATTGTAGGCTTCAAGTGGCAGAGACAGCTTGTGTTTAGAAGCAAACTAACGATGCACACAGCATTTGAACGCAAAGATAATCGTGAACCAGCAGCTGTGACTGCTATCGCCTCATCGAAGGACCACAAGTGTGTCTATGTGGGTGACGTAAAGGGGCGTGTCTTCAGCTGGTCTGTTTCTGACCAACCAGGACGCACCATGGCGGACCACTGGGTTAAAGACGAGGGTGGAGATAGCTGCTTAGCATGCTCCGTCAAGTTTTCATTCTCGGAGAGACGACATCATTGTCGCAACTGTGGCCAGTTATTCTGCTCCAAGTAAATGCAATTTTTATTTCAGCATTACTGCCTGGTATAAACCTGATTGAGCCGTTCCAAATGAGTATTTAATTAGCTTCATATTGACTTCTACATTTAAATAGGATTACTGTACTTTGGCGGATCCACCAAATTGTTAGTCAGCAAAAAATTGGTCGCAAAATTCAATATTTCATATTTCAATCGTAAAGGAGTGGTATCGATATGGAGAACTTTTGAACACACGTTTCTCTTAAACCAGTCATAAAAAAATCTAAAAAACATCGTCAATTTAATGGTCATCTTTTGAATGGTAACAATATAATTTGAAAAGTATATATATACTCTCATCTATATTGCTTTAGAAAACACATCAAACACTTGTTTTGTTCTTGGTGTCATGTTTCCAGAGTGAAATGAAACATCTTTCCGAACCTCATTGGAACAAAACGACATAAACACAACATGTTTAGGTCTCAATATTGTAATTGTACAAAGGAAATTTTGGTTGATTTTAAAAAAGTATCTTGTTAATGAAATTAAAGGTTTATCTTGATTTTTATCTATTTTGGGGGGATTTTTTTTTGAATACTTTTATAAAATCAACCAAAAATTCCTTTGTATATCTATAATATTGAGAGGTCTAAAAACATGTTGTATATGCTATTTTGTTCCAACAAGGTTCGGAAAGACATTTTATTTCATTCTCAAGAATTGGTAGAAAGGAGCAAAAACAATTGCACTAAAAAAAAAATGTCAACAAAAAAAGTTATATAAAATATTTCTAAATAATTTTCGCATGAAATTGGTGTCAATCAGTCAACATTACATAAAATACCGTATTTTTTACAGAATGTTTTCAATGATTGGTTAAAGAGAAAAACATTGTTGAATTCAGTTCTCCATATCGATACCAATCCTTTGTATGGTTTATACATTTCAATATTGCAATTTGCCAAATTAAGTAATCAAAACAGCAAATCCACCAAAGTAAGAAGAAGTACAGTGTTAATTTAATATACGAATAATAGTGACCCTGCCGAATCATTTTTTTCCAAGGGATCAGATCAGTTCATTATTTCAATTTATCAAAATGTGTTTAACTACTGTGCATCAAATAAAAATCTTCTAAAAGTATTTTACGAGCATACATGGATGTCCGGTTGTCCCCAAAAATCCATTTTATTTTTGAATTTCATTTCCTGAATGATTTCCGGTTGTCCCCAAAAATCCATTTTATTTTTGAATTTCATTTCCTGATTTTATTTCTATTTGCAGGTGCAGTAAGTTTGAAAGTGAGATCCATAGACTGAAAATAATGAAACCAGTCAGAGTGTGTCAGGCTTGTTTCAACATAGTCAACAAGGACCAAGACTCTGGTGCTAAACCAGTGTACTTATAACATGTACAGCTTAACAGAAGTTGTGTACATTAACAGAGATTGGCTTGAAACCTGTAGACGAGACTTCATAGACAAGATTTAAGAGTTGAAGTCCAAAATTGGCCAACAATAAAGAAGATGCAATATGGATACCCTACACATGGTCGGTTATATGATGCGTTCCCTTTCGATGAGGAAGCTTCAAATAAATGATATTACATGTCGGAATACCATTGTGTATCGAGAACAGGGGGACATATAAATGGGGAGTAAATACCTATATTTAAATGAGTATTACTCGAGATCTCCTCAAGTGAGACTTGAAGCAGTGTTTCCACGTTAGTAGAAGTGGGAAAATGTACTCCATGTATCCCTGATATAAAGGGTCTCATCCCAGAGTCTTCTAATATGTCACCATATCAAAGAAAGATACAGTACAATACCACTTTGGTAAGACGTTTTGTCAGATTTTAGAATGTGTAGTTTACAGTATATGTATTACACAAGGATACTTGCCTTAGCTGTAGCCACATTAGAAGGTAGATAGAGATTAACAAGTATACATGTAGATAACATATTTTAGTGCAATATTAGTTTCAAAGAGTGTAAAACACTTTTATGTAAAACTGAATGTGTAGATATTATAAGAAATTCTGGGCATTTTTAATTAATTTTATTGATTCAATTTTCATTAAAGAATGAGATTGTCCATTTGTGAAAGAAGTAACTAGAAATGAATTTGGTCCATGCATAAAGTATATGATTGAAAATGATAGGTCCATGTATGAAATATGTGATTAGAAAGTGACAAATTCATGTATGAAATATGAAGTGAACCATGAAATGCGTTATGTTAATAAATTTATCCAAGCATGAAATATGCGATTAGAAAGTGATATGACATTTAAAATATATGATTCTAAATGTGCAGTAGAGAATTGTGATGCAAGCGTATATAGTTGGTCAGCCCTTCAGAAACCACAAATGAGATGTTGTACAGTTAGAGGATTAGTTAAACGCAGTTATAGTGCCAAAGTGAAAAAAATTGTCATATTGGAAAACTCACTTTTATGTGAGCTAGATGTTAGTTATGTTTGTACTTTACATGAATTGAACAATGAAATGTGCTCTGTCAGAAAAGTCTATATGTAAACTGAAATGGGTTAATAATTGATTCTGTATGTTATCAATGAAATGCTGAACCAGGGTGTTGTGTAAATCCATCAAAAGTATGGAAGCACAAATGAAGGTGTATTACTAATTTAATGTAATTTTAACAAATATTGTGTGTGCAATGTATTTATATCAGTCAAATGTAAATAGTATGAAAAAGTGTTAACAAATAACGAGGAATAAGAAAATAACTTATTCACTGAAGTTTGCAATGTTCTCATGTTTGGCCCACTCTGTGTAAAAAATGATACATGAGTTAACCTTGTGATGGTTATGTCAGAGGTGAGCCCATAACCCATCTCTATTTATTAATGTTTTCTGTGGCAAAACCAATGAAATATAAACACTCACAGGCCCGTAGCATGATTTTGATAGAATTTTTGGCTATGGGGGGTCCGCCCGAACCCTGCGAACCCCCCCCCTGGCTACGGGCCTAACTCATATATTCATATTCATTCAAAATCAAAACCAATATACATGTAATACCGTTTCAGAAAAAATGTGGTCTTGAAAATGAGATAATGAAATAATATTTTGGTCTCAGAAAAAGTTATTTACTTCAGTTATTTACTCAAACTTGGACAAGTAGAATATGTTATGTAGTTTTTGTTATGCACCTGCCATACATAAACCTGGCTCTTACTTGGCAATAGTAAATCAAGCCAGTCTTGACCATAGTGAAGTTGTACAGTGTATAGTGTATAGACCATATAAGTTATAACAATGTAATATAATATAAACCATGTTGTTTATTGTAAATTGTTGTCCATTTTGTATTATTGCTATGTGCATAAATATGCAATAATTGAACTTGTATAGCTTGTTTGTAATATATGGAAATGTATGTTTCGAAATGTCAAAATAAAATGTGGTCAAATGTAAATGCTCTTTCAGTCTTCAATTCTTCACCTGATGGCTTCTCAAAGAAAATCTATTTGAATGCTAGACAGGGCTGCCCCAGCTCTGATGAGTTGGACTATTGGAGTTTTGACTAAGATCACACTAGACACTCCAATTATGCTCCTGTGAAAAAGCTTGGCAGGGTATTTTGATTTTCTAGTTTTTATGTCACAATTTCTAGTTTTATTGTTATTGTGTCCTTCTATATCATATTGATAAATAAATACCCTACAGGTTCATCCATTATCTAAGTGAATGCCGGGTGAAAGCTAAATACAGTGAAACCTGTCTTACTGAACACCCCTCTCTTGAGAACATGTGTCTAGTGAACACCCCATTTAGCACATACTCCATTGAGTAAAACTTCACTGACCTTAAAACTGCCTCTGTAGTGAACACCTACCTACAATGAACACATTTTTGTGGATTCAAATGTGTTTACTGTACAAAGGATTTACTGTACTGTATTTATCCAATTGTGGGGCTCAGATCCGTAATTGATATTTCAATTGAGAAACATAGTTCCTAAACATTTTGTACTAGATACTCCAATTATGCTCCCATGAAAAAGTTTGACAGGTTATTCTGATTTTCTAGTTTTTATGTCACAAATTCTGGTGTTATTGTTTTAGTGTGGACGGTATTCAGCTCTTGGCATCTGTAAAAAATTCTTCCAACTTCCAATAACTCAAGAACATGATGATGTTAATGATGGGATTATGCATAATTGAATAAACAATTGATTACAGTTATACAATTTTAAACAAGTCATTAACAATCATAGAGGGATATTCCTCAAAGGGTGTCCTGGCTAGCTACATCATTGCATCAAATTGGAATCAAAAAGTTGTACCAAAAAGCAAAAGTCTTTTCTGGGTCAATGCGAATGGCATGATTTCCTCGAGTCTCTTCAGTTGCAAGGCAACCATACTGGGACCGATTCGTGTCGTTCCACTACTGCCCATGGTGGGGGCCCGCTAACATACTGTATGACTCCCGGAGTCTACCAAAGCACGTTAGTGGAGGAACCAACCACAGTCTCACAATCTGTCTCCGACAAGAGCGGCCAGAGAACCAACCCAAGCCAAGGGCCGGTATACGGTTGGACCTTCGGACCGGGTGTCCGTAGTGACAATGATCAACAACTCCGTACCTGGGACTCGAATGCGGGACCTCCGTATCCCCCGGTACATTCGACCACAGTCTAACCCACTCGGCCAAACTGCTTAGGTGTCTAAACTACCCCAAATCGTAATATTTATTCTACTATTATGCTTGAATGAACACGAACGTGCCTATTAGTAATCTTATTTTCTGAACTATTTGTTTGGAATTTCTAACTACTAACAACGACAATTATGCAACCACCTCGCAAACGTGTAATTGGCTATTTCAGGTAATTGGGCCTTCTGAGATGGCATATGCAACGGAACTGAGAACAAGAGCGAATATTTCGATTACATTTGAATCATTCAATTACCAGTGTTCAAAAGCATTAGGTTTTATTTCAGTCGGATATCTATCCTTAAAGTCCCCGATAAATCGGGCTACGTATACCGCCGTGTTTACATTAGGGGATTAGAAGAGTTTATTTTTTATTTAGGTATGCAAGCTACGTATATCAATATTAGGCCTTCATTCATGTACTCGTGTGCATGTAATCAGCATGCCCTTCAATATTATGTAAACCAGGCTATTCAAGTATAATGTACACTATTTATGTGTGTACTACATACAATACAATTCCCTGGGAAACAAAACACAAATACGTTTTATATGTTCAAAATGAGCCATTTGATTGATGCAAACACTAAATAGCTTCATAAATAACATCTACAAAGTATATCTAATAGTAATTTTCAATTTCAATGTTGAAACTTCCCTGGTTAAGATTATATGGGAAATCATCACGAGACGAAGATCGTTCACCTTCCTGGCTTACCTCTGAATCGTGTACCGGGCAATCTCTTTATATAGTTTAGCGAGAGTGGTGCGCCTGCGCAGTTTTAAACTTTGGCGCACACTTTAAGAACTAAGCAAAAAGTTGAGTCTAAATGCAGTCACCACAACGCGACGTTTTTGAGAATAATCGTATACATTGTAAGTGCTCGAAATATTTTCATGGATGAATCTAATAGTTTGAATCAATGCTTGTCACACGTCATTGCTTTTGAGATATTTATTAGCCGTCTTGAAAACACACTGACTTGAATTGATTGGTACTAGACTAATTACAAAATTATAAAATGCAATCACTAACATTTCTACAGGTACACGTCAAAATCTAGCCTATTGGTCCTTTTTGATAAATCTATTTGCATAAATTATGGGGTTTCACCCATGTAAAAACGTTGCTTACATACGGCAAGACTCATCTGTTCGAGGTTCTGTTACACTTTAGAATAGATTGTTATTGGGTTATGATATTTGGCAATTAATGAGACGCTGGACCAGACAAGACAATGATCGAGCAATAATGTTGCCGAGTAGGTCTTGAATTGCTTCCTAGTCAACTCCTTCCCAAGACAACTCGTACCCAAGACAACTCGTACCCAAGACAACTCGTACCCAAGCTTATTTTCAGTATTATGGGTGCATATTAGGGAAGAAATTGAGTTTGTAATGCTTTCATGTTATAAGGTGAATCAAATAAGCCTCAATTTTTTTTTGAATTTAGACGACATTTTTTCTCAATGGATCGGTAAAGCATTTTTTTTATTAAATAAAAGAAGTGCTTGAAGCGCTTGTTCTCAACATTTTTTTGTCAAACATATATATAAATAAATATAATTACAACATTAAATCTGACACTTGTTCCAAACACTCATAAACATATAGTATTTTGAAAAATGATCATAAACATATGTCTCTTCACTTGAACATCCTGAATCTGTGACCAATATAAAATAATAGTCAATATAAATTGACACTCAGCTCAAAATGTCATAAAATTAAATCAATTTCTTCCGAAAATTCTTCTTCAAACTTTCAACTATTCTGAACAGTATGTTACAATTATAATATGTATATCTATTCACATTCCCAGTCCAGTGCTTGATTCAAAACAAAATATATACTTGGGTACGAGTTGTCTTGGGTACGACTTGTCTTGGGTACGAGTTGACCAGTTACGCTTGAATTAACCCGATTTATGTTAATCATGATCATTTACTGACATTATTAACAAGGGCAAAAGTCCGACTTATTGCTGTTAGGCCCTATGCGTTTGTCATATTTTCTTTTTTCTTTTGTTTTTTTACAATGGGTCTTGGACGATGGTGATTTGATTATGACTTAGAATCTTACTTAAATTAACAAACTGCATTTGCACAATTAGAGAATAAAAGTTGCACTGTACAGTATTATACATGGCGTTTAGGATGTGGTCCATACGTCATTGAATTCGGATTCACCCTACAGGAGGAAATACCCAAGAATCCATATAAATTTGGACCTCTATTATAGGTTTATCTTTACATGTAGAGAGCTTCCTTTGAAATCTGGGGCATTACCCATCTTGAGTCACCAGATGGTCACTTTATGTCTTGCTATTGTTTGTCTGTTAATTTGAACAATCAGCGATGATGTCTTCTCAATAGATTTACATTATATATGCCTTCTTTGTACCCTGGGGTTATTCCTCCTCGTAAACATATACGTATAAGATATAAACAATATTGGTCCAGCGGTATTTGAGTTATTGCCGGGACAGACAGACGGTCTGATGGAGCCATTCTCTAACTTCGTTCGATGGGGTAATAATTCAACCATAGCCAAATATTTTCATTAGAACTAAGATGAACTTTGAACAATTTACTTTACTCAATTTACTAAGAATCATGACAAACCTTTTGCAATCAGAAACTATGGCTATGGAGTCTGAATTTTGAATGAAACTTCTTCCATTAGTAGCACAAAACTAGAATTGATATGCATTACATGTTTTATTACATAATTTACACTATTTATATACAAAACTGTACACAAGTGAAGACATTTTAAAAGTCTATGCTTTGATACATCAATAAAACAACCAACAATCTTAATAATAAAAAATAATTATTCAACAATACCATAATTAACAATTAATTATTCCATTATTATGATCTTATTTATGACATTTACAGAAATACTGCAAACATACCTTGACATTATAGCCTTATTTGATAAACGTAATAAATGATCAATGTAAATAACTTAAAAAGTGGTAAAATGTGAATGTGACATATGATGTACAATTTGAATGGAAGTTAAAGTACCATTCCATGCTCAATTGCATGTTAAGGTTAGGTAAGGTTTAAATGATCATAATCATGCTGTTGTGTTTTAATAAGCACATCCAACTCTTAGCAGCCTAATAATGAGATGTCCCGTCAAATGGACAAGATCCTGGTATATACAAGACTTGTCCACTCATCGAATACATCCAGTTAAATAGTTTAGACTGTTAACTGCTGAATATTTAGATTATCTAGTATGAAGCTTGCTAATTTGAGTCTATCCTCACTATAATACATTTATATACATGTATATTGCATTCATTTCTCTTAATTAAAAAATAAACTACTCATAGCTATAAATGAACACAATTCTTAAAACTGACTGCTGAAAAAATCATACAGGGACAATATCAAAATTTACTTGATAGTTGATACACTGTTTATTTCTTACTGTATACGATTACCCAGGATCGAGTGAAGCCAGGATTTAAACTTTGACGAGGCAAAAATGAACAGGCACTAAATGATCCAAATTCAGACTAAATGAGGCAAATTCAGACTAAATGAGGCAAATTCAGACCAAATGAGGCAAATTCAGACTAAATGAGGTAAATCAATACCTTTGGACTTCATTTCAACAGTCTTATTTGAAAAACACATGTTAAAATATATTTCTGACAAGTTTTGGTGAGGCAAAATCCTCACCTGCCTCATGTCTGTACTGGCTTCATCCATCCCTGAAAACTACCAAAAATTGTCCCCAGTCTCATATTTTTTTCATTTAATGAAAAAGCACCGGAATAAAAAATATACAACATTATGTTTCTGAGAACACACCATATCTGTATAAACCTGTTATACAAGACCTTATATATTCTAACATAAAAAGTTGGTAACAGCTTATTTTGCAATAAACCTTCCCAGCCATTATATTTCATATTAGGCCCTTTGAACACATTTTAAGTAGCTTAAATAATACTGTTCTTACAAACTAAATTAACAAATTCTGCTTACTACCGAGTTTCATTTATTCCCAGGGACTAAGTTCACCATCTGAGGTTTTGTCGCCACTTCTTAACTCTCCCTCTTCTGAAGTTTTATCGAGACTGGTAGACTTTTCAAGCTTACGATCAACTTTCTCAATGCTTGATGCACCACTTCCAGGAGGGTTACCTTTCGGATTTAAATTTAATAAGTCATCTGTGATATTTCCCACTGAACCTCGTCTTGGGATTTCTCCTTCCTCTATTTCTTCATCGTCTTCCTCTAAATCACCAAGTTTTTCAAGTAATGCTTTTCTGGCTTTTTCTAGATCATTATAGTCATCGACATCCATTACTTCCCCATCCTCCAAGTCCATCTCCTCCAAAGCTTCAATAGCCATGGATTTATTTGTTGGACTAGAATTTCTACCTGATTTCTTGTGATTTACATACTGTTCATAATCTGGATTATAAGGCCCAAACTGATCTCGAGGACTTTTATTTTTATCCCGTCTTCTGTGTTTTTTGGAAGATTCATTGTAATCATAATCTCTCATTTCCCAGTCCCTTCTCCGCTCTGGGGGAGGTGGAGACCTTGGCCTCCTTGGCGGAGATCGTGAGTGTCTTCTGTGCCTATCATATCGATAGCCACGTTCTTCACCATAATCATCTCTACTACGTGGTCTCTCAGTTTTATCAATTATTCTAGGTTCGGGGTAAAGATTTCTTTGTGGCGGTTCATCATCCTCTCTATGTGAAGATCTCCTCCTCTCATAGTCGTAACCTCTCCTGGTTTTATCAAATACTTTAGCACCATGTCCACCTTCGTCCTCATCATCGGAATCATATGGTACGAGTCCTTTCATTCCTTTAGATTCAGATTTTTTCCTGGCTCTTTTTGGACTTTTTGACTTTTCAGGAGTTTTCTGTTCATTTTGCTTCATGTGTTTGTGCTGCTCCATTATTTTTAATTTTTGCTGTTCTATATGTCTCTGTACCTTTTGAGCAGCCTCTGGTGCCAGGCGCTGAAGGAGAGAGAGAATGGCAGGCTGTTCAAGCAAAGTTTTCTTCTCTTGGAGACTCATTTCTTCCTTGCCTAACTTGCCTACATTCCCCATTGGCGGTTTAACATTTCCCAAGTCAAATAATGAAGGAATTTTGGGTTTCACTTCAGCTATAACTGGTTGTGTTATTGGATTATTTCCATACCTAGGTGGCATTGGTTTATCTCCCATGAAAGGCTGTCTTGGAAATCCCAATCCCCCAGGGTTCCTTTGTAGTGAGGGGTCTCTGCCCATATTGAAACCATCTCTCATGAGTCTAGGCCTCTGGTTAGCCCCCCCAGATATACCCAATCCTTGAGGTGTCCCCATTCCACCTTGAGGTGTTCTCATTCCACCTTGAGGTATTCCCATTCCACTTTGGGGTGTTCCCATTCCACTTTGAGGTGTTCCCATTCCACCTTGGGATGTTCTCATTCCTCCTTGAGGTGTTCCCATTCCACCTTGGAGCATTCTAATTCCACCTTGGGGTGTTTTCATTCCTCTTTGAGGAGTACCCATTCCTCTTTGAACATTCCCCATTCCTTCATGAGAAATACCTGCATCACCCATTTCTCCAATATTTTCATGGTGCAATCTGTCCTGGTGCATTTCCCTTTCTCTATTTGCCATCCCTATTCCCCTATCTGTCATTCCTATTCCTCTCTGTTCCATCCCCATTCCTCTTTGTGTCATTCCCATTCCTCTTTGAGCCATTCCCATTCCTCTTTGGGCCATTCCCATTCCTCTTTGTTCTATTCCCATTCCTCTTTGTGCCATTCCCATTCCTCTTTGTGCCATTCCCATTCCTCTTTGGGGTAATCCCATTCCTCTTTGTACCATTCCTCCTCTACGATTTTGAAATCCTACATCGTCATGCTGGAAATCCATTTCTTCCTGTTGCATTTCAATTTCACACTTTGACATCCCTTTTCTTTCGTGTAATGTTCCCCTTCCCCTATGAATCATTCCTCTTCCCCTTTGGTTCATTCCTAAATTGCCAAACTGGAGACCTCTACCCCGGCCCCTTGAGAGCAAATCTTCATAAATAGCATCGTCATTTACGCCCATATCATCTTGTATGTTATGTTGGAACGATGGTCGGTTACTTTGCATATTCTGGAAGTTGCCTCTCCCCAGGTGCCCGATACCCCTTGACAAGCCAATACCCCCTCGCTGTAACCTGCCTCTCATCTGTTGCCTACCTCTATTGCCAAATTGTTGGATTGGTTCACCATACATTTCTGCATATTTATCCTCCTCAAACTGCTCATCAAAGTGTTCATTATATCCAGGCTCCTGTTCCCAATCATCGTGCTGTTCTTTATTATATGGCTTGTTTTGGTTGTATGGGTTATGGTGTTCTTCATTATGCATCTTGTGGATGTCTTCATTATATGGTTCATTCTGTTGATTCCATTGTTCTTGCCAGTTCTGCCCTTGACGATGTTCATATGGGCGATCATTCCAGTCTTCTGAGTCATCATCCAAGTCCATTGCCTCTGGGCCTTGTATGGAGCCTTGTCTCTGGAGATTACCCTTCATCATTTCCCTTGGTGGGCCTCCCAGTGGTCCCCCTAGTCTGCCTGTCAGTATAGGGGGTAATGGAGGAGGGGGGAGAAGTGGCTGTGGTTTATTCTGCTGTACTCCTTGCACAGTAGCAACTGGTTTAGGTTGAGGGGAATCATCAGCACCTTGAGGGGATAGGCCAGGGATTGCCACATTGCTGGTGTTGTTAAAGAATGGATCAGGCACACTGTTTGATGTTTCATCATCAGGTGGTGGTGGAGGGGGTGGAGGTTGGTAAGCATTTTGCTGCATCATTGTATCTTCGTCAGTCTGAGCATCCGACTGCTGTAAAATCGATGCTGGAGATGGTACAGGTGTCTCAGAACGAGACCTGCACGCCTCTCTCTCCAAACCTCCTTTACTCAGTTCCGACTTCACCAGGTTCATCAAATCTTTACCTTGATGGCCCATAAATGACTGCATTGGGACCACATTGAAATATTCAAGATCTCTCTCCTTTAGGTCAGGACTACTTGTGTATTCAACTTCAGGAGACACTGGAGGGATTGAAGATGTGGAGTTGGGGGCTGGAGAACTGTATTTCGATGTAGGTGCAGTTGAATTAGGTACAGGGGAGTTATACTCAGAAATACCGTCTCCAGTCTGTTTTACTCTGTTCAAAATTGATTTAGCCAAGTCCAATAAGACTCTGTTGTCTTTCTCTTTTCGTTCTGCTGGTTCAGATTCAGATGTCTTTTGATCGGTATTGGCAAGAACAATATTCTTCAAGTTCAACTTTATTCCGCTCTTTGCTTTAGGTTCAGCAACAGTGAGTTCTTCCTCAGCAGGGGTACTTAGAGGCTTAAGGGGTGGCTGGGAAATAGTGTCACTTGTTACCAATGGCATATTAGCAGACACATCACTTGTTATCATTGGCTTATTTCCAGACATGTCGCTTGTTATCAATGGCATATTAGCAGACATGTCACTTGTTATCAACGGCATATTTCCAGACATGTCACTTGTTACTAATGGGATATCGGCAGATACTTTAGATCCACTGGGGGATGCTGGTTTTGAGGCTTCATTTGAAATAGTTGCTGATGGGGGGATAACAGCTCTCGGTGAACCTTTAACGGATGTTGGCTTTGAAGAGGACTCAGAACTTCCTGAACTGTCTGTTTTTGTCTTTAATGGTGTGTCTTTTGGGGAATTAGAGGAAGACGTGGCAGATTCATCAGCAAATATATGCTTGACACCCAAGAGAAGAGCACTGAGTGCTTTCAACTGCTTTTCTTTTTGAGTTTCTTTACCAGTTGGTTTGGCTGCTTGGAGGATTGGCAACAATTGTGCAAGTGTATTAACATCAATACCCTTTGCTTTATCAGTTTTCTTTTGAACATCTTTAGGCGTGTCATGTGAAGTGGAGGGTAGGTTGAGTGTATGTTGACCAGGTGAGTCATCATCATCTATGGGGCCACCTGGTGATTCACCAGAAGAACTGTTATCATCTGGACTGAATGAAGGACCAGCAGTAGGGGTGGAAGACCTACTTGTAGGTGACCACATATCAGAACCAGTTGGAATTTCTAACTCCAAGTTATGTGAGGGACTCCCAGAGACATGTAGTTTCTTCGTCACTTCTTTACTTTCTTCACTTTGCTTCCTTCGCTCTTCTTGTTGCATAATTTTCATTTTCTCTCTTTTTGCTTGTTCAGCTTTCTGTCGCTGTTCCTCATTATACTTCTTCTGCTGTTTCAAACGTTCTTCTTCAAGATGGCGCTCCTCAACTTTACGCCTGTGTTCCATGATCTTTTGTTGCCTTTCAATACGCAGCTGTTCATTTCTCTCCCGGTCTTCCTCCATTCTTTGCCTTCTCAGGACTTCTTGTTTGGCTCTTTCTTCTTCGACCCTTTTACGTCGTTCCAATTCCTCCATCCATCTTTTCTGTGCTTCTTTTTTCTCCCTCTCCTCTTGCTTCTTCCGCTCAATCTCCTGAAGTTTAGCTGTTGGGAGGATAACATCAAGAGGGTTAGCCACATTGCCCATAGCTTTGATCTCGGGTAGTGGACGCTTCCTGTATTTGGGCAATGGATACTGATTACCCTTTTTGCCCATTGGGACTGCTTGGTCAGCCATCATCTTTGTATTCTTCACCTCTTCCAAGCGTTCACGGTCACTTTTATTTTTCATAAACTCAGGGTAAGATAGCTTTTTAGGTTTCTTCAGTTTTGAGTTCACTTTTGCAGCTTTTTCTAATGCAGATGCGAACATGTCTTTATCCTCAGCAGCAGTTGCTTTGCGTGCTTTCTCTTCCTCCAGACGCAGACGTTCCCGCTCTCTCTTCCATTCATCCACATTTTTAGGTCCAACTGGTTTTTCTGGAGGTTTCTTCTCAATCTTACTTTTTGAACTTTCTTGACTTTTTGATCTACTACCCTCACCCGATTTGTGTTTTTCCTTATCCCTGCCCCTGATACTACCACTTGTAGAACTTACAGACATATTATCATCATCATCTTTAACCCTATGCTCATCACGACTAGACTTAACCCTATCTTCACCTTTAGAACTTACAGATATATCATCATCATAATCAACAACATCACCAACATTATTATCATCATTATCGCTAGAATCATCAATTTTAGCAACATGCTTAGAAGTATCTATACTTTCATTGTCACTGTTTGATGAATCTTTATCTTGATCTTTCTTGAAAATTTTTGATATTGATGATAGTCCCTTCGTCATATCTGGGACGTGTTTGGGCTCTCTTTGGGGTGAGCTGTCTCTGATTGGCTGATTGTGGCTCATGTCTGGTTTCACAGGGGCTGGAAATACAATAATTCATCAATTGTTCCAATACCATAAAATAGAAGAATACATAAATATCTTATTCATGAAACAAATATACCAATAACCTCATTACAAAGGGCAATATAGTGAAATATTGGACCAAGGGACGAAGGCCTGATGTCCAATATTTCACTATGTTGCCTGCTGAAATTGGGTTATTAGTATAATTACTACTTTATGGACAGGGCTGAAATCTTTCAAGGATTGATAAATTATTCATGGAACGAAAATTACACACATCGAACAATATCTCAGTTCTGGGCTGAAATATCTGTTTAGCCTGCCACTATGACGTCACATATTGCTCAGGTCAATATACATGAAAATATAAGCCTTCTAAACTAGTACTAATACCCTTAGCACCCTAAGAACAGACATATAGTAATCAAAGGAATTTCTCCTACTAGGTTTGCTATATAACATCGCTCTGCCCAAGCTTTTCCCAACATCTCTTCTTAGAACAATTCTTAGAGCTAAAACGACTTTATAACTTATCTGTTCAATGACATTTCCATTTACTTTTTTCTATATACTTACACTCCTCCGTGGTGCTCTCTTTGCCTTTTAATTTATCAATTGTTTTCTGGATTTTTCTAGTTTCTTCCGTATTAGATGAACTAAACTTCTTCCAGAGTAGAGCTTGGATACTGGTCTCCTCAGACTCACCTTTGCGTTTGCCATCTAAACATTCAAATCAGTCATTTCAATCAATTCAATCAATACGCACCATCACGAAATAAATATTTGGCGATCATGTAATTCAACTACTTGGGCAATTTAGGTCATACATCAATGCTTATTCTTTTATTTGTGATCTAGAGATGTTAGATTAGGATTCAAAACAGCATATATGATTATACAATCTTGATTTCTTTAGAGAATTTAATATTACAATGTAAACAATGCAGAATCTCCAAGCATGGGAACATGTGCTGCACTGAAATAAAATTCACAGTTTACACCCTGTCAAGGAGGATGCAATACAGACATATTTTTGGAGAAAATTAGGATTTAGCACTAAATTAGGGCAAAAACATGTAGAGAATGCAACAATGTCTACAAAAGTTACTTACAGTCCAGCTTTTTGGCGACTTTCAATGCATATTTGAGACGTCTGTGGAGCTTAAACCGTTTCACAGTCTAAAACAATAGCGCAAAATAAATCTGTATTTTAAATGTATAACTGTATAAAACTCTAAATCCTCATAAATATTTAATGAAACATTAATACTAATTTGGAAAATTTTCATGTGCCCTATGAATAACTGAAGTAACCTTCTTCACTACATCTAGACATATATTCAAATCAAGAAGAATCGTTATATCAAAATCATCATATTGCAAATGAATAAAATTGATGTTGCATTTTATTCAAGTCTCCAGCTAAGACAGATTTCAAAGTTTTAAAAACTAGAAAAACAGCAACTCCACGGAGAAGCAAATCCCACCGAACGAAACATGTTCTGATAAAAAAATTGAGCCAAATTCATCCACTGGTATTTGAATTATCAAAGATTATGTCTTTATGAAACATGGTTGCCATTTTGAAATTCAGCTGTCATCTTTAGATTTCTTCTTTAGCAGAGAATGTCCATCCAATGGTATCTGGGTTATCAATGGTTACTTTTTTAATGAAAAATGGCAGCCATTTTGAAATTCAGCTATCGCCTTTGAAATTTCTTCTAAAGCAGATCTCCTTTTTCCCTAAACATCAGCATATAAAATTGGAACCAAATCCATCCACTAGTATTTGAGTTATCATTAATTATGTTTTTTTACAAAAAAATGGCGGCCATTTTGAAATTCAGTGGCCATCTTGAAAATTCATTTTTGAGCAGAACTTCTTTGTCTCTAGGCATCAGCATATAGAATTTGAACCAAATCCGTCAACTGGTATTTGAGTTATCAAAGGTTACGTTCTTTTATGAAAAATGGCGGCCATTTTGAAATTAAGCTTCCACCTTGAAAATCCCTTCTCGAGCAGAGCTCCTATGTCCCTAGGCATCATCATGTAAAATTTGAACCAAATCCATTCAATGGTAATTGAGTTATCAAAGATAATGTTTTTTTATGAAAAATGGCCGCCATTTTGAAATTTAGCTGCCATCTTGAAAATCCTTTCTTGAACAGAGCTCCTATGTCCCTAGGCATCAGCATCTAAAATTTAAACCAAATCCTTTCAATGGTATTTGAGTTTCCAAAGATAATGTTTTTTTACGAAAAATGGCTGCCATTTTGAAATTTAGCTGCCATCTTGAAAATCCTTTCTCGAGCAGAGCTCCTATGTCCCTAGGCATGAGCATCTAAAATTTGAACCAAATCCATTCAATGGTCTTTGAGTTATCAAAGATAATGTTTTTTACGAAAAATGGCCGCCATTTTGAAATTTGGTGGCCATCTTGAAAATGTCTTCTTGAGCAAGGCTCCATTGTACCAAGGCAACAGCATATAAAATTTGAACCAAATCCATCCACTAGTATTTGAGTTACTTAACATTATATTTTTTCTGAAAAATGGTCGCCATTTTGAATTAAGCGGCCATATTGAAAATTCCTTCTTGAGCAGAGGTCCTACACCCCTAAGGCATAAACCTATAAAATTTGAATGAAATCCATCGACCGGTATTTGAGCCCGGACACACGAACAGACGGACGGACGAACGGACGGACGGCTTTTCTATATCCCCCTCGAACTTTGTTCGGTGGGATAATGACAGAAGTAGTTATTTTATTGTATCCTAGAAGAACCATAATTACCTTGTGTATGGTCATTACATCTGTCAGATGGATCATGGGCTGGAAGGCTGGTTTAAACTGCAGATCCCGCCACTCACTACGCTTCATTGATTTTGGGAGCTTCTTTTTCTTAACCAATAATCCATCAGATTTTGGAGTTCCAGAACTCATTTTAACAATAGTTGTTTCACTTTCAGTCTTAGTATACATAGTCTCTATTTTGACTTTTGAGGGAATTTCCATTTTTTCAGCCTTTTCAGGTTTTACGTCCACAGATTTTTCAACATTAGTATTATCTGAAACAAGTTTTTCAGGATTTTCAATCTTAATATCAGATTTTTCAACTTTAATATTGTCCAAATCAAGGTTTTCAGGCTTTTCAATTTTAATATCTCCACTTTCATGGTCTGAAGATTTCAATTCTTCATTAGAGTCATGTTCTTCCTTAATTTTGACTGAATCTTTTTCAATTTCAATTTTTGGTTTTTCCGTTTTCACTTTCTCTGATATTCTTTCAACATTTTGTTCACCCTCTGGTTCTTCCTTCACTTTCTCCAGTTTAGCATAATTTGATGTTTTTTCTGATTTGTCGACTCTCACAGATGGTTCATCATCATTAGAAGACACATCTGATTTTTTCCTCTTCTTTTTCTTTAACTTTGATTCTCTTTCACTGTCACTTTCATTCAAAGATTCATCAAATTCTTCCTTCTTTTTGTTTGACTTAGATTTCTTCTTTTCAAGTGTTTCAATGTCAGAACTATCTGATTCCAATGTTGTTTTCTTTGACTTGACTGTTGTTTTATCAAGCTCTAATGATTTAGGCATGTCTACTTTTAATGAATCATCATCTGATGAATCACTGAATTCTAGGTCCAGTTTCTTAGTGTGTGATTTCTTTTTCTTAGGTTCAGCTCTTGATGTCTCCTTATCAGACTTGTGAGGTTTGGACTTTGACTTTTCATTTTCAGAATCATGCTTTGATTTGTTGGGTTTATCATGCTTCACTGAGTGTTTTTCTTTCTTATCTTTCTTGATTTTATCAGCTTCTTTTTGCACTTTTACTGGATCCGTTTTTTCAATTCCTATTGGTTTGAATGTAAATAATTGTTTTTTCTTGGGTACTTCAATATCTGAGTCATCTGTAGTTACAGGGTCTTTGCTGATTATGTTTTTTATTGTGCTCTTTATGTCCACATCGCTGTCAGAATCAGATGTATCAATGATTGCTACACTCTTGAATCCCTTGCCTTTGTCCTGATCTGGTTTGGGAGCTTTTAATTTCTTCTCCTCGTTCTTAGATTTATGTTTATCTTTATGATGATGTTTATCACTATGGTGATGTTTTTTCTCTTTGTCTCTTTTGTGCTTTTTCTCCTTCTTCTCTGAGTGATCTTTGTGTTTCGATTTGTCATGTTTATGTTTCTTTTCACCTTTTACTTTCCAAACGGTTTTTCCTTTTGGGACTGGAAGTCTGTATAATTTAATTTGAAGTCGTCTCCGCTTTTCTATCTTTCCTTTGAGCCTTAGAAGCTTCTCACATAAAGGAGTATTAGGAACTGAAAAGGGTTTAATAAAAGCAGCTTTGTCTTTCAAACTATCTGCTTTACTTGTTTTCGATGTGCTTGAGTCAACTGAAGACTGACGAGATTTCGACTCCTTCTGTTTTTTCTTGAGATGCTCCTTCTGTATATCCTGAAAGATATCAAGACCGAGGTCAACACTGTGTAATTCAATTACAATGAGTAATAGTATACTTTTATGTGGACAATCTTTTAGGTCAAAATAAAAGACAGAACAACCTTACATACAGAGCACAGTAGTGGTTATTAGGCACAGTGATCAATATTTTACCTAACAATCAAAAATGGCTGTCTTAAAATTTATTTATCCAGCTTGCCCAAAATCTAAACAGATCATGATTTTCATGCCAAGCAAGACACTAGGATATAAGAAATCAATCTGTATGTCTATCACCCACAACTCGCCGCCCTTCCACCTACAAAGCTGTTCCTTTTTAAGTACAATAAAAATGAATAATTCATGTTCTACCTGTTTTGGGACATCTTGATTCTTAAGTGGGCTGCTTCTCTGCTGTGGTGTCTCACTACTATGTTGAGGTGTATTTGGCAAGGATTGGCCCCCTGAAAATTCAGATACATCTGTACTATCTAAAATGCATATCAAATGCATCTATATTACTTCTAATAAAATACATGCAATAGAAATCAGAAGCATTATGGTCAGGTAATAACAATTTCTTTTGGATTAAAAAACTATATACAACAAATGGAATATTTTATTTTATAGCAACGAAGGGAACTTTGAAGCTAAATGTAACAGAAATGAGAGGACTTTTAGACATAAATATGAATTATGGAAATTTAGAAATTCTAAAATTTCTGAACTACAAACTTTCAACTTTCAATATGCCGAGACAAGAGAAATCAGCAAAAAATAAAGTTATGCAGATATGAAGGTCACACTTGAATAAATTGTTGAGATTCTAAAACACTGAGGTTCTAACCTATATCAGAGTCATCACTGCAAAGTTTAGCCATAACAGCTAGTGCATCTTCTATCTGACAGTTCAATTCCTCTTCAGACTGGGCCTCCACATCAGGAGTGTTCTGCACAGGGGGTCCACTTGGAATCACTGGGCTTACAAGGGGTCCTTCATCTGCAACAGGATCCATATTGTTTGAGACTTCAGTTGGGTTTTCTACCGGAATATCACTTATGTTCAAAGTGGGTAAATCACCAATGTCACCACTTTGTTCTTCACTAGAACCCACTTGTTTCTTTGAGGCTGGTACTAAGGTATCATTTGTTGACTTAGGAGGTGTAATGCTGGGAGAGTGATCAAAATGTTCACATATAGCCGCTTCTAGTAGATTATCACACACATCAAAATCCATCGAGGGAACTTTATCTATAAGAGGATTTTGAGACATTTCAACATCTGTAGCTTTCTCATCATTTGAGTCAATTTTATCAGAATTGTCACTTTTGTCCACATTTGAGTCCTTAGCATTTGTATTTGTTCCAACCTGAATTTCTGCATTCTGAAGATTTTCCTCGGATTCTTCATTTGGTTTTTCTTCACTTTCATCAGTTCTTTTTTCATCAGAAGAAACATCATTGGATTTTTCAACTGATTCGTTATCCATTTTTCCTTTATTTACATCATCAGGATTTCCTTCAGACGCATCATCGGGATTTTCTTCAGACTCATCATCAGGATTTTCTTCAGATTCATCATCGGGATTTTCTTCAGATTCATCATTAGGTTTTTCTGAAGATTTACTGTTTTCTAAATCAGAGTGAGATCGCTTAAGTTTCTTTTTCCCACTATTTGTATCATTACGTTTATCACTATTCTTGTTTGCACATTCAGATTTATTTTCTACAATTGTTGCTAAGTGAGTTGTTGATGATGCGTCTAAGGGGTCTCGACCATATGTGACGACTGCATATGGCAACACCTGACGTGGATGACTCACAGTCTCTGCCTCATCATCATACTCATAGAAATAAAGCTGCAAGGCAAAAATTAGGTTTATTTTGCATCAAATTTGCACTGAGGAAAAAAATATTTTGGAATGCAGTGTAAAATACAGCATCGAAAAAAAGAAGAACACACTTAAATGGTAATAGAAAAGTCAGATTATCAGGTGTTTCATTCAAATATTTGAGGAAAGGGTTGAAGAAAGAAATTATTTGATGACGAAAATAAATATTCAGGATCATTCATTAGATTTTCCCCTGCTGACTATACAATGGCATAAGTATAGTACAGTTTAAAGTTTAAGGACAACATTCCTAACACTCACTATCTACAAATGATGCTGTTAGACTTACTTGTGAGTGTACAAATTGCATGTGTTGATGGTCAGAGACTTGAGCTTTCTGTTGCGAGACATGGCAGTCGTAACCAGGAGTGGGGTCAATGGTCAGCTGGCCCACAGCAGAAGCCACAACGGGTTTGCATTTGCCAAAAATCACCTGCAATATGAAGGTGATAATCAGAATGTGGAGATCCAATTAAAGAATTAAATTAATTAGAATTACAAAGAGTTCAATTGATTTTTCATTTCATGATTCCATTATGGCAGTCATAGAGACAAATACTTCATATTGAAGATATGATTTAAGTTTCAATTGTTTTCTCAATCAGTTTAATTTTTTGAAAATTTTTTTGATTTCAAGTCTTAAAAAATCTGCAAAAATATTAACTTTTTAATAAGGCTATAAATGGGGGAGATCATACACCACATCTCAGCAATCCATTGTATTTAATCAAATTACCATGTTAAGTGTATGAACCATGATAAGAACCAAACCCAGAAGCAAGAATTGAAACCTGACCCAACCCAAACCATGATTCAACTTCTGTGTATATGATCTAGTTCATACATAACATACTACAAGAGCAGGTAGGTATATACTATTGAGATCTAGGACCATAATCTCTGAGAGAAAAGTACATTTCTATTTAATATTTGATCTGATTTTAGATATAACTTACTTCACCTTTTAAAATCAAATAATGGTCATATGGTAACCAAGGGGATATACAGTACATTTATTTATGTTTTACCTTGTAAATAATAAGCTTGTAGACATCAGGGTTGGCCCTCTCCACCATCCGTTGCTGTATGTCTGCATGCTTACATACATATACCCCACTGTTCGTATCACCTGAAATTACAAGAAACATTAGACTGTATATTACAAATGAAATGAGAGGTTTTGCTCATTTGTTCTGTGTATATTTTACCTGCATTTGATGGTGATGTTATTGTTTCACATATACTTGTTTTTCGAAGCTCCTTTCTATTTTTCACCCTGCATATTTTGCATTCCTGTTAAAATCTTTTCCTTTTTATTATTCTGGTCATACAGTACTTAAAGGCCCCGTGTAAAGTTTAAACCACTTTGGCTTATATTGTAGTCTTACCCAATGTTATCAAAGTGTGATATGTGAAACTTTTTTTTTAAATTTCAAAAAGTGGTTTTTGATAGACTTTTTGTTCCAAAATTTGTGAATTTATTTAAAACCAACTTTTAGAGGTCACTCATATCTTCTAATTAGCCACAATTCATACCAATGCATAGCATTCATCCTCCCATGTCTTTTGCCGAAAAAATTAAGAAAATCGGTTGATAAACAACCGAGAAATGAACTTATCAGTGCATGAAAATGGTTCTGAGAAAAATGCATTTCAAAATGTTAGTTCTCATAGAAACCAATGGTACAATGATATCTAAAACATTTTAACCTGGTTAGACAATCAACATTGTCTTTTTATGAAAGTCTAGCATATTTAGAAAAGATTGACATCGAAAAAAAAATTCAATTTTTTTCAAAAAGTTTTTGTTACCTTAGTGACATCACTAATGTTTCAAAATATTTTTGATAAGCTAAAACATTGAAGTGGCCCATTAAATATGACATTTTATTATTGAAATAGTGTGTCTTTCGTTCAATCTTTGCATTGGTGTTAAAAATATAATCTTTTTTGAAATGCATTAAGAAATATTTGATGATTAAGAAATTTCAACTTTTTTTGAAAAATGGCGGGAAATTTGAATATTTGAGAAATGAAATGCTCACAACTTTTTAAAAAAAATTTTGTTCAAAAATCTCTAAAATCACTTTTTAAGTCCTGACAAATAGTAAATGAATGATAAAAAAATATTTTCAAACTTTAGACGGGGACTTTAATGGCTCTGTGTAGAACTAGCTCAAATACATAGTTTAGATAGGATATCAGATGTAAGAAGAAAAACTAAAAGATATTTGGCTAAAAATTATAAATGGCAACTCAAGGTGGTAAAACAAACCAGAATAAAATAGTGAGGACTCAATAGTGAAGGTTTATTTTACCTAAGATGTTGAACTTGGTTGGTCTCTTTCCAAGGCCATTACTGACAACATCTTGTACTGTCTGGTTGTCCTTAAAGTATGAGAATGAGAACCCCTCCTCTAACTCTCTACTTGTGCGTCCTTCCTCCTTCAATGCCGCTCTCTTCTCTCTGCAAAAGATAAAGTTACCCCATTACTTACATACCCTGTTGAAAATCCCTTTGAAGATATTTTTGAAAACTTTTTTGCACACAGTTGAAAATTTGAGAAAGTTATAGTTATATTTTGACATTTCTCACTCTAACCTTGTGGAATTCAAACACTTTGGAAGAATCCTGGTTCCTGGGTAGAATGACTATTAGCATTAAAAACTAACAAGGCCGCAAGCAAAGCAAGCAAGATGTCACATGCTGTATTTATGTCATTACATTTAGTGCCGAGGTGCTGTAGTCCCATTTTAAACTTTGGATATTTGTGTATTTTACACCTTGTGCATCTTCACTGAATCTATGCCATTTATGTTTGTTGTGTGAGTTTTAGTACCTGAATCTGGTCTCCAGTTTGTTATTGCGAACGAGGTGTACAGCGTGTACATTCCAGGCGCTTGTGTATGTTTGTTGATCAAGATAAGAGTCTGAGATAATGGTGAGAATGTCTTGTGCATCACGTCCCCCAAGCTCTGTGGCAACAAGGGAATCTAAAAACATATGTTGAGTTCAGTTAAAACTGTAAACTACAGCCTAATATATCAACAAGAAACAGGGAAGTATATCTTATATGCATTATAGCTCTCGACTAATTACTGTATAATACAAATAGAATAGATGACTCTACTTGTTCACTTATTCAATTTCAGAATCTCATAATTATTTAGCAGATATGAAAAAGTCAAGAAAGTCACTTAATATGTAGACATTACATTACCTGATACAGATAGCCTCTTCTTCTTTGGTATTGTAAAACTCTTTAGTGTATCAATATCATCAATATCTGACAGGTCATCAGCCATATTGACAACAGTTGAGTTCGTCTTTTACTTCACAAAACAATTCTAGGTTATTTGTTTAGAAGGCTGTGAATTGCATAACCATTGGAGAGCTGAAGGTCATTCTGGAATGAAAGAACTCACTTTAAGTTGTATTTCCAGACATGAAAAAGAAAATTATTTATAAACTAGTTCAAATCACTTTTTCAGTGTGTCAATTCATATGTTAAATGCAAAACGTTTGTAAAAACGTTCCATATAATATTGTATTTTGGTCCTTTGATTGTTTATCTTTTTTACAATTGATTGATGCAGCACAATCCAACTGACCCGTACTATAGAACAATGCGCAATGGGATCTTATGAAAAGAGGCTCTAAATTTCTGAATTCGACATTTTTTGAAAATTGTCCGAAAATGTCAGACTGGTGTCAGTTTGTTTGATACAGACTAGACCAGTGTTAGGCAATGTTCTGGAGACATTGCAAATGTCCATTGAGTTTTTTTTCAAGAAGTAGAAGTTTACATGTTTTCAATTTTATATGTCTTTGATATTGTGCTCATGCTCTAAGTGGATAAAATTAAGCTTACAATGTTAATTGTAATGTCTACTACCTAGTATATATCCAACAGACTGAATGAGCTTCAGTCTGAATTTATTCAGACAAAGGATATGTAGGAGGCCGTTTCTCGAAATGTTTCATTATTAATGAATCGTTAATAGCGAATCGTGAAATTAACGACTTGATTAAAGAAATGTGCAAATTCCGTTTCTCGAACCATCTCGTTATCTTGCTCATTCAGCTTGTGCCAAATCGGGTAAAATGTGAATGTAAATCTAGCTTTGTACATGTGTGTACACACAATTAAATATGCTCGCAAAATGATTATAGGAGCAAGAATAATAGAGTATAGCCTTGGGCCCCTCTGAAGTTAACTATGCAGATGTTAAATTAAGACATTGTCCTCAGAAAAAGTGTCTTTATTGTACACTGTCGTTCAGGAAACAAGTTTACTGTCCATATCATTGTGAGTCATATTATTTCCAAATTATAAACTGCTCTGATGGAGTGAAACAAACATCTGGCCAATTTACAAACATTCAATTTCATCCTTAGTTTAGAAAGATTTTCAACAAATATTATCACTGAATGTGCCAAATAATGCAGTAATGCAGGGAACATTTGTATTTTGTAAGGCAGTTATTATCTTATTAATCAGCATATAAAATGTGTTAATGACCTACAATGTGTTTAGATACCACATCATTATATTACAAGGCCCCCTATCCCTCTCGTTTTAAAGCAGTCATGGATAACGAACAAATCGTAAAAAGCATGACGTCATCACGAATCGTTAACTTTCGAGAAACAAAAAGATCTTTAACAACAATTGAATTATAGATTCATTGCTAGCGAAAGTTTCGAGAAACAGCCTCCTGTCTAGCCTAGTCTACTACCATCTAAAGATAAAACACTTATTCTAGTGACCAGTTCATATGGTTAAAATAACGAAATAATGAAATGTTACCATGTGTCTACTTAGCAGTTTGTTCTATGTCATCCACCCTGCTAGGTTACATAGCAGCCAAACACGACAATGAAGGCAACATATCGATATTGATCTTAGCAGAATTTTTGAAAATTTAGATTGTCCATTTTGCAAGCTCTCGTGACTGATCATGTGACATGTGTCTGATCACGTGACACGTGTCTGATCACATGATTAGTTACTGTATCGATCATGTGACTTAATGACGTGTCATCCAACCATGGTTTCAAGGAAAACAGTAGTAAATATTTTGGAAAATGTTTTGCGAGCATTTGCTTAATATGCTTATAGAAGGCCCAATTACGCAACGAACGAAACTGCTAAATTGTATTTTGTGCCTAACAGGCCCAGTATGCAACGAAAGAAACTGCTAAATTGTATACTTAGTCTGCTTATTGATCTATTGATTCATAAAGACCTGAAATGATGCATTCAAATAAGACCGCCTCCAAAATGAAAACACTACACATAAAGTGGTGAAAAACAACAAACTAAAGTTGAAAGATCGCAATGTTCACTACTTTGTTCAATTCCGGAAATCTCCAAGGGGCTGCAAATGGGAAATTTTTTAGATTTAGATTTTATGACCTCAGAATACTGCCTTCAGTGGCGTGTTTGGCTGAGTTCCACAATGTAACCTAGCAGAATGGATGACATAGAACAAACTGCTAAATAGACACATGGTAACATTTCATTATTTCGTTATTTTAACCTTATGAACTGGTCACTAGAATAAGTGTTTTATCTTTAGAAGGCACATGAGGGTCACATTCATGAGGTAGATCTAACTCATATTTTTCTAGGACAGCCCTACAATATCATATCATATCAATATTTATTTCAAGTTGGATATTTTTTGTACAATAAACATTAGCGCAAGCGCTACTGACCGACATACAACAATACATAGACTTTACCTACATGTTCAGATGATGTAAATTCAATAAAAAATAATGAATAGATCTAGAATCATACATTTTTTGAAAATATGTTTTACTCATTTCTACAAGTATATAATAGCCCAAAGCAAAGTTAGTTTGAAAATATTAGTGTAATTTATATTCCTTAACATATGGAAAGGCTAAAATATAGAGGAAATATGGTAGCATACCTGAAAATGATGAAAAAGTGGTTTTCAAAAATTACGTCCTCCATGTTGTTGTTGAGTTCAATTTTTTAACAAAAGGTGGCGTTAGATAGTCCCTCCATTTATATTGTTTTCAGACACTATATAGAGATCAAATGTATTATATGCATAAATTTCAATTGCATTCAATTATTTCTAATATACTGAATGGTGAATTGTGTTAAAATAAAATACTAAAATTGAATCTTAAAATTTTTATTGTGCGAGTCATGAAATTTTATTCAGTCCGTAGCGTTGTTGTTCCTGGAAACAAAATTTCATTTTAAAAAATTTGATATACTTCTTCATTCTCTCCTATTACGCGTGAGTATTGTTACTGTTCTATGGGCGGGGATTTCTATACACATTTTGCCATAGCTTGAGCATCATAAAATGTTACAAAACGCATGATTGTATATCAAATTTACAGTTCAAAATTATATTTTTGAAAAATTATTTGATTTTTCAAATCAAAAAAGTGAAAATAGAATGAAATTCATTCAATTCCCAATCCGTGGCATAGCAATATAAATCCCAGAGATCCACAGCCTTCAATGATGATGATTCTCATTACAATCAATTTCAACAATGTCAAGTCACAGGAACCCGGGGCACCTTATATGGTATAGTTTTCAGGCCCGTCAGATGGGGGGGGTGCGATGGGTGCGACCGCACCCCCCTTTGACACCCCCCAAAAAAAAAAAAGAAAAATAAAAAAAAATAAAAAAATTGGGGGAATTTTTTTTCATCATCTCATACATTTTTAAAGTGCCCAGAAAGCATCAAATAGCATTTTAAAATTGTAAAATTTTCTAGAGGGAGTGGGCCTCCCCTCACACCCCCTCAATACAATGGAAAAGTTCTGAATTTATTTTATGTATTGTCTCAGACACTTTTAAAGTGCCCAAATGCCCAGACATCATCGCATAGCTTCTTCATATACTGTAAAACGGGTATTGTTAGCGAGGGGTAATTGTTAGCGATTGTTAGCGATCGCTATAGTTTCGCTAAAAATTCAATTCGCTAAAATAAACCGGGGTTAAAATAAACCGGGCGCTAAAATTTGCAAATTCCCGGGAAACTACATGAATACTAGTATTTAATGTGACCCAGGCATTAGGGGCATACTCATAGGACAGAAATGCAAAACTAGGACGACAACGTGAAATTACCGGTACATGTTTCACGGCGTTGGACGTATATCTTAACCGTGAAGACGAAAAATCAACGATTTAAATGCTACATTTTGTGATGAGTCAGATGAGATTAGTTTGGACCGAAAAATCAATGATTTTCAATGCTATACCGTGATTTTGTGATTAGTCAGATGAGATTATAGTAGTTTGGACCAATACCATGTGCGTTAGAAGTCTTACATTTTGATAATTCCTCTGTCATGTCCGTTATTCATTCTTCTGCCATAAATGATAAAATTTCTAATGTATTTCGCTAATTTGATTTTTTAAAGATTAATCTTCATTTCGCTAAAATTTCCCGCGCTAAAACCCCCTGAAATTGAAAAATCGCTAAAATTTCCCGGTGTCAAAATTACCCGTTTTACAGTAGTCAATGTTTCTGGGAAACTAACACTTGCTCCCCTTCGGGATCCTTACCCCACCCCACCTCCCCCTCTGGCACCCTCGCCCCCCTGGACACCCCTCCAAAAAAATTGTGATTTTCTCAATTTTTTAATTGACTCATACACTTTGAAAGTGCCCAGAGAGCACTAAATAGTGTTTTAAAATTGTAAAATTTTCTAGGGGGAGTGGGCCACCCCTCACACCCAAAACAAAACAATTAAAAAGTTCTGAATTTATTTTATGTATCATCTCAGACACATGTAAAGTGCCCAGACATCATCAAATAGCTCCTTGATATAGTCAATGATTCTGGGAGACTAACACTTACTCGCCCTCTTGCATTACCACCCCACCTCCCCCTTTGGCACCCTCCCCCCATTTGACATCCCCCAAAATATTGTTTGATTTTTTCAAATTTTTTATTGAGTCATACACTTCGAAGGTGCCCAGAAAGCACCAAATAGCATCTTAAAATTGTAAAATTTCCATGGAAGTAGGCCACTCTTCACATCCCCCACAAAACAATTGACATAAATTCTGAATTTATTTCATGCATTGTCTCAGACACTTTTAAAGTGCCCAGACTTCATCAAATAGCACCTTGATATGGTCAATGTTTCTGGGGGAAGATATGGGGGAAAAACACTTGCTCCCCCTCTGGCACCCTAATCCCACCTCCCCTTCTGGCATCCCCCTTTGACACCCCCAATAATTGAAAAAATGTAGTAGTTTTTCAATTTTTTTTTCGATTGACCCATACACTTTAAAAGTGCCCAGAAGCACCAAATATCATCTTAAAAGTGCCCAGTAAAATTTTCTAGAAGAGTTGGCCACCCCTCACATCCCCCACGAAACAATTGAGAAAATTTTGAATTTCATGTATTGTCTCAGACATTTTTAAAGTGCCCAGACATCATCAAATGGCACCTTGATATGGTCATTGTTCCTTGGGGAAATCCCTTGCTCCCCCTCTGGCACTCCACCCCACATCACCCTCTCATTCTCTTTGACATCCCCAAAAAGAATTTGAAAAAAAATGATTGACTCATTCACTTTAAAAGTGCCCAGAAAGCACCAAATGGCATCTCAAAAGTGTAAAATTTTCTAGGGGGAGTGGGTTACTCCTCACAAGTTTGGAAGTTGCATTTGTTAATTTTAAACACTTTAAAAGTGCCTAGAAGTTACTCGAGTCTCTAGCCAATACTTGGCTAGAGGGGATTCATCTGGAATACTGTGAACTCTATTTGAAAAAAGCTGCCGGGGTGTCATAAATTTATTGAATATTTTAAAAATCGCCAGATAAATAAATCATTAATCAAACCGGACCCAGCTCAAATCCTTGATGAGATATGACATGATTTCATCAGGATTTCGTCTAAAATTAAAACAAAATGGCTCCAAGAAAAATGGCGATGTTCGAAAACTGGACGAAATGTCGTTACGTCTGACATTAGTAACTGGCTGTAAATTCTAAGTTAGCGATCCAGAAGATGTGAACTAATACACTGATTACTTTGTGTGTGTTTTGGAATTTTTGGTGAGGTAATAAGACCAAAACTCGCAATTCAAATTGTGATGTGGAAAAATGGCGGACATATGATTTCAAATTTTATGATTACGACATTACCAGTTGTTCATGCAGGAATATATCTGTACTGGAAGGCCACGATACAGTGGCCTTAGAAGAAGGTAACCTAGAAGTCACCAAGTGACATAATGAAATCATAAAAACATAAAAATTTCTGGCAGCCCACCCCAAAAACTAAAGCATTCATTTACTCAAACACATTAAAAGTGCTCAGAATTAACCAGACAGCATCTTGAATAAGTAAAATTTTCCTTGCTGCCCCCCTAAGAAGAAAATAATTGAAGAAATCTGAATTTCTTATAAATAGATTCTATTTCTTCAATTAAAACACCTTGAAAGAGTCCAGAAATCACTGAATGTGATCTTGAACTGTTAAAAGTTCTCGGGCATTTATGCCCTTCTAGTACACCCTCCCCCTATTCCAGTGTTTCTCCAAATTGCTCATACAATATTTAGTCTAAAAACAATACGAAAACAATAAAATACTACAAAATATAGGAAGTAACCGACCCCCCTTTGACTTATGCAATTTGATATACGCGGCAAAAAATTGACAATTTTATTTTCTCTTTAGTTAAAACCGCACCCCCCTTGGAGAAAAGTGTCTTACGGGCCTGGTTTTGATATGCTGGCTTATATGGACTCAATTCAATAGAGTCCTAGTCTAATAGGCTATATAGACTCTGCATTGAAGTATATCATAGTGATACAAGTTTCTGTGTGTCAAGTCCTGCAGTACGCAGAAGAGGTTTCGTATCTCTCTATTAAAATTCATGAGCAATGAAGATGACAATTCTATGAATGAATTATCTTTTGACAATAATCAAATAAAAATGTCCCTGAACATAGGAAGTAAATGTTCAAGAACATTCAATTCATCGTTTGTTTAGATTATCATCTTTTAAGGCCATCTCAGCTCAGTATTCTGGCCTTGTATAATATATTATACAGCTACTTAGGTATTCATCTACATCATTTGTTTATGACTGTATTTTCCTTTCTTGCGATTTATTAACCGAACAACATGTGTGTTAATTTAAACATTACTTTGTATGCCTCATTCTAGAGTGGGTTCATATTTGATGTTATTTATAGCTTGTTTTGTTTGGGCAGTTCACTACCTCCCAAAAAGAGAAAAGTTTCCCGGTATAGTGAAATAAAAAACAATATGTTTTCAAATATGGCAGAACAGGGTTTTAGAAGTGATGAAAGAAACTGTAATTTTAATGCTTTACTTTTACCATCCAGGTTTATAATAATAAACATCAATGCGTTCACATATATACCCTGGTTCTCATTGCAAAAGTCTCCAATAATACCATTTGCCCCCAGAGGTACAAATGTTTAATCGTGATCTTGATGCAAAATATTGAATGTTCACTAGAACTAAAGCATTGTTCTTAAATTTTGCTTATTCACTGGGAAATAGAAATTTGAAAATGGGAGATATATGACACAGTAGAAGAATGTCAATGCAATTTAAACCATATTTACACCACACATCGTTTTAATATGGCCTCTTCATTTCAGAGAACTGCAACTGCCAATATGCCAGAGAATGCCAAGGTTTACATTCACTATGGACCATATGACTCTTGTGGCTTGGTAGAACATCGAGATCTTCGTCTCAAAGGACTCCAAAGTATGGTTTTTGTGTTTATCATTTCTGTTTCACTTTGATCACTCCCCAAATATTACTCAATATATGTATGTCAATACATTAAACATACTAAAAAACATGTTTTTGTTTCCCTATATTCACAACTACAAGTCACAAAACTTAACGTAAAACAAAATAACTGACTATTTTGTAAGCATACATTTTTGTTTGACTAACTTGTAGTCTCTGATTATCACTATAATATGCTACTACCTATTACTCTATTTTAGATGTGCTGCAACTTCATGGTCACACAGTGGAATTGAAGGAAATCAATGACTGGAATGTTATTGAACTTTGGGTTAATGGAGAATTGATATTTACATGTGACATCAGGGAGTTAGAATATGGTATGTTTCAGCTTTATTTGATCATAAGCAATACACACCTGGTTTGTTCAAAGTAGAACATCTTCACTTATTGGCCTATATGGAAACTGATGATATATATAACATACACATATCTGTGAAGAAGTTGTCATTGCTATCATTTTTCATTGGTCAAAACTTTTTTTTATTGTAATCAGTGTCATTGTATTCATGGTATCAATTGATATAGGAATCTTAAAGGATTGGTATCGATATGGAGAACTGAATTTAACAATGTTTTTCTCTTAAACCAATCATTGAAAAATTCTGTGTAAAAAAACATGGTATTTTATGTAATGTTGACTGATTGACAACAATTTAATGCGAAAATTATTTAGAAATATTTTATATAACTGTTTTTGTTAACATTTTTTGTTTTTTTAGTGCAATTGTTTTTGCTCCTTTCTACCAATTCTTGAGAATGAAATAAAATGTCTTTCCGAACCTTGTTGGAACAAAATAGCATATACAACATGTTTTTAGACCTCTCAATATTATAGTTGTACAAAGGAATTTTTGGTTGATTTTAAAAAAGTACAATTCAAAAAATGAAAACAAAATCCCCCAAAATCGATAAAAATCAAGATAAACCTTTTATTTCATTAACAAGATACTTTTTTAAAACCAACCAAAATTTCCTTTGTACAATTACAATATTTAGAGACCTAAACATGTTGTGTTTATGTCGTTTTGTTCCAATGAGGTTCGGAAAGATGTTTCATTTTACTCTGGAAACATGATACTAAGAACAAAACAAGTGTTTGATGTGTTTTCTAAAACAATATAGATGAAAGGATATATACATTTTTCAAATTATATTGTTACCATTCAAAAGATGACCATTAAATTGACGATGTGTTAAATTTTTAGATTTTTTATTATGACTGGTTGAAGAGAAACGAGTTTTCAAAAAGTTCTCCATATCGATACCACTCCTTTACAGTACTTCTGTTAATGCCCATAGCCTATGGTTCGAGTAACCACCCCCCCCTAGCCAGCCAAAAATTCTTTGAGAATCATGCAGTTTTACACCATTTTGGGCATTTTCGCAAGTGATTCTAGGCTATGGGCCTGTGACTGCCCAGACTATCTATATCTGATTACGTATATATATTAATGCATTTATGTTCTACCTGTAGATTATATTATGTAGTTGTTCCAGCAATTGAAAACCACATTTGCATTTTCTTCCAGGGGGAGATGGTCATCTAGACCCACTTTGTTCCAGCGCCCTCCAGAAAGTCACAGAGGCGTACTGATCCATGACAAGACTGAGAAACACTCATCATGGTCACTTTTCACATGGGACATAGATTTGATATATCGGAGTTAAATTGGAACAAATAAAGCATGACTGTGATATCAATGCATATATGTATTGTACATACTGTACAGGATTATTCATAATTATGTAAAAGTGTAAATATATTTAGTGTAAATAAATATACAGAATATAATATTGAACATAGAGATAAACTTTATTTTTATTTCATGTGTAAGAGATTTCAACGAGGCCTGTTATATATAATATGATTCTCAAACAAGGAAAATATGCAGGAATTTCCATTTCTTTTCCAACAAATTATGTAATAATCTTTTATTAGGTCTTGTAAAATAAATTCTAAACATGTTTATAATCAATACTTTATCTGCAAGGTGAGTTTATATGTCAACCTCATGTATGGTATCCAATTATTAACAGTCATGGAAAAACAAAGTTGATTTCTTTATGCCCCCCCCCCTCCCCCATTTAACGAAACTTAATGTGTTATTCCAGAATAGTTCATAATTGGACACAATGCCTAAATATCAAGCTAAAAAAATCAAAATTTCAATAATATTTAGCTCTTCAGTGATGAGACCAATTGTGATATTGGTCAAAATCCCATATTCAATTCCATTTTTGCACTGTTTCATACAATATATTGAAAACACTATTTCTCTAAATTGCAATCATGAGTTATCCTCAGAAAAATTCGAAACATTCCATCATAATTGAGAGTTATTCAAAAATTAGAGGGTTGTATATTCCGCCTCACCCAGTTTCGGGGATAAGGTATTGAAAAACTCCTTATCCAAGGTGAAAATGTGTTTTATTAATCCTTTTTTGACTAGAGAGAAACAGTGGAAATTTAATAGCGTACACATACAAAAAGTTGTAAGGGTCATGTGATTGCATTATTTGCAATAAAAGATTTGAATATAATTGGAGAACCTGTCTTTGGGCAAAATATACCATTTCTACACCACTAAATAATAACTTAAACAAAGTTTAGATGTATCAACTTTATTCACTCTAAAAATTATTTTCAATCAATAAATATTTTGTTCCAAATTACCACTTTAAGTTTGAACCAATGACATACAACATATTTGTAGCATGGATTTAGATTTAACACAGATACTAGACTATGTTGTGTTGCATCAAGTCCTTGGTCCCTTGCTTGAGAGGGAGGGGGGTCTTGGTCCCTCATTAGGCATCAAACCCATGCTTGAGTGGGGCATAAGGACCTGATATAACACTAAGACTACATATACATATGGACTGAACAATTATATATTGAATATATTATTGAACTAAATGTACACAATACAATTGCGTGCATTAGAAGCAATAGTATACTTTCATGCAATGAAAACCAGAACATTCAGTTTCTATAAATAGTACTATATAATATCTGTAAAACAGTGCACATGTATAAAGATAAACATTTCATATAGTCTATCAAAGACTATAAGAGATCTCAATTGGTATCAAATATTGGTGCTAATGAATGATGGAGTTGATTTTACATAAAAGGCATTTAAACGTTTCCATCATTCAAAAAACCTTGAAGTTGACTTAAAACGATGCAGAATTTGTGTTAAAATACATGTACACGCATATTCAAAATTTGAGTTTCAAACCTCGAGTCTTCATGGCCATTTTGTGCATTTTTTGAAATATCTCTATTCCAGATACAAATACAAGGGGTTGATGTGAAACCATGCATGAAAATACACCATACACCTGAAATCACCTCAAAACCTATAAGATAACAATTTTTCATCCATAAAATAACTTTTTATTGATATGTGATAATCATGTCATTTCATTTGTTCACAGCCACCGTAGTTCAGCAGATTATCTAATTTAAACTACAGTAGATATATTAGACTATTCTGTATTTGAAAAACTATCCTAAGTGAATGAACTAGACCTGATGTGACAAAGGTAGGCCATGGATAACATGGTTAAATAGGGCTTTCTGTGTAGGTTTTCAAATTTTTTTCCACAAGACCCACCTTAAGCCATTGATTTAACAAGAGCTACAAGTTTTACCTTTTATTGATGAAAATGAATTGTTTCAGATCCCTGTGGTGTTAACTTAGAATCAATGAAAGGCCTAATGAAGTATTTTTTCAAAGTAAAACCATTTAATATACTTAAAAACAAAGTTGCATTGTTTTGTGTGAAGAAATGTCTCCAAACAAATCATTATCAAGCATAGTGCTTACACAGATATTTACATGCAATATGAAGATTACTTTAATAAAATTCGTAAACATAACAAAATACCCGGTCTACAATGAAAAATAACAATACACATACACATAGGACGATTACTACTAACTTGTTTGTAAAACCAATTGAATTTGACAGATCAAACCACTAATTACTCCAAATGGGACACTTCACTTATTATTTATCTTAATGAAACCAAAGTGAATTTTCATCGTTTTGATAAGAGAGACCAACAACCGCTAAGTAGAGATTAAGTACTAGTCTACCAATCCGGAATAGCCTGACACCGGTTAAGTCAGATACCGTTGTCACAATTGGTGGACATAACCGTCGCTTCAACTCTTTAATCACTCGGTCACATTTCATGGGATTTTATCGTCACCAATTCTGTGCATGTATTAGCTCTTGTGATGATGTATCATATGAAATCCTAATTTCGATCAAATTGGGTCATGAATCACCAAAATATACATGTACATAGATATCGTCAATGACAACGGAATCTGAATTTGAAATAATTTACAAAGACAACGGCATATGGTAATACCGTGTCCGTTGTCCAATCTCTCATTTTGTTCGGTTAAATTAAAGGCTTTATTTCGATGGTACAACATGAATAACTGTACAATGAGTATAAAGAAACATACAGTTCATGAAAATCTAATTGAAGTGACGGTTATGTTCACCATTTGTGACACTGGTATCTGACTTTACCGTTGTCAGGCTATTCTGGTTTGGCACAACACATTTTGATTTAAATGATCCATTGTCTTGAATTTGTGTTCTTGTCATAAGGCATAGGTTTTTTGGACACATATACTGGCACCAGTAGGATACTTTTGTTGAATCCACATAAAGTAACATTTGTTATACATATCTATATATCCATATACTTATAATATTGATTTCATATTTCATGTACAATACTGCAAACATAAATGAAAAATATCAAAGCATATTTGATAAAGCATATTTTTACTGCGGACTTCAATCTGCCAATCATACACTACACAAAACTTGGTGAGATTTCTTAGAGAACCCGTATACACATGTACTAGAATATGATGTACATGCCCTAGAACATGATGTACATGTACTAGAACATGATGCACATGTACTAGAACCTGGTGTAAATGTTCTAGAAAATGAGGTACATGATTCTATAATTTTATTGTACGTTCTAGAATCGGAGTTACATGTACTAGTGTACCAGAATCTCATGTATGTGTACTGGAATCTGAAATACATGTACAAGAATATAATGTGCATGAACTAGAATCTGGTGTACACATCAAATCTCATATATATGTACTAGAACATTGTGTACATGTACTGGAATCTTGTGTACATGTACTAGAATCTGGTGTACATGTACTAGAATATACTAACTGTACGCTATATGATAAATAATATAAATGAGAATAGAATTGGATAAGGAAAACATGAACTCATAAGTTCGAAACAACTAATATCTGACTGGTGTATAGAAGGATGTCCATGAGCCAATCAGATTACAGAAATGATCAGTTAGCAACGTAACTATAATAGGTACTAAATGATAGAGTACAAATATTTCTTTACTTGCGAATAGACAAAAATTATAATACATTTATCTCGCATTGAAATTGACTAACATAACAGATTAATTTTCCAAGTTCATAAAGTTCATCAAACAACCAGTGAAATGTACTGCATGTTTTCTGCAGTGTTTATGCAGTAGCTAACTTATTAACCTCCACTATCTCACAACTTCACTCTCAACAACAATAAATATATAATTCACCACCTTATATTTCGATTTTAATATGGTCAGTTATCGTGGTTCCTCTGGAAATATCGCAGGAAGATTAAAATGTCACTAAAGCATGAGCCAAACACCTGAATGATTATCAAAGATATTTCTTCTTGTTTTCAGCTAATTAGAATGCAAAATAACGTGGAAAAGAGTGGCGCCAGCAAGAAAACAGACACGAAGTCAACACTCAAAATTGTATAGAAATACAAAAAAATCAAATGTGTCATTCAAATGTAAAAGGAAAATGGAGAGGAATAGGCATAAAAATAAATATTTTAAGCACACACAAATCCATCATTCCTACGATATTTCCTAAGAAAAGCATGAACAGCCACATGTAGACTCTGTAGTGTGTGGATCTAATGTCTATACGAGACTAATCGCCTCCTTGATGTACTTGGACTGCTCCATTAAATGCATTTGTTTATTTCCAGTTGCAGCAGAGGCTGCGGCATGTCGTCCAATGTACCTGCAAATATGAAATATTAATGTTTACTATGAAAGTTGCATGTTTTGAAATGAAATTTTGGACAGAGACTAAAATTTTGGAAGGAACCTGAAATTGTGGACAGAAACTTACCAAATGAGGTGCAATGCAAGGAATTTCATCAGTAATCTGCGCACCATTTATGTTTAATTTTATGAAAGTAAAGGCTTTCTTTAGCGATAAAATTTTACAGATCATCCAAGATACATGTACATAGAGAATGAACACTAAAAATAGAGGCTTGAAATCACAACTCTAAAATGCTATGCTTATAACTAGTATGGCTGCCATTAATATTGGAACATGGATGCTCCATTTTTGTATCAAAATAATTTAACATACTTGACACGTCTTGCTTTGGGATCTTTTTTCATAGCTGTATCAAAGCGAGGGTGTACGTAGGACCATCCACCCATGTTCTTGTGTTCCTCCTGTACCCAGACCACCTTAGCTTTGCGGTACTTCTCACATTCTGCCTTCACCAGGTCAAATGGAAATGGTGAAACCTGGATTGATATACAGTATGGTTAGTTTCAATCCTAAACATCTGATGAACAGTTGATTGCAAGGCACGATGTGTAATGAGATTACATAATCAAGTAGCAACATTGAACACAAAAATCAAAAGGCCACTAGAATTAAAAATGGCTGCCAAAAATTTGATCAACTTTAGAATCTGATGCGATCTAACACCTGGCATCTATAAAAATCTAAATTGATGATATATAGAATTCAAAGTTGAAAAATTCTTTTTCTTAAACTTACTCTACAGTTAATGACATTGTCATATAATGGTGAAACTGAATGTATCATCCAGAGAGGTGAATAAAAGGCACTAGAGAGATTTCACACGACGGGTTATAGCTAAAACGTATCTGCAACCACATCTCATTTTAATTAAACCACTAGGCATAAATCTGGTAAATGCATTACAGATTTCAGATACATTGAAAACATTGTGCATTGGAAATGGATGCACTTGGAGATTGTCAATTTACCTGTTCTACTCTCAAGATTGCAATCTTTTCAGTTCTATTCTCCATATCTCTAGATTTCACCAGATCATAGTATACTCGACCAGAGCAGAAGATAACTTTCTCTACATTATCTGGATTCTCTGATGCGGGACCATTCTCTGGAATGATTCGCTGGAATCGACTTCCAGTGACCATATCATCAAAACTGGACCTAGCCTCAGGCAGACGTAAGAGACTCTTCGGTGTCATCATGATAAGCTAAAAGAAACAATTCTTATAGAATAGAAATGATAAATAAATAGAGGATATCCTATGATTTATGAGTGATATGATTTTTATCCACGAATTGATATGATATCTGCACGAGCGAGCGTAGCGAGAGAGTGCAGATATCAATATCCATGAGTGGATTAAAATCATATCACGAGTAAATCATAGGATGTTCTTTTTATTCTATAGTTAAAGTCATCATCAGAATCGTTGGAAATTAAGTTATTTAATTCGAATTTCCAAACGATCCGGCGATGTTGACACTTAGCCTCGTTTTGAGTCTGAAGTAGCAAAAATCCATCAACCATCGCATACGACGTCGTATGTCATGGCTAAAAAACCGTATGTTATGGTTAAGTGAAAATTAGTCAAAAATATCATATTTTACCACTGATTACAAAAATACCGTTTTTATTTTCACATGTTATCCTATGAATATCATGCTAACTATGGAATAACAACAAGTAATAATATATTATAAAGTTAACAATATAAATTAACAGGTATCCCAGTAAATATATATAAGTGAAACACCTCTAGAGTGGGAACACTTCTGTAAGTGGAACACTTTTCAGAGTCCCCAAGACCAACTGACTTATTTCATTTTTTTAGAGGTACCAAGGGTGTTCAACTTAGACAGGTTTTACTGTACATTGTTATTTGAAATGACTTCTCAAAATTATAAAAATACATTAACATAACAAAATCTCACCCCCCTGCAAATGGTCACAAAAATGTGATATTTGTAATACTCAGGCCAACCACTCTCAACATCGATGTCAGACTCAAGCAAGGCATAAACATGCAATATGTCATGTCACCACTTGACATAAGAATGGTGACTAAACACAATAACAAACAAATATAACAATGTGTCACTGCTTCTTGAAGGTGACATGAGTAAAACACTTACTGGTTTCCTAAATGGCAACTGTATCTGTCTTCTGAGAACATGGAAGAGATTGGCTGGAGTAGTACAGTTACAGACAAACCAGTTGATCTCATGAAGCTGCTGCATTTCAAAGTTTTCACCCTCAGGCTGAAGCAAATAGAACACAAGGTATTAACATGCAAAATGTCACCACCTGCCATTTGGTACAGATGACGAATCCCAAACAACAACTGCTGAATGCCGAACACTGTCCACAAAGAAGTTGGAGACGTTACAGTACACATTAATTCATAATGTTTAATTCTGGTTTTGAATAATCAAGTTTATTTTAATAAATCTTGTTATGTTATTGTATGCATTATATCACTTATTTACTAATAAATTCATTACTGAGAAAACCACAACTGTGAATATAAACATTTTCGTAAAGAAGCATGATGTTATATCAAAATAATGGAATTGATTTCTATATAACTGACTTTATTGGTATTGTTAATTTAAGCTTACTGGGAAATACTCAGCATCATCATTGCTCATCTGTAAGAACCTCTCCATACGAGCACTTGAGTGTTCAGGACCCTAAAATATACAATAGGAATACAACAATCAAACACTGAAATGACTGACCATCATGAATTTTTCCCAGGGGGTTCACTCCAAATAATTTGGGTAGGTATGTGCAGCATGGTCAATATTGGGGCGGCACATAGGTATTAAGAATTATATTTGAGTGAACCGCCACTGGGGGAATTTTTGCCTATTGTTGAATTGAGATAATTTCAACTGACATACATGGACATACTTTAGTTGAAATATTTGCATTATCCTAGAATACAGTGTGAATGGAACAAGCAAACACTAAAATGGCTGACCATTATGAATTTGTGCAAGTTGTTGAATCAAGATAATTTCAACTGATACACATATACAGGAGAAATATTTGCTTTATCCAGAAGAAATGTGTCAGATTTCAATTCGTCAATTCGTGAAAAAATTCATTATACTCTGCCTGCCTTAAGACTTTCAAATAAAACATAAGTTTGATTCATTTGATGAGGAACACATACCATTCCTTCCATGCCATGAGGCAGCAACATGACAAGTCCACTCTGCCTCACCCATTTAGCCTGACCACTAGATATGAACTGGTCTATTATACACTGGGCTGTGTTGTTAAAGTCCCCAAACTGAGCCTCCCAGATCACAAGGGCATTAGGATTGGTCATAGAATAACCAAGCTCAAATCCTGAAAATGGTGTAACAGTTCATTTAATGATTTAGAATTCAAAGCACTTAAGGCAATGCAGTAGTTTGCATATTACAGGAAATGTACATGATGTTATTTCAAATACCCAATCCAAGTCATGTGAAATGCAAGCACTTTGTTACTCTTAAAATAAGGCGGGCCAAACAGGATCTCTTTTGCATCTTTATGCCAACCAGATTATGCCCATATGCATACCTAATATTCCAGTGCATTTTTTAAGAAAAGTTTGTTATTTAAGAAATTAATGTCTATTGCTCTTTCATAGGCCATCATTATGTCAATGGTCATTACGTCAACGAAAATGTTACCTAATACTCCAAACTCTGATAGGGAACTATTGCACACAGAATACGCTGACTGGTCAGGTGACAGATGGTTTAACGAATTAAATATTTTCTTGTCAATTTCCTGGTCATGTAGGACGTGGTGACGATGGCTGAAATAAAACAACAACCATAAGAGTAATGATAAATGAGTTTGAAAAATGCACATATTCAAAAGAGGGAAAATATTATTGTGGGTATATCTATTAACATGTACATGTAGTTAGAATAACTTTGACTCTCTAGGTTAAATTAAATGATTTATGAAAAACCAAACATGTAGCGATATATTCTTCATAAAGCTTGCACTATTCATCACACTTACTCATATATGAATGCAATGCACATTAAACCTTTTTACAATTTTCGCAATTGATTAATTACAATTTATATAGTTTAGTTAACCAAATACCTGAATGTTCCTCTCTCTACATCCTGGCCACTCAACCTGACGTGAATGCCATCCATCAAGAGAGAACCAAAAGCGAATGCCTCCCCCAGGGCCCAATCTGCCATTCTGTTAGATACCATCTCAGCTCTACCCTTCAGGATACGCTTTATACCTAGGAGATCATGTATATGTAAGATAACACATTAACCAAGCATGATATGATATGTTCAGTTAAAGAATTATTCATTTGTTTGGTAATACTACTTGTACCCTCAATAGTATGAAAACCACTGCAAATTATGAATATATTTCGCAATTGCTAACAGTCTATAGTACACATCATCACACATTGTAATACTAGTCTATTATGTGGCACATACAATTGTGAAGCTTGAAACTCTAGTCTATGATACACATCATTGTGAAGCTTGAAACTCTAGTCTATGGCACATTCCATTGTGAGCTTGAAACTCTAGTCTATGATACATACCATTGTGAAGCTTGAAACTCTAGTCTATGGCACATACCATTGTGAGCTTGAAACTCTAGTCAATGGCACATACCATTGTGAAGCTTGAAACTCTAGTCAATGGCACATACCATTGTGAGCTTGAAACTCTAGTTCATGATACATACCATTGTGAAGCTTGAAACTCTAGTATAGTCTATGGCACATACCATTGTGAGCTTGAAACTCTAGTCTATGATACATACCATTGTGAAGCTTGAAACTCTAGTCAATGGCACATACCATTGTGAGCTCGAAACTCTAGTTTATGATACGTACCATTGTGGAGCTTGAAACCATCTCCTGGTGGTGTACTGAACATTGTTCCAATAGTCTTCAGCCTGTCTTCTTCCACTGAAGTATCGGGATACTTCATAGGGTCCTTGTCATCAAAGAATCCTATCCAAGGTGAGTCTAGCCAGTCCAGGTTGTGTACGGCTGTCTCTGCCTTAGCAGCCAAGAAAGCTTCCTCACAGACTTTGTCATACTTGGCGACCTCATCCTGGCAACCAAACAATTCAATATTGTTAGCATCTCTGAGTAAACGCTGACTTCTGATTGGCCAATGCAAGGTATACAATTTAAATTGTTAGTAGATTGTACCTTGATCGATACAAATACTCCAACATGATCATTAGTTAACAGGTTCTTATTAAGTTCAACTTTTATATTTCCACCCACACTTGTGCATAATTGAATTGAATATTCAATAAACTACCTGTATTGGTCAGTTTAGAATTTGAAGATTACCTTACAGCAACTTAAAAATCAAATTGCATCTTTTAAAATTTAGGATTCAAATAAAATTGATGCTGATAACTAAAATTTTGGTCATTTCATTCACTAGTCAACTGGACAATGTAGTCCAGATGTAATTGTAAGTTGATTCTGTTACACCACAACACATGCCTATGGGCGTCTAGTGCCATGATTTTAAAGTGTATATTATATAAATAAATCCTGGAGAACATTGGATAGTTGTAGTACCTGATATTCTTGCTCAGTGACAGTTCCCTCAGCTATTAGTTTAGCAGCATACTGATCAATGGTCTTAGGATGCTTAGCAATCTTCTTATACATGAGTGGTTGTGTGAACATTGGCTCATCAATCTCATTGTGGCCATTTTTACGATAACACACCTAGAGCAATAATTAAGAGGCAAATGCATAAAAATTAACAATATCTGTTGCAGATCAATCTGATCCAGAGCTTTAATTATTAACCAGAACAACGGCAACGCCAAAGCGTAGCGAATCCCATTGAACAGAAATAGCTGGCATTTTTACAAACGAATAGCAAATATCATAAAACAACACACCAGAAAGGCCACCATTTTCAAAATGGTTGCTCACTAGCCAAGTTGTCATTAGGAGAAATAATATGCTTTTAAGTAGCTACCTCTAAAATTTTTGAAAAATTACACACATACTTGTAAAATAACACACATAAAAATGGTGGCCATTTTTCAAAATGGCCGACTACTCCCCAAAGTTTTATTAGACAATGTGCAATGCTTAAAGTATTCACATATCAAATATGAACAAAATCGCTCCGCTACTTTTTGAGTTATAGTAAAATATGTTAAAATGGCGGCCATTTTTCAAAATGGCCACCTTCTACCAAAAGTGTCATTAGAAATAGACAGTGTGCCATGCTTATAGTATTCACATACCAAATATGAACAAAATTGCTCCACTACTTTTCGAGTTATAGTAAAATATGTTAAAATGGCGGCCATTTTTCAAAAAATTTTCAAAATGGCCGCCTTCTACCAAAAGTGTCATAGGACAGTGTGCCATGCTTATAGTATTCACATTCCAAATATGAACAAAATCGCTCCACTACTTTTCGAGTTATAGTAAAATACATTAAAATGGGGGCCATTTCTCAAATTTTTTTTCAAAATGGCTGCCTTCTACCAAAAATGTCATAGGACAGTGTGTCATGCTTATAGTATTCACATACCAAATATAAACAAAATCGCTCCACTACTTTTCGAGTTATAGTAAAATACGTTAGAATGGCGGCCATTTTTCAAAATGGCCGCCTTCTACCAAAAGTGTCTTTAGACAGTGTGCAATGCTTATAGTATTCACATACCAAATATGAACAAAATCGCTCAACTATTTTTTGAGTTATAGCAAAAATCGTAAAATGACGAGTAAAGGCCGCCATTTTTCAAGATGGCTGCCATGTGCTTATTTAATATCTACATTTGTAGCATTATTAATGTCCTTTATAATTTTTTTACATTTAAAACATATTGCTATTACAGTTTTACATATTGCACCTAAATGACTGTAAAATCAGCACTAAAATGGCCGCCATTTTGAAATGAGCGGCCATTTTGAAAATCGGCTTTCGAGCAGAACTTCTACCCCCATAGGGTATATGTGTACAAAATATGAACAAAATCGGGCCAACGGTATTTGAGTTATTGCCCGGACGGACGGACAGACGGACGGACGGACGGACGGACGGACGTACGTACGTACGTACGGACGGACGGACGGACGGAGGCGTTCCCTATATCCCTCCGAACTTCGTTCGATGGGATAATGAGTGATGGAGAATTACTGACATGATTGAATAAGCATATTCTATACTGAATAGAGAATTTTGAATGTCCATTTGGTTGAAACAAAACTAAATTGGGTTAAGACCACCTTCCTAATCTATTTCTTCAAGTTGAATTTTATTTACCAAATCAATGACAACATCCTTGCCCCATGTATCCCTCCATTCGGAGGCCACCTTACAGACATAAGTGACTGCCTCAGGGTCATCAGCATTCACGTGGAAGATTGGAGCACCAACCACACGGGCCACATCTGTACAATAGGGGGAGCTACGTGACATACGGGGGTCAGTCGTGAACCCAATCTGAAATCATATATTAACATGTACTAAATACGAAATTTAATTAATACTAAATTCATAATCATGGAAAATTAATTTGTCACATATTTTTAATGAGCACTTTTAACATGTTAACAATTTTACACATGCTGTATTGATTATTACCTGATTGTTGACTACAATGTGTACAGTACCCCCAGTTGTAAAGGCAGGCAAGTCGCTCAAGTGGAAAGTCTCATACACAATACCCTGGCCTGAAAATGCTGCATCACCATGGAGAAGTATGCTCATAGACTGCAATAAACAAATTAAAAAGTATGTCACATATCAGAGCGCAACATGTAATTTTGCCTAATTCCATTTTTCTTCTATTAATTGCTAAACATTTGTGAATTTAAAGAGGTAACAAGGGAAAACCTTTAGAAAAAGTTTTGCAATGTTTTTGCATTTCAGTACATGTTCTGTACATGGAGTACATATTCTGTACATGGAGTACATGTCCTGTATATAGAGCACATGTTCTGTACAAGGAGTTCATGTTCTGTATATGAGGTACATGTTCTGGACAAGGAGCACATGTTCTGCAAATGGAGTACATATTCTGTCCATGGAGTACATATGAAGTTTATGTCCTGTATATTATATTCAGTACATGTTCTTTAAATGGTGTACATGTTATGTAGTATATGGAGCACATGTTCTGTGCATGGAAAATACGCTTTCTACATGGAGTACAAATTCTGTTCATAGAGTACATGTTTTATATTAAACTACTTAATCAACTTACTCTTTTATGCTCTGTGTCTCCTCTATAATACTGTTCTGCTTTGGTTTTACCCTGCACAACAGGGTTGACAGCCTCTAAGTGAGAGGGATTGGCTACAACAGCTAACTTAATACGCTTATTGGTGGCATGATTCAAACGTTCATGGCACATGCCCAAATGATATTTCACATCACCAGATCCCTCGTCAGCGGCTTCAAGTTTAGAGTCAAACTGACAGAATATTTGCTCTAATGGCTTGCGGCAGACATTTGCTAGGACATTAAGACGACCCCTGAAAAACAGATAAACTCTTTCAATCTGAAAAATATTAAAATTCTCTCTTGGTTTTGTTGAACTCATAATGTACAGTATATGATGAACGTTTATGAAATATAAATATTTCCATTTAAAATAATTATGAAAATCATGTATAACTGTAACATTTTCCTTTTACGGTATTTTACATTGAACAATCTTTATCACATTCTCTTCATTTTAACAGGTACCTCTATTACTAACTAAGGGATTTTACATTTGATCTGATTTCATCCCTTTGCTGATTTGCTAAGTGCTTTTATTCTAATGCCATTGTTGAAACTACTTTTTTCACTTTTACTTGAAGCTTGTTTGTTTAATCTTTCTATTTTTGTATACTAAATAAGGTGATACCTCACTCAAATCTGAATTTTCACTTTTACAAGCTTGTTTGTTTAATCTTTCTATTTTTGTATACTAAATAAGGTGATACCTCACTCAAATCTGAATTTGGGTAAATGGTTTTGTCCAATCTCGTTCATTTTATTGCCACTCACGCCTAACCCTGTCTATTACATACCTATGAGGCATTCCTATGATAAAGCTATCAGTGCCAAGTATGCTAGAACTGTCAATCACTGTCTTCATGGCAGGTATCAAAGATTCACATCCTTCTAACCCAAAACGCTTTTCTGAAGTCCACTTCTTGGCTAAAAATTCTTCAAATCTGAAATCAAAATTAATTTTGACTGACTGATACTATGTATGTTTAAACCTAATTAATATGGTTGAAATGTATAAAATAATTTTTAGTTTCCAAAAAAAACGGTTTAAAACATGTAACATGTTTGTTTTCAAGTCATCTACATGTATTGCATATTGCATAACAAGGTACCCCTGGAAAGAACCTTTCTTTGAGGTCTTATTTTCTGGATAACTAATTCACTGCCAGGCCAATAGCCAGGGGGGTTCGCAGGGTTAGGGCGAATCCCCCCCTGGCCAAAAATTCTTTCAAAATCATGCAGTTTTTCACCATTTTGAGCACTTCTCAAGTAATTTTAGCCATATTTGGGCCAAAATTGTCAAATATGAACCCCCCTGGAAATCTTTGAAAACTGAACCCCCCTTGGCAAATCCTGGCTACGGGCCTGACTGGAGAGCTGCTTTACTCAAACAATTTGTTCCCTGAAAGTGTACTCCTGGGCAATTTATTATAGTAACACTGCACTGTACCTTGTAGAACGGATAAGTCTTGCCATCAATGTACGTTTCTCCTCCTTTGCTAGATCTTGCCCACCTGGCATCTCAAACTTGTGTTTAATCCAGCGCTGTTGCTCCAAATTATGCAGAAACATGAATTCCACCCCAACATGCTTACAGTAAGCTTTCTGAATGTAAAAGAATCATGCGTTTTACTTTCAATATTTCTGTCTTAGTCACACTTCTGGCGATGACATAATAATTTGGTAGGTCATTTGTGCATTTTGTGATTTTAGCACCCACTATGTTTGTTATATCTCTGATTCCACCTTAATGAAGAGAAGAACAATTGTATTTGATAACAAATATTTTCATCCAATAAATACAGTATTGCAAAAAAAACAAAATTTATGATAACTTGTCAATTAAGAAAAACAAATATCTTTGAAATGGAAACCAACCTGTAATCTGTTAATGATTTCTCTAAGTGGCAAAGATGTCTCATTCCCACCAATGTAACAGCTGGGTGGCAAATGAAATGATCTGTCCAGGTCAGCCTCAGCTACAAAATAAGTTTATTTATTCATTATCATAATACATTTACAGGGTATAACTCATAATTCTTAACCACATTTCAAATGAATATTGATATATGCATGAATGCACATTTTTATGCTATAGTAAAAATGGTTCAAATAAAATGCACATGAATGCAAATTTTTATTCTATAGTGAAAATGGTTCAAATAAAATGCACATAAATGCACATTTTTATTCTATAGTGAGAATGGTTCAAATAAAATGCACATGAATGCACATTTTCATTCTAAAGTGAACATGGTTCAAATAAAATGCACATGAATGCACAGTTTTATTCTATACTGACAATGGTTCAAATATGTATCTCATGGCTACATTGTATATTTGACGGTTCAATGAAAAATTGACAAAAATATGATAATTACCTACTGGTTACAAAAATACCATTTTTATTTTGACATAATATCCTATGAATACCAAAGTTACTAGGGAATAAACACATATTCAATATTTTTCTCTATTTCTAAATATATATTTCACTCAGTATCTTTATGCCCAGGGTGAAGTATCTCAACATGTAGTGATATTATTAATATCTGAACAAAAAATACACCATTCTAAGATAAATGATATAATAAATAATTTACTATCTCAATGTTGAGATTATACGGATGAGTTAACTTACTTAGATTAAAGGTCTGTAGCTTAAGGGCAGCAGGTGTAGAGTGATCCAGGTCAGCAAAGTTGATACCAAGAGGATCAAGAGCAGCAACCTTTGCCCCAAGCACCTAAAAGACAAAATAAGATAACATACAGAGCAGAGTATAATATGGTATATATACAGCAACCTTGGCTTCAAGCACTTAGTGATCCTATAATTCAAGATGAGTTTGAGATGAACAGAGTTAGACCTTAGTATATGAAATATAAACAATATTGGTTAAGCTTTTGAGATATTTCCTGGACAGGATAGACAGACTGATGTACAGACAGAGGGTTGAATGAAGGTGTTCTCTACACCACCATAACTTCCTTTGATGGGATAATAATGCACAGCAATTATCGATCATTGAATGTAAATTGCAGAAAAGTGGTATCTGTTTGTTGATTCTAATAATCTAATACACCTATAGTGTCCTTTTCTAGGATTCAATCAATTGTTCAGAAGAGTACATTGCTATTAAGAATCATCCTTTTAATGTAACATTATACAACCTAATGCCCACCCATTGTTCCCTTGTAATTAGGAGATCAGGGATATGTCTGTTTCCAGTGGCAACCCAATAACATTTAATGACTTAATTCATTTAATGAATTGACTTAATGACATTCAATGAGCATTAGTGTCACTTTGCCTGGTGATTGACTTTCCAATTTCCCAAAAGCTTGTTGATGAAATATTTAGGCAAAATTTTTTGCTTGCAAGTTTCCATATTTGGTTATATAGGTAACAAACAATAGAATAACTATATCAATTATTTTCAGCTATAATGGATGACCATACCTAAATGACACTACACACAGGTAACCATAAGAATAAAAAATTAGCACATTATATTATCATAAAAATTATTTTGCATGTGTTTAAATCAATGAAGGAACAAATAGTCTTGTAGGCTAACTGTAAATTATTGGTTTAAAAATTTTGCATAACCTTCATGCAAATACCTGTACACAATTGTATAGTTTCTAAATAGCTGAATAACGCTGACATTATAGATGTCAGCCTGTCTTTGATTTTCTTGGGCCAGACCTCAATTCACTTCAATGCTAGAAACTTGCAATAGTCACTTAATTTCATGATTTATCAAAAAGTGTTGGTTGAATCTGATTGAAACTTGAATGGCGTACTATTAGATGACCCTGTCAATGTACATAATGTGATTAAACATGGAAATGTTTGTTGTTATCAAATAAGCAAAGGTTTTAATGAATTTTAGCATTGCATCAATGGAGATTTGGTCCAAGTTTTTTTTTATTGATAAACTGACGAAAGCTGAAATACATGTTGTTTTCAAACTGAGAACTTCTCTCACTATAATATGATTGAAAATCCCAATTATAGAAGTGAGGTGAGGTTAACCATATTATGAACTTTGAATGGCCTAACACATCTATCGATATCACATGTCCCTTAATCCTGATATAATAGCTTGATTTATAAGCTGCATGATTGATATAAAATACCATCAACTGGCCATAATCCAGATGATACATGTAACTGCAAAATAGACTTACACGTTCATAGAGACAAACAATTACAAAGTATTACAATTATGCCTGAATGGAACTGATGACATCACAGATATAACAAACTTCATGTACTAGAGATATAAGGATACACACCAGATAACAAAAAATAATTTAAACAACATTTACATAACATAAATAAATACGTTGAAGACCTGACAATATGGAAAATATTCTGAAAGCCACTTTGTGGCTATTGGGGATAGTTGCAATATGGGAAATAGATTGCATAAAAGCAACAAGCAAAAATCAAACTGCAAATCAAATCAGTACAACTCTGTATTCAAAAAGTATAATTATGTTCTCGGAAAGCACAACTCAGAAAGACCTGCAACAGAATTCTTCAAGGACAATGGACATGCAAGAATTCACCGAAGAGACTGGCATTACCAAAAATACTTCTATGAATGCATATACAGACAAGCCAGCCTATGACCAGGATCACAATGAAACAAATGGTAGGACTCCGCAAAATGGTACAGGTAGTCAAAATGTAACCACTGATCAGTCTACAGCCAATCAAAGATGTAACGAGGACAATGACATTGCAAGTTTATATCCTAAGGAAATTGCAGAGTTTGCCAGAGCTATTATGTTGTGGCTGGCTGGAATTGTGTGTATCATAGGTGTACTAGGAAATGGACTTTCTATAACAGTTCTCCACCATGATGAATCCAAAGGGCCCAGTACATTCTACCTGAAAGCTCTAGCGATACTGGACTTGCTTTCATGTTCAACATATATTATGTTTGACTGTGTACATTACATATATAGATATACATTTCTAATGGATAAAACATCTGAAGTGACTCATTATTATGAGCGAGGATACACTTATACAGGTTTGGCTCGAATCTACTTTATGCTAATTAGCTCCTGGGTTGTTGTTGTCATGACATTAGATAGATACATAGCTGTTTGTAAACCACTGAAGGCAGCAAGATTGTGTACAGTTAAAAGAGCAAAGATAAGTCTTGCAGTGATAGTCATCATTTCAATGATCGTAATAGTTCCAAGAGCCTTTGAATTGACAAGTTTCATGGGGACCCACCCATGTACAGGCCTTCCTCAGGTCTCTCTAGCCTGGGGGGTTCTGGGTCAGAACCCTGCTTATAGAATCGCACATGTCATGGTCATATATAGCATTCTTATGCTATCTTTTCCCACAATCATAACAGCGATCTTTAATGCATTCATAATATACCAATTGAAGCAACAAGCAAAAAACCGAAAGTCAATGATGAGTACAAATGCCCAAATATCCAAAACAAAGGTTAAAGATGGAAACCTCACAAAAACCTTAGCGACAGTATCAACACTGTATGTCATTTGTTTTATGCCACTTCTGGTCTTTTGTATCTGGGATGCATTCTGGTACTTTAATATTTGGTCACCAAAGGGAAGTAGTTCACATAGGGCAATGTCATTCTATTTCCTACCTATAGTGAAGCTTATGACAATTGTCAACTCAATGGTAAACTTCTTTGTTTATTTTTTCATCCGTGATGGCTTCAGAAAGAGGCTAATAAATATGGTCTTGCCTCAATGTATTTTGGCTAAACAACAATCATCAAATGAGAGACCAACTTCAAAATCTATAACAAATGTTGAAACAGTTGTGTCATCTCTATAAATAGACTTGTGAAAGTATATGATAAAAGAGTTAAATACGCAAGATACCAGGTGTGATAATACTCCAGATGAATCAAGAAAATGAAACTATACATAAGAGTTAACTAGTTTAAGAAGTTTACTTGGGTTAAATTAAACAAGACACATGATGTGAATTTGAAAAAAAATCCAATGGGCGATTTTCCTAAAATGGGGATGACAAAATGGCCGCCAGATAATGAGATGGCCTCCAAAAGTTAATCAGCTCTAGAACTTGATGTCCTCTGTCATGTATGCAAGTCTGGAGAAAATCTGATTAACGGTTATCCTGAAATCATGATCCTGATATCGATCACAATCACAATAACGATCACGCCGTCATCATGACGACTATATCCCACCGATGGTGTGATAAAAAGAACCATGAAGGTACAAAACCAAAACCTGTAGGTTATGTAACATTTGTAAATACGTGGAGGATGAATTTCATGAATTTTTTCAGTAAAGTTTCTGAAATATAACCAAGATTTGATCTGAAATCTGAATAGTGATGATTTATTCACGATTAAAATCACAAGTAACAACATTGTAATTTATATCTCATTTGTATAACTATTTAGAATATTTTCTGAGCATTACACTCTCTTATATGCTTTCAGTAATATGTCAATAAAAGGTATATATAATATGTATATGAAATTTTATATATTACAGTCAAACCTGCGGAACACCTTTGGTGCCTCTAAAATAATATGTTAAACTTGGGAGGTGTTCCACTTATAGATTCATGAACATGTCAGTTTGTCTTGGGACTCTGAAAGTATTCCACTAACAGAGGTATTCCACTTTTAAGAGATGTTTCACTTTGCAGTAGGTTTCACTACAAATTCTGTAGATGTTACAGTACAAGTTGTTGTAGTTAGTCTTTAACTAAGTTGATGTACCTAATGTAATCATGTAATGATATACAATGTGTCAATAAAAGTTCTGTATGAGAGCTCTAAATGAAAGTAACGTTGTTATAAAATCTAGTTTAATGAATATTCAGACAAATTATAGTAAATGAATGTGTCCTAGATAAGAAATCATTCCTAATATTTTGATTTTGGTCCTAAAATAGTTTTGACAGTAATATGAGGGTTTTTATGAAGAGAAAGAAAAGTTTATATCAACTTCTTATATCCCAGGTTCTAAAATTGGTTGAAACTAGAGAATTTTTCATTTTTGCCAGCTTTTGACATTTTACTAAACACATATACAACAGGTGTTTTTAGATGGGAGACACCAATTCTAGAAATTCTAAAACAATTTAAGAGTAAATTGGATGAAAATTGTTAAGATAAGAGCAATTTTAGAGAAAAACATTGTGACAGATTATCTCGTCACTTTGGGTTTCAGGGTCATTCATGAGTGACAAGAAATCTCGTCACTAGGAGTAATGAAGACGTAAATATATCCAAATATTCCAACCGTTTGAGGTAAATACATGTTCATCTCAGTATATTTCCCGCAGCCCAAAGGGAAAGATACATAGATGTAAATATGTGCGTCTCATATGATATGAATAACCAAGATAGCCATTCTCATTCTAAAAATGATGTCATAACAATGGAGCTTTGTTGCCATTCGTATCCAAGTATTTTCTACAATATTATTGTTATGTAATAACAAATAATCGTTATCAACTGCTAATATTCTGAACATCCGGTACTTTCTACTGTGGTATATACTCTGTGGTATATACAGTTGAAAACGAGGCTGCAGCTGGAGACTGCAGGAAACAAGGAAATGCACTTTATATTTTTAATCACGCGATTGGTTCTTATCCAATGAGAAAGCGAGAAACATTCCAATGATATAATAAATAACACATATTATTAATTTTCAAGGGTTTTAAATTATAGGTAAAATGATTGCATGTCCATTTCAGTAATGGGTGTTAATATATAATATACAAATCCTAAAAAGCTTATGTGAATTGAACCATAAATGGTAAAATAGAGAGCCAAAGCCAAAATCTTACTACTGATTGATCACCCTGTGTGTTAAATATTAAACAAGAAATACAAATTGAATGCCTTTGAAGAGATGGTGTTTATATGGTATATAATACACATACAATGGCATTGGCTCCATTACCCTGCATGCAGAGTCGAATTAAACTACACTCTGCCTAGTAGAGACCATATTACAGTTTAGTAGCCCCGCCCCCACGACGGGTACCAGTGACAGTTAGGGTAATAAATCACTTTTGACCTACGCGCTGACTTTTCTTCCACCAATCAGCGAGCTTGAAGAAACATACGCCAAATGCGTTCTAATTAAATATGCGCATGTCATTGGTCAATTCCGGGCTCAACGATGACGTCAGAAGGAATGACCATATATACAACGTCGGTCAAATTTGGCTGACGAACACTGATTGGCGCGGTGAGTTCACAGGTCTATTTTAGTTTGAAAGAGTGAAGATGAAGCTCTCTTTTAAGAAGTGAAGTCAAACGAATGCAAAGGGTATGGCTCCATATACCTAGAAGACAGAATATTAAACCATACAGAAGTACCATATGTTACACATAATTGGATTCTCGAAAGTGTTGGCTCTCAATAGGGAATTGACTAAAAATAGAGATTTACCTTACCATAACAGTAATATTTTTGGTGGGTATGTTGTCATGTTAAATCAATTAATCGACCAAAATTTATATTAATCATGCACTGTGCATTATTTTGCTACCTTTTGAAACTGGCAGTGTCAACAAACTGTCATTGATTTTTCTCAATTGTGTTGTATTCGAAATATTGCTCAAAATCCTATCTACCCTTTATCAAATTACCAAATTTTTATTTGAAGACAGGAACTACAAAGGTTGGTGACGGTTGAATTATTTATGTGTGTGAAATTGCATTGTGAATTACATGTTCTATGATGATATTCATTTTGAGATCAAAGAAGATTCGTAATTTTGTTAATTTGCTGAGACAAATTGAAAGATATAACCCTGTCAATTGATATTAGATCTTTTCATCCTGTTTGACACTTTCATTAGTTAGCAATACTGAAGTAGATAGCCTTTATAAATATATGGATCACATAGATAATTCAGCACTATCTCACCCAGATATTGTGTATGGTAATGAGATTCATGAATCTGTTATAAGGCAAGCAGTCTCAGATTAACATGATCATGATCCATCATGAAATCATGATTTTGAAGCAAACAATAGAATGTAAAATTATCAGGAAGGAATAAAAACAAGCAGCAAAGTAAACATTCTAAATTGTAGAAAACTGATCCCGTTTTATAATCACTGAAAACATTTGTAGGCAAATGTGAAATTGAATGAAACTTTGAAATTTCAATCATTGCCACAATGAGCTCACACATGATAATGCCAAATTTTAGGGACAGAGAGCAAAAATATAACAGTATATGAAATATCATCATGACCATCCGTCTAAGCCAACAATTTGACATTTTAAAATTAAGACCTATTTTAAAAACTTTAGGCCCAAATACACTCACTCTCCAAAACGTAGGTATTTAAATTTAAAGACGTACAGTAGATACAGGTGTCATTACAATATTCATTTGATGTAATACATGTCCGGATATATGAACTGATTTTTATGATTCAAGTAGGAAACATGTTTTTGACCCAATTATGCAGTAAGACAGTTGTTTAGGTTATTTCAGTTCATTTCTCCTCGTATCAATATTATTGTTAAATATATAAGCTGCATATTTCCTATATTTATAGATTTACATACTGCCATATATCATGACTATACAATACAGCATCGTACAGTACAGTACAATACAGTACAGAACAATACAGTATAGTAAAAACAGTAAAAGTATGGTATCCTGAATGCTGAGTGTTAATATAACAAATAAGCACCTCAAAGCACTCAAAACATCTGGTTTTTATTTCAATTAAACTTTTAGAAGCCATAATTACAGTTCAGGTATTTTTGCAATTGCACTGAGGGGTTCCAGGCTATATATTATATATTTCAAAACTCATTGTAAAGGTCATCTAAATTAAACCTTTGGATAATCATATGAGGTCTATCTTTATGGAAACATTTTTGAAAACTCCTATACCCGGCCATGCTATTTTCTGGTACAAAATAAAGAATGTACACTTTACTTTACTTTATGTATAACAGTTATACTTTCCGAAAAAAATAGGGAAATACACTGATGTCCTCATATTTTACTTTGTACCAGAAAATAAGAAGGGCATGTTCAACAATTTTTCTAAAAATTAATTGATTAAGAGATCACAGATCATACATTTGTACATTGAATAATATGTCGAGCATTTGGACTAAACCCTAAAGATAACTTAGTATTATCAGATAACAAAGAGTCCCACATAGTGATAAGGCTAACAGAAATACATCATTATTGAGGGCCTTGTTTGATGACACTTCACATTTCTGTGAATAAATACACATTTCTAAAATTTAAAACATGTTTATCAAGTAAACATAAACATATATTCAAAAACGGTTTACAGAACTCATCAAATTAATAAAATCTGTGGTATACAGGAATCCAGCTAAAATTTTACCACATCCCCTTTTATGTTCAAAATTCAAAATAAATGAAATAAATTATTAAAGAAGTAATGTTAGAACTTATTTGATGCTAAAAGCAACACTAAAATACCTGATAAGATCTAATGATGAGCTGCACCGCTAAGTGATCCTGAATAGCTTTAGCATCTGGGGCACCTGTTCCCACAGCTGGGACAGTTTGGGGCATAGGCATTGGCATCATACCCTCAGGCATCGGTGTATAGCCAGGGTAGACCAGCACAGGCTTAGGCATAGGGGGTGGTGCTCTGTATGCATCTCCTGGCTTAGCCCCTTGTTGGGTCATACGAAAGTAAGAGTCCCATGACTAAAAATTTAAATTATCATCAGACATGGAAATATAGGGAGGAATTACGTTTTATGAAATCTCTAATTCTAAAACTATCTTTTAAGATATTCTTAAATTTTCTGATTTCCAAGCCTTTTTCTTCCTTGGCAGCCCTATATCATCATTATAGTAGAGGGGATTACTTCTCAAATACCTACATAGTGTTGTATGTTATTGTTTCTTATATACCAGACTGTAGTAATAGTTGATTAAATGACCAATGTGGGACATTAAAATAGTAACATAAAGAACTCACTTTATGGACAGATTTGGGATCTTCTAACCATGCATTGAACATTTCTTCGACATATGAAGATGAAGTTCCACTTAGAAATGACTCTGCACTCGAATGTTGATGTCTTTGGCCATGTCTTTGACATATCATGGCACTACTAGTTCTCTCCAAAACCTGGAGCATTCTGATAGACTTAGCCATTGGTGTAACATTCATGCTACAAATTAGGTTTTGTAGTCGCTGCATTATGGATGATTATATTATAGACGAATTACAGATTACGCAATTTACTACAGCTGTTGCGTCTCTGTAGAAATCTCACAGACAAAATATAAATCTTTGGTAACCGCTAAGCGAAGTAGACTGTTTCACTCTTATATGAAATGTTCCAATGATAAACTCTTGTACAGTTGCGTTCCTTTCGTTGAAATCTGTGAATTGTTGCAAATGCTCAGAGACTGAGAGAGTCAGAACTCAAGACTCAAAAAAATTACTCAGGATTTATAACTTCAATACCATGGAATTAAGTATCTCTCTACATCCATTTCGTATACGTCTTTGGAGATACTAATTAAGCCAATGTGTACCTTGCTAATAATTCGCTTTCATAACGCAGGATGTCTTTTAAAAGGGAAATATAAACTGAAAATTGTTCGAAAACTTTTCGAGGATTCTCCTCACTGACCTTGGAGTTCCATGACGTCATCAAAGTCAAATGACAAACACTCTGCTAAACGAAAACATGACAATATTAATTTTTACTTTATAGTTCATGTTTTAAAACATGACTAACTATCATGTATTATTTTAATTGTATGGTAAAGATTAGAACTTTAGTTCCAGTACATTCTGGAGAGTGATCGATCTCTATTTGGTTTGTTACCTTTCCAAAAGATGGCATCACAGTAATATAAGCCTCGTTTTCAGTGTAAACATTTTGGAAAATTTAGGAAGTGATTTCGACTTTTAAAACTTAATTTGTAGATGTTATCGCTGACAGCCAATGTAATGAGATATCGAAAGATGTAGCCAGATAAACCAGGTATCAGTTTAATATAATTTTTCTTGCGTTAACCTTTTCTTTTACCGTCCGTTCTTTTCTCAATTTATCAGTTATTGAATTCATTTTCAAGTTGGAACTGGAAGTTGGTTGAATATTGAAATTTTATACAAGAGCCTGAAGAGTGGTCAATGTTTATCAATATTCTATTTTAGCTTATGTTTACTTGATTTATTTCTATGATCACATGCAATACCATCATGTCATGAGCTAACCCTTAGTATGTATCCAACAGACCGAATATAATATTCGGTCTGTTATGATTGATATATTTCCTGTGGAAATCGCGGTGATATTTTTTGCACATTAATTTCTCGTTTATTATAAGAATGTTCACCTTGAAAATTGGTGAATATGTTGAAGAGATGTTCATCTTAAACTAGAAGCAAAAATATTTGTATAAGGCGGGTACAAGTTGATATAAAATAATGAAATGTTCAGACTCACCGAAACTTCAGGATGTGTTCATAAGTAGATCGCGAAATCAATGTCAAGGACGTTTGAGTTCACGAGATCCAAACGAGATATGCAAATTTTGAACTTTGACAACACATGACCACTTGATTACCTCGGCCTTCTTCATGAATATTTCCGCTCTATTTACTATAAATGAAGAAAATTAATCGGGATAATGATAATTAAATGACTAGATCTAATAAATTCCCGCACAAATGGAATTTAGCAATACGCTTCCGTAATGTTGCTCACGCTCCACGTGTTATTTGTTTACAAATAGACTGACGTCACTGGCTAAATCTCGTTTATCGTGAGAATTGGCATTGCCAAAATGGCTTGACCTAATCAATGGCTTCGCTACAAGAAGCGTCTGTACATTTTATGAATATCTTCAGTAAGAGGACAATATACGAAAAAATAATATTGTGAGTTCTTTATAAGGTAATCATTCTATCATTAAACAAACTTATTTGTAACATTTATACAACACCACATTTTACAATAGGTGACTTACAGTCTGAATATTTATTCAGACGAAGGATACAGTCTAAGCTAACCCTGCAGACTAAATACCAGGGCATCGAAGGCAATTTCTATCATTCTGCCATGCCGCACATGATTTCGCGCATATGATTTATTCCCTCCTGACACAATTTGTGGAGAATACCCCTACTTCACTAATCAAAAGTTGAACTCAAATTCGTGAGAAATGTATCATGCATTCTCTGGTATGGTGCTGCATACAAGGAAATAGCCCTACAGGTGAATTTGTTTTACAGTAGATCAAGAGAAAGCCCATGTTTTTGACAAGAGTTCTTATTTTGACAGGCAATTTTGTTTTCTTCTTCACACCCTTCCACAATGCATGATAGTGCAAAAACAAAAAAGGTAGACATTTAGGAAGATCTCAAGAACCATATGTAAACTAAAACAGTTGTAGATATGAAGTATTGTTTCGAATGATCAATCGCTTTTGAAAAATTGTTATTGTTACAGATGAGAAGAGAAAAGGTAAGGAAACTGCCAATTAAATTCTTCCTTGTATCCAACCAATATTAATTCAACTGCAAGATTTTATTAAGAACTTTATATAGGGAAGATATGAAAAGAAATTTCAGAAGTATTCAAATAACACAAATCAACACCATCGAAATGATCCTCATGATTAAGATAATGTTATATATAACCTCACCTCATCTTGTTCTTTATTGAGTTATGGTGTACTTGTACAACACTGACTGTTACCTCAATGCTACTTTTTGTTATACACTTCTATTTCTGTTATCTTGGTTTTTGACATCTCTAACAATTATTAGGTTGTAGTTTTTTAGTTTTCAAAGCATTCTCTTCACGACACTTTTTAATTATTTTCAAACATGAAATGTGATTTTAGATATAAAAAACCAAGACAGATTTTATTTCAAAATTTTTGATATCCTTCAATAGCTAGCATCATTTAACATAATTATGATTAATTTAAGGTTTGTTTTCCCCTATTTTATCTTCAAATTTTAAATCTCTTGTCTGTTTTGGTCAAGCGCCAAACTGGTTAATACAATATCAACCAGGCACACAATTTGCATCCAAATCTGGCATTAACGACACAACATCAGTGGACATCTTGATTCTCAAGGTATTAGTTGACCACTTGGAATTCGAAGATGATCAGTGGAGTGGGATGGGTAGTTTATGTTCATTTCATTTCAGGATTTACATGAGTTGCTTCAAGTCATTGTAATACCCTCCTCCCCCTCAATGGAAATGAAGTAGATCTGGGAAAGGACTTGATGCAAGACTAAAAATGTTTCCTATACAATCAGTTCTGTCAGTGACACCAACTTGCTAAAATATTCATAATATTTACCCTTTCAGCCATTACTGATGAATAACTTATCTATGAAAGCGCTAGTGCTGAAGTGTTTTGATTAAAAGTTGCTGTTGAATTAATTGATTCATTATGTTTCGGCTTTTATGTATCTTTACACCTTGTCATCTGAGACAATATTTACAGACATTTCCCACTCTTAGAACCAGAAACATCATAGCGATCTATATATTTCCATACATTAACAACTTTCAACAAGTAGACTCTATAAAACACTTGATTGATCATGGTTTATGAATAATAAGTTCTGTTTATGTTTTCAGGGTTTGGATTAAAGCCAGTATTCATCAAGCAGTATGGAAGGCACTTAGTGTTTCGAATTGGAAAATGTAAACAAAAATGAAAATTGTAATAAACACATCAATGTAACAAAATGTGGGTATACGGACAAAAGGATAATACAGGATAAAACATCAGATAAATGAATTAGGAAAAATGGATATACATGTATAGTGCAGATAATAACAGATTGGTGTATTTAAAAATATCATAAGAAAAATGGGAATATAGTCTTACATTAAAAAAAAGTAGCTCATATGCGATAACAATAAAAATATGGCTAAACATTTGCATATAGTGTTGGAGCATATAAAAAATATATAATATATTGATATTACACAATATAACTACATATATTACATAATGGCTGCCTATATAGAAATGGAGTTTATATATTCACTGAAGAAGCTTACTCATGAGAGGACTTCCCAGGTAAGTGTATACCTTTTATATCCGATTGCCTTGACAGTTTGTTTTCCCAATTGTTTAAAAATGGCCAGTCTAGTGCTCAGCCACAAAAAATGGCAGTTGTCACAATCTTTAGTTTTAGGCATTCACCAGTATTATGCAAATCTATATTAAAGCCAGAAATTCATCTTCCTTGACCTTCCTTTCAGTGTTTATGACTGTGTATGGATATTGTGGATTAAGATATTGACGTATTTGAGCATACTGTACATATGGCAAAAGTATATCTTGTGAAATGAAATAATCAATTGCTAATCATGAGTCATAGTTATTTGATTATATAGGCAGTATAGGCATGGTTGTTTTAATAATTCACATCATAAAGCACCGTTTTTTTGCATCACTTTGGATTGAGCCATAAAGGTATTTCAAATGAATGATTTAGAAAAGCATTGGTGGAGTAGAATAAATGCTAGGGGAATATTCAAATTATTCAAGCAATCTATTGTTGAATTATGCCTAGAGTCTGATTTGTTACATCCATAAATGTATATTCATAGAAACAAACATCTGTATCAAGTAAGATTGCATTGGAGGACAGGAAATTCATTTGATCAAGTAACATGGTATATCAGTTCAGGCCAGGAGGCACCATACTCTGGAGAAATTTGATCTAGCCACCCTGTGATACAGCATGTAGTCTTATACTTCTCAGTTCTGCTGAAGATGTGTAATCTTTATATTTTGGGTCTGAAAACTGTATCAAGGCTGTACTCATGTGTTTATCAAGTTCTGGTATATGGTATTCATGTACCTATTATAGAATTTAAAGAGTGACATTTAGGAAAACTATATACATGGTTGTGATACTGCCTATAGATCAGCCACCCTTAGCCATAGTTAAAAATAGGTCAACATGTAATCTGCATCCCTCCTCCTAGTAACCATAGAAACCGGCTGACACAAACCAGTCCTTCAGCAATCAACAATGTCCAGCAACACTTCCCTTGAGGAGTATCCATCTTCAGATCTTCAAATGGTTGACGCTAATCTTCTACAAATTCCTATACTAAAGTTCTAAACCTGTCTATCTGAACAATGCTGGGATCTGTGAAATGCTTGTACTGAAACATGTTTTTTTAGAGTTTCTGGTAACATATATATTGGTAGAGATTAAATGGTGGATTGGATCAAGTGGATTGGACTCATGTAAAAGGTGAATTGGATTGGGAATCTTCAAAATATGGATTTTTTCAGTTGATCTCCCTCTAAGTAATTTCATTTGGCCTAAAGTATTTTTGAGTACTTGGGTCCCTTTAAGAAATGGCCAAAGCAATGACAAATACATACTTCAATTAGTTGATAGATACTCTAAAATGTTTAACTGCTCTCCCTTGTAAATCAACATTTGTAAGACATTATAAACCTATATCTGTAGATATAAGCTGGCTTTCAAATTGATGTTTGGGTGTTCCCAAAACATTTCTGGCATGTTCTGTTTGAATTGAAAACAGATGATATGGATTTTCTTCTTCAAAAGTCTGCCTTCTGATGAAATGTCTAAAATTACCCTTGGAATGAATAAGATTGTGAATCAGGTCACCCTTCTAGCCAACCCAAGCAAAATGATATAATATTTAATAATTGACATTGTGGAAGTGTGGAAGTGAGGAGAGCATTAATCTTCTAATGGGAGATCAATATAAAATTTTTAAGGAAAATCCATATTTTGAAGAATCCCGATCCAATCTACCTTTTACATGAATCCAATCCACTCGATCCAATCCACCTTTTAATCTCTACCTATATATTTGGGTTCCCAGAACAGGAAAAAAAGTTCACATTTGCAGGTTCACAAGATCACTTGAATATGAATATAATTTCCAGTATTATATCATGTAAATTGTTAAATAGATCAACTTTCTAATAGGGAGTAACCCAATGAGCTCATACATCTCCAGCATGTAAAACCGTTCAGTGAACAGTTGAATGTTGTCTTCAAATAATCTAAGCTGACAAGTTCTAGCACCAGGTGAATTTTGTTGAAATCTGAGAAACTTTCCAAGCTTTCTTATTACCTGCCTGACCTGGTATCACATCGTTTGCTATAAAGCTCTAACATAGAAAAAAACAAACTGTGAAATAATGAAACTGTTGATCTGGTTATTGGTCAGACAGGTGTTGTTGTAGGAGGCCAGGAGTCGTTTGTAGTCTACAAGGATCAAAACCTGCTGGTACTCATTATGATACTCTAGCATCTTTCTGTTTCACCTGAAACATGCCCATGGCATCTCAAGGCTAAAAAGAAATGAGATGTCATGGTTTATCATGATGCCTGGCAGTGGGGGAGATGCAGTGGGGTCAGCTGAAACTGTTCATGTTGAACATTAATATTAAGTTCATAACTTCATATTTCTAAAAGAATGTACAACCAGGGGTTTCATTAGCAGCAGGCAACGGGTGATTTTCACCGGTTGTTTTCATAAAATCGCCTGTTGTTTTAAGGGAATTTTCAACTTTTCCATGTTAAATTTATGATTTCCATTAATTTTGCCTGTTGTTAGAAATTTCAATGAAACCCCTGACAGTGACAACCATGTATTTTTGAGAGAAAAATAAGTGTTATCTATTCTGACTTATAAATATCTGAAAATGATCAAAATCCTTAACTTTTCAGGCTGGAATTTTATAATCTGGGTCATTAACTAGGGGCGAATGCATCTTCATATTGGGTACATTTTAAGATTTCTCAGATTCTCACATTTGCTGCGAAAGCTATAGAAAGCATTCATTGAGTTGCGAATTCTATTTATCAGTTTAGGAAGTAAAAAAGTAAACCAGATGGCTTACATGTATAAACATTGATAATTCATGTTCCTTTTGCATGTTGTCCCACATTAGTCTGAATCCTTACATGTATTTAATGTTTGTGCAACATTGAATGCAGGAAAGCGGGATACATCAGCATTATGAAGTCCAATGACTTCAACCTTTCAAACTGGAAAGATATTACAGAATATTTCAATCTACATGAACTCTTGCCTCTGTACGTGATAAATTATCTTCACTACCTGGTTGGTCTGACATAGGCTTATGGTATGATATTGAAAAAATTACACTCCTTGCTGGATTTCCTAATGATGAAGTTTTTTTCACAGACAGGGTCAAAATGTTCTCATGAATTTTGTAAATAATATATGCATGCAGGTTAATGCAAAGGCCAGAAAATATCAATTTGACTTATACTTGAATTATCAATTATATACATGGATTTGAGGCTGTATTATAATGTAAACATCTAAAATTTCACAAAATATTGCTTTTAACTGAGGCATTTATATTATTACCCGGTGAGAAAGTTTAATGAACAGTATTTCTCATATTAACCTAATTTGAAACCCCAGGCTTACATCTCTATCTTTGTTGTGAAATATTGCACTTCCTACACACAGATACACTTTTTTCAAAGTCATAATATACAAACCAGTGGTTTATAAATAGGGGCAGTTGTTTGAAAAAGGAAATGTTTTGGTCAATCAAAGCAGAAGAAAAGGCATATTTATGATGTTTCTCACTGCTAACAAGCCTACTGTCAGTTGGGTATGTGTGATTCATATTATAAGATATGCCAGGAGCATTTTTCTGTAAAGTTAACTTAACCCAAAGATAAGATGAAGTTTCTGCCTAAAGCTTTCTTAATTAATGATTCTAATTAATTTACAATGTGGCATAGAAGCTGATAAACAATTGCAAGGATTGCTTGCATCAAACTTGATCTTCTGTCCATTGTTTGCTTCTTTACATTCTTGGCTTCTTATAACTGTTAATCTTTCCAAAAACAATGATGGCCCAGTATGTTATGGTAAGAGGCTATGGTTCTGGTTGTCCAGTCCAACACTTTCTCTTTCTATGATTTATGTGATCAACAATAACACATTCATTTTGTACACTGAATCTGCTACAATCTTGGATAACTGTTTAACCAATGTCTAGTATGAGGTTTATATCAGTACCTTGTCACTATGGTATTATGTTATACTATCTTAAAAAATGTTCCATGCCTATTTTTTAGCTAATTTTCATTTTATATAATTTAACTACAAGTCTCTGTGACCCCCCCCCCTCTTCTTGACTACTACACACCTTCTCAGACAGATTGTTGTAGTGCATGCCGAGGGTTAAAAGGGCTTGTAGCTCGACTACATAGTACAGTTCATCAAGTTTCTCTGCCTTAACATTGTTAAATCAATCCATTTCATTTAAACTGATTCTTTAGAAACATTGTGTTTTTTGCTAAGGAGCTTTGTATTCATATGTATCACATAACAACACTTTTATCCATTTTCTGCAAATCCTAAGTGATATTGGAAAAGAATCAAAAATGTAATTTAGGACTGTACCTAAATAACCTTACATCATGTTTTTATAAATCAATGATACTAAATAAAATGTGAACTATCAATATACAATTGCTAAGTGGAGGCCTTGGGATTGGAATTTATCTCAAAGAATGTTATGAAATGAAACTTGTGATAAATTTTCTGACCTGCTACTTTGCAGAGTTTGTTTATTTTTGAACTTACCTCTACTAAAATTAGGAAGTTGAAAGTGGTACACAGTGAAGCTTTGTAAGCGGGGAACACCTTTGATACCTCAAAACATTGTTCCACCTACTCAAGGTTCATTATACATTGAGTAAATAGGTAACTGGACTTTGACTTATGGATGTATTCCATTTATATTGATGTTCAACTTTGCAGGTTTTCACACTACCCTACCACGTGACCACGTTTAAAAGGGAAACAGGGTACAGCTTAGTTGCAAATGGAGGACGTGGGTTTAATTCCATATTTCTGAACGTAAAATACATTTTACATTTATTTCTAGTGTTCTACCAGACATAGAATTGATTCATCAAGCAGTGTGTAGAATATTGTTGGCAAAAAACCACTATAGGCAAAGATAGATAATAGTGGGCGCAGTGAAGCAAAACACGAATGCAATACACGATACATTTCAGTAAA